CAATGCAAGCCATGCAATCCCCCAACAATAAGGATTTGGAGCATGAAATCCAGATTTTGAAATCCGTTCGTCATCCGAATATTATTGCCTTTCATGATGCCTGGTATGGTGAAAACGAGTTTGTATTTATAACAGAATTGATGACTTCGGGTACTTTGCGTGAATACATTCGAAAATTAGCACCTTTACCTAATCTCAAAATCATCAAGCGCTGGTCTCGTCAAATTTTAAAGGGTCTTGCTTATCTACATGGACACAATCCACCGATTATTCATCGTGACATTAAATGTGATAATATATTTATTAATGGCGCACACGGTGAAGTCAAGATTGGTGATATGGGTACCGCTGAAATGAAATTGGGTAAGAAATACACTGTCATTGGTACGCCCGAATTCATGGCTCCAGAAATGTACGAGGAACAAGGTTACAACGAAAAGGTCGATATTTATGCTTTTGGCATGTGCCTTTTGGAAATGGCGACCGGTGAATATCCATATGGGGAATGTAAAAATGCTGCTCAAATCTACAAAAAAGTATCCGCTGTAAGTATTATAAATATATATATATATATATATGTATGGATGTATTGAATGTGTACATGATACTTAAATCTTTGCTCGTAGGGTATCAAGCCAGCATGTCTTTTAAAGGTTCAAAATCCCGAAGTTTTAGGCGTGATTGAGAATTGTTTGAGTAACGAGGATGAAAGAATGTCAGCTCAAGAAATTTTAGAACATTCGTTTTTAGCAGTTGAGCCCGACGTTGTTTTGTTAGCTGCCGATCCAGATAATGTGCATTTAACGCTTCAAGTTGTTTTCAAGGGCATGGATAAACTCTCTGTCAAGTTTGATTTTAATGTCGAAACCGATACAGCTGAGGAAGTGGTGAGAGAAATGATTGAAGAGCAAGTGTTACCCGAGAGATACCAGCATCATATCACAAAGGAGATAAATCGTATTTTACGTGACATTGATAAGCCAACTGAATCAGAACAGGCAGAACAAGTGCGTAGATCGGTTTGGAGGCGAGAAAGCGACATTAGGAATGAGCTGGATCGCACCCGTGAAGAATTGAATCAGGCTACAGAACGTGTATTAGAAATCGAACAGAAATGTGATACGTTTGAAAGTAGGGCTCGTGCAGCTGAAACAAGATATAGAGATGCTGTTAGAAACCTGAGAGAATTAGAGGAGTTAAAATCATCTGCGGCCGAAGAGGAGTCGATAAAAAAGCCATCGTTAAATGAAGCCTTGTCTTCCATGACAGTTACAAATACGGGAACTGCCAGTACAAATGGGCTCAATACTCCGGAGGAACGAGAAAAATTGGTTTCTCATATTTTGGATGGTAAGCCTTTATACAATATGTGATGCATATAATCAAACTAATCAGTATGAAAATAAAAACAAATAGAATATTCAGATGATACAGATATTGGTGTATTTGTAACAGATTGTGCTCTAGCATCGCATCGCGGATCAGACAAAGCTCATGAATGGGCCAGAAAATTACAAAATCAAGATATCATGACTGTAGGTGACTTGCGTGATTTACACGACGAGGATTGGGCTGGTATCGGTTTAACTGTATTTGCATTACGAGCCTTAAAAAATATGCTTAAAGGTAAAAAGTTAGCGGCTGTTCAGTTACAGCAACAACAAGCAAATTCTATATCACCACCTACACAATCCCCTCCACCTTCTTCATCATCAATAGCTTAATATTCCAGACCCCCCTTTTTTTTTTCTGATTAAACATCATAACACACTATTTACTCGATATTTGACAATGGTAACAAGATGTCTTTGTGTGCAAAATTAATATATATAATAAAAAAAAAAATTAACGATTTACAAGTTTTCTAATCCATCATCATGATATCATCATCTCTTTCGACAACCATTTCATCTCTTGCTTCAGCATGGACAATTTCACGACGAACTTCAGGAGTGATACCAGCATGGTATTTCTTCTTCATGACTTCCAATAATATATCCTTTTGTTCAGGGATCAAATCTTGTTTATAACGTTGAACAAAGACTAACATAGATTGGTGCCAGAGAACAGGCATTTCACGAGGATCATTCATGAAACGAGCGAAATGCATGACAAGAGCATCAACAACCTTGAAAGGCAAAGCATATTTTTTGTCGAGCAAGATACGGATAAAGAGAGAATTGGGACCAGTGTATTCCATTTCGGCCAAATTTAAGATGGCAGCGGAAGAATGGAGAACGGGAATAGATACCTTTGTGAGCACACTACCGAGAATAGCAGCTTCTTTCAATGTACAAGAGCCTGATTCACACAATGGGAAAAGGATACCCTTGAAGAAAGCAGCAGGCTTATAAAGTGCCTTCTTTAAGGCAAGGTAGAGATGATAACTTAATTTTTTGGTCTCTGCAATATCATCACGAACACGATCCAAAAGTACAAGAGAAAAGAATCTTTGAACTTGTCTTGCCTTTAAATTAGATACGAACATACGAGTGGCTTCATAAGTAGCATGAGGTGTCCAACTCTCGGGTCCTGTGAGGTATAAGATTTCTTCCCAGTTGCTCAAGGAAGGAATGATCTTGAAAGCCTTGGGTAATTTACCAGACTTATAACGACTCAACAATTGACCGACCCTATAACCTATGTTAGTACTCTTTTCCGCTTTCACACTTATTTCTCGATGCAATTCCTTACTTTGTGTATACTTCCACAACCTTAGGGTTCATTGCAGGTGATAATTCGTCCTCTTGTTCTATTAAGCACTAAGTGTTAATTATTCTACTTTATCTTCAAATAATAAAGTTTGTTTCCTTTACCAATTGCATCACGTCCTTCGGCGGCATTCTTTTCATTGATCTTTTCCATAATCATATCAGCTAAAGTCTTCTTTTCTCTGGGTGCGCTAGGCAAAAACTTGTTTAAAATATCTGCATCGGCAGCATCAATCTCAAGTTCCTCATAATCTGCATCTTGATCAGCTCCATCAATTTCCTCTTCGTCAATGTCGAAACCTAAAGGAAATCTTTTCTTTGACGTATCTCTATGATAAACAAGTCAATAACACTGCATGTTGCACTACCTTTTTATTTTTATTTTTTTACCTTTCTTCTACGTCTTCGTCGGCCTTATCAATTTGTTCTTGTTGCTCTCTGGCAATCTTTAAAATTTTCTTTGATAACTTGGCGTCCAAATATTCCTATAACCTGCTATTAGTTGTATACTCTTTTACATTTAATTAGTGTGCCATACCTCGCCGGTTTCTTCGGCTCTGTTATTACGATCGATAAACTTTTGACGGGGAGCTTTCTTAACAGTGGTTGATTCAGGCATCTCAGCCAATTGCATGTGCAAAGGATCGTGGCGTTGAGGACGAGCTCCCTTGGACTTTGTAGCGTCTTTACCCATATTTGAAGAAATTTGAGGTTAAGTATAAAAAAAAAAGGTACTCGTTTTTTAAACGTCAAAAAAAACTTCAATCCAAAGAAAAAAAAAAAAAAGAGGCTTGTGACTGTCCAAGTCACTTCAAACTTTTCTTTTTTTCGAAATTAGGTGTCCTTTTGCAGAGAAACAATTAAAGATTAGCTGATAATATACGCATATCCAATATTTAAGCTAATACAATTAGCAAGTATAAAGAAGCAAAGACAAAGATTAAAGATTTATCTCTTTAATTGTCGCTATAATAAAAGCACATTAGATACAGCGCACACAATGCAAAGCTCCTCCTATCTTATATATGGGAGCTATTTCACCTTTACAGCGTATTGATTGTAGTCGATTAATTAAGCTTCGTAATAGAATATTCCTTTATTGACTGAAATAAATATTAGGCATATTTTTAGAATACAAAGCAACTGGGTATAATTCTTTGAATTAGTTTTTTACATTTGAATTATTGAAAGTATCAGTATGATGATAACTAACATCTAAGAATATTTTAAGTCTTTCAGTTTTGTAGATAATAAGAAAAAGTTTATTGAAAGATGTGCGAGAAATAATTTAGTCTGTATGTGTGATTAATCTTGATCTAAGGTCTAGGCCAGTGACAGATATGGTTGATACATTTGTATCCTGGCTCACAATCAAATGCAGCAGTGAGACATCCTTGACCTTCAATACCCTTGAAAAAAGCATCTACAGAGACAGTTACAGACAGCAATAAGACGACGATAGCTACTAAAGTATATTTTTGGAAGAAATTGGTCATTTTGGTTTAGAAGAAGTAAATGTTGATGAGTAAAAAAAAAAAGACTGTTGTGATGTGTGCCCCTTTTATAATGATTGAGTTTGGCTTTCAGTTTATAATTGAATATTGACGATGCCTATTTGATTATCTGTAACGTAGATTTTAACAAAGAAATGAAGAGGGCATAAAAAAAAATACACAAAGAATTAAATATGCCTTGGGTATCATTTACTGTTAACGCTATTATCAACAAGATACTGTGTCATCCGATAAGAACATGGCAACTATACTTTTCCTTTGATTTCGGTCTAACACCTTTTGCTCATTCGTCTCTAACCATTCTTTAGTCGCCAAATAACTCAAGCTATTACATATAGAAGGCTGCACCAGAAAATCATACAATGAAACTACGGCATTGCATGTGCTAACTGTTATTTTCGTTGTTACGGACCTAGAAATTTTTATTTGTTCGCTTAACTAACTACCATCTCGATAACAAAGTCAACGTAATCCTTAAAAATATAAAGCTTCCCTCATTTCAGCTCTGTACTCTATTCAAATATATATATTTAGGTAGGACATACACACTTATTTTAAACGGCTGAATAACTATCTGTAGTGATTTTCGTCGTGCATGAACTGCAAAAAAGGGAATAAATAACCCAGCCAGTTTACCATTGGTAAAAACATATCGAGAATTATTTTAAAGATTCTTATGTATGTTCTAAGTTGATACGGGAGTTATAATTCATTCCAGCATAATTCGCTGCCCTGCTCTAGCTATAATATGACTGATCAACCGCATACTTCTAAAAAAAGTGGAAAAGTGATAAACGTGGCGTTACTCCCAAATATTTCCCTGTAAATCTTGGTGACATAATACGATATAATGTGTTCTAGTCCCATCAATATCTTATACTAATGGTTATGAATTTACTTTGATGGAATTGTAAAAACTAAATTAAGAATATCCTGATATGTCATCAAGTATTATAGATAAAAATTAATCTAACTGTTTGGAATTCGCAGACGTTTCTAGTGGCAGTAGTATTTAGCGCCTGTTGGACACCTTCGTTTAATGGCAGTTTCTTATCGGAGACGAAAACAATCCATGCAATATGTCCGTCAGTCCATCATTTCAATCGGATGCTGATTTTATGGCCTGACAGTCCGCTTCCCGTGTATTTTACTTTGGTAAAATGGTATCAATGTTTTAATCGTATTTGAATGGCCCAAAAATATTCTGAATTAGGCCTACACTTAAATTATTGTTTATATGGGACCACATAAATAAGCTTTAAATGTTTATGTTTATAAGAACAGAAATTTATATAAATAATTTTATAATTTAAATTTACAAAACTACCACATGTCGCACTTTTTGACTGGATTCATTGGACTTCCGACAGGGCATTTGAAAGTCTCTGCAAAGTGGAGACTGTTTTGAACTACACCATTCACACGAGCAACAGAAGGCGAATGTTCGTCAGTAAAAATCTAAAAGACATGGTTAAAAAAAGCAATGGCCAAATCGAAAATATAAAGTGTTTACCATTTGTAATGACGCCTTCTCTCTTTGCTTTCTACACCATACACGGCCAAAATTGATAAAGAACAAGGCCTCGGGAGACAGCTGCTCTAAACCTTCTAATACTGGGTCTCTTTTGATTGCCTGTGTTTTTTGGTAGGCCAAGAAAGAAGCAGATATACCACCATTGTCAGCAAGATTTTCTCCCAAAGTCAGCTGGATTCACACTGTTAAAAAAATGACATGCAACAATTTTTTTTGTTTTTTTTTAGTTTACCTTTCCGTTGACATTGATAACTTTGTTATCAGGGCCTGTTACATTGAACTTGGAATATTGGTCAATAAAGCACTTTGTTTTTTCTTCGAATTGGGCAGATGTGGCATTTGTCCACCAGTCAAGTAAATTACCATGACCGTCATACTTTCTTCCTGAGCTATCAAACGCATGCTATTGAAAAAAGAGGCGTGAGAAAATGGTGCTAAATTAAGATCGTGTAACATACGGTTAACTCATGGCCAATGACCATACCAATTCCGCCATAATTCAAGTATTCAGGATAGGCAATATTATAAAATGGTGATTGTAAGATACCGGCGGGGATGACAATCTATTATAGGAATTAAACATTGGGATGACAAAGTATTTTTTCGAGGGAAATATACCTCATTTGAGTTTGGAGTATAATATGCATTCACCGTTTGAGGAGACATTAGCCATTCATCCTTGTCAATCTCTTGACCGACTTTTTTCCACATTTTGTTGGAGTACCAGTATGAACTGATAGCTTCAGTATCGTAGAAGCTAGTCTTGTTGACATAGAGACCATCGTTGTAGATTTTAATGGAGGATGGGTTTCTTAGATCAGGCGAAATAATACTGTATCCAACCTTATGGTTGATAAGATTAACCTAGATATAGATTATATGTTTTAGTCACCATTGCGTAAGGAACAAGAATGAACCAACCTTTTCTACAGCCTTTGCTCTTGTTTGCTCATCAAGCCATCCTATATGAGGGATACGGTCCAACCAAGCATCATGAATAGTTTTGAGGAATGACTCCGCCCTTTTTCTTTCGGCTTCACATCCAAACTTCTTCAAAGTATAATAACGACCCAAAGAATTTGAAAATGTGTTACTGGTGTAACCAACGCAGATGCGCCAACGAGGTTGCTCAACAGATGTACCACTGGATATGTCACCACTCATTTTATGACTAGCAGCACGAGATATATCATCTAAAGAATACACCTTTGCAGTAATAAATTGAATGATGAGATATTCTTGTAGAGCTAAAAGAGTGGTTTCCTTTGTCAGCAACGTATTTAGTTTTTCGTAATACTCAGGGGTTCTGACAATGATTGTATCTGGAGAACGAATTCCACCGTTAGGAATGAGTGATTCTAATATGCCTGTCCAATCGATCAATGGGTTCTGACTTTGAAAATCCGAAAGCTTAGTAGGATTGTATAATTTCACGGGGTCTTGCATATCTTCACTATAATAAATATGTTAACGATTTTTTTTTTATACATAACGGGATATCCTTACTTTTTAAGGGAAATATTAGCAATTTTTGTCTCAAAATCAATAAATCTGTTCACTGCTGACTCGACTTTTGCTGGATCCCAAAGAGTAAGACCAACTTTTTCACTTTCAGAGGCCCGAATTTCAGTGTCATTTCCAGCTGAGTATTGACCAATGACTTTAGTAAGAATGTCATTTAATCCAAGGCGGTATTTTTCTACCATGGCAGTATCTTGATAATATTCTTTTGAAGGCAAACCAAGTAAAGCTTGATCAAACAAAATAGCATACTTATCTGGATTCTTGTCATCTGCGTCAACAAATAGCGTAGCCAAAGTAGAAACGCCTAGATGTTCGAACCTGGAAAGTGTTTGACTCAATAGCATTTTTGATTCGATCGAATATAAAGCGTCATTATCACTGACAGGAAACAACTCATTCTGAATTTGTGCAATATCCGAATAAATAGGAGAGGGACCTAATGAATTAATGGCTTGTTCATTTAAGCAAACTTTGTAATAATCTTGCATAGCCTGGAAATTCTCTTTATCAGTTATTTCAAGATCTTCAGTATGAAATCCCCCATCGGTTGTTAATAGATCTTTATAAGCTTCCTCGTAAGTTCCTTCTAAAATTGCTCGCATGGCATCAGTATTCACGTCATTTGCAGTTTCCAGTGTACCAGAGGCTATTGTCATGCATTCTTAGTATCTAATCACTCACACTCTTTAATACTTACATGTCCTGTCTTCTTGAATAACGGCATTCTTTATCCAGCTACCGCCTAAGAAAGATTTAGTAAGAGCTATAGATAGCCTGTAGCCACTTACAGGTATACTGGTAAAAATCTGAACAAGGGTCAACATTTAGGTCAATATCAGCTAAAATTGACTTGGCAGTCGTAATACATTCAGTTGTTGCACAAGTGGCATTTATTGCTCTCGACAACAATGCATTTGCTACCATTTGAAGAAAAAAATAGATTAAAGAAGAAAAGGCAAAAGAAAGGAAAAGAAAAAAGAGAGGATTATTTCATCATCCCTTATTGTTTCGATCCCCTTCTTTATGCATGCTCCTTGAATACTATGAATGCAAGATTATTTATGAAAATCAAGCCTTTGAGGGCAGACTACTATATATTTATGTATAAATAAAAAAGGAGATCTTGATGATGTGGTACAAGAAAACAAATGTAACTTGCATGCTAGTCTAGTAAATGTGAAGTGATCTTGTGCTTTGTGCAAACAAACGAACCACATTGTTAAAATAAGCATGCGGGCGAGCGGGATATCTGTTACGGTCTTCCAGTTTTTAATTATTGTATTTTTTTTTTCTTGTGTAGCGGCGGAGAATTCAATCAAGAAATCAGGCCCTTAATCCAAAAATTAAAAACGTTTAACCGAATTTATATTTTCTCTTTTTTTCTCTCTTTTTTTTTTTTTTTTTTTTTTTTTTTTTTTTTTCTGAGAAAACATTCTTCATCTCGACAATCAAAACGAGAAAAAAATAAACTAAATCTCATCATTGCATGTTAATAAACTCTACTTTTTTATTTTATAATTCATAAATGAGTCCAGACACCAAGCTTATCGCGAGCTTAGTGAACCGCATACTTGTCAGGGTAAAAATCTAAAAAAAAAAAAAAATTGTGTGCAGTAACAATTTTTAAAATCCACCTTTGATAGTTACCAAGCAACAGTGGGAAAAAATTAGAAGTTTTAGAAAATGATCCATTGATAAATCAAACGTAAGTGTTTTTATCCAATACGATTATTGGTAATTAAAACTCTTTTTTTTTTTTCCATAGAGGTACAAGAAAAAAGTTTAAAGGCTAGGAGGGGTATGCGGGGTTTAATAGTTTTTTTTAATAGTTGCTGCCCTGATTGAGTTATCAAAGTTTAGATTGCCAACAATTACTTCAACCTTACTTGGATTACTAGATAGCATCAAAGTATGTATGATTTATTGATAGATCTGCAACAATACTGATATTTAATAGATGCCATCAAACGAAGAACATTTCCCATATGAAAATTTACAATCACAACTATTTGTTTTGCGTATGTTGTCTGCATGTATGCAGCATCATTGGCAATACGTTCGAGACATCAAACCCGATAATACATCAATGAAAACACCCTCAACTACAAACGGATACGAAGGCTCAATTCACAGTTTCGATAGTTCAACACATTATAGCAGTAGATGGTCAACTGCAGAAGGCCCTTTGCCAATCGAAATGGATGATCCACCTCCCTTTGAAGATGTCATCGCGAAAAATATAATTAACGTCATGTCTCGTATTATGCATCAAACAACCATTATGGAAGAAAGAGAATACGGTCAAACAACAAACCACGTTACTCAGATTAGTAGGACAGAATATTACACAGCAAGCAACATATCCAGAACTTCCGCTGACATTGTCCTGGATATCTATAAGGCCTGTAGTAGGGTCATTGCCTATCTAAGTGCAAGTAATTGGAATGTCGTATTCTCCAAGATCAAAATGCGTATCCTTTACTTATCAACTACAACAGACGAAAACCCAGAGACATCCGATATGCGACTATTGGAGTGTTGTTCATTAAATTCAAAAAGACTGAGTGTTGTGCTCTCAGGTGAGACTAAAACCTTCACACATATCCAACGCATGCTAATGACATAAGTTTTTCAGAATTTTGTTCGAGTTTCTCCAGTTTAAAAAAGGCCACTCAATTGATCGTTGCTGCCATTTTAAGAAGAGCAATTTGGGGGTGGATCGAAACCTATCCAGCAGAATTTATGCACTTATGCCAAAATCAAAAAAGACTGGAAGGCGGGCCAGATGTTTTATTTGAGATTTGTTTATCATTAGCAGACACAACGAGAAAGAAGGCAATTCTTTGGCCATTGCAAACAATGCTTTTGATCTTGTGCCCTGATATTTTATACTCAATCTCAACGCCCGAAGGATCTACAAGAAATGTTAATACAAAAAAGACATTATTTTTAGCCACACTCAAGAGTTCCTTGAAGCCTGGTAGAATGGCAGAACTGGCAGCCATTTGTTATGTTGATATATGTAAGGCAGCTACATATGTTTCCAAAAACGACTCCTCTGCACTTCGACATATTGTTCCTGACGTAGAAAATGAACTTCGAGGGCAATTATTTGACCCTGAAAAACCCTTAATTGCAGACAGCTTAATGAGTGGTTTGGGCATCATCATCGATCATCGATCCTTGTTAGCCGATTGTCTTGTCGCCATGTTCCGTTTAAACCCCCGTCATGCCATGCGAAGTCTTTTCCCATCATGTCTCGATTACCGTGCCCCAACATTATTCAAGATTAGTTTAGTCAAGGCTTGTTTAGCCATTGCCTCTGAAGAAAATAGACTTCCCTGGAATCCTTCTGTTACTACGTTGTACGACTCTTTATCTGGCCCACTCCGAAAGTTATTTATTGAATTTTCAGGAAAGGACTATTCAAAATTGGATCCTATCAGTGTCCCAAATCTTCGTAAACCAGTGTTGAATGCTGTCGGCGAAAAAAAATCGAAAAAGGACACAACACGTGTGGATCAAAATAGTGAACGATTGGAATTAATACTGGATATGTTGCGATTGTACCAAACAGATCCCAAACTAGCTGTTCGCGTAAGTCCGCCATCTCTCGTATAGTGAATGATATATTTAAAAAAAAAGGTTTTATAGGGAGAAAGTGAGGATAGATTCGAAAAGAACGCTGTCGCAATGGTAGCTATCGCGAATTGCTTACGAGAACAAAATCAATATGTCAGGGATGCTGCAGCCATGTGCCTCTTTAAACTTCATTCACCTACTTATATCTTGGAATGGAGTCCTGCACCTCATTTTATGGAATCATTCTGGAAAATATCTTCACAGGTCGTCTTTACTCTCGCCAAACAATTACTGGATAACAGAGAAAGAGACGATGGATTAAAACGTCTATTAGAATTATTAAAGAGACTTTTCGAATCTAGGAATGAATTTTTGCGAATCCATCAGGTATAATATAGAATGACGACTTTAATATTATTTACTAATTCAGCACAACAGGATATAGCGATGCAAGGATCCGACGCTAGAGAAAGACTACAGGCGTCCATTGGTTTAGAAGTTGCTTTGCTCGTCTTACTCTGTTCTTCAGATATCGAAATTTGTTCCTCTTCAATTACATGTTTTGGCCATATTTGTACCGAGACTCAACTCACGGACAGCATTGAAGATCCACATCAGGCTATTTTGATGGTAGTCGAAAATTTACCCATTTACCAAGAGCTATCCTCCAATAACGGTATTGTTACTGGTAGAAAATCGCAACAAAAGCAAATCCGTCGCCTATTACGTATGATGACCCATTATGCTCCTGGAAATTTGGCAGCATGGGAAGAAGTGTACAAACGATGGAAATATATGACACCTGCTATGATGAAACCACATGACGAATCGAAAGAAGATATGCAAGAAAGTTTAAATGCAGCAAAACGTGGCGGACAAGCCTGGCACGATAAATTAAGAAACACTACGACAAATAGACAGACACATACATTTAATCGAGTTGATAGTAGTAATTTTGATGATGATAAATCTTCAGAATGGCAAAATTATGCAGGCTTTTTGGCCGCTCTTGGTGGAATTTGTTTGATGGCCGATACGGTACCTACTACACCCACTTCCCCAGCTCTACCTCGTGGAGGATACAATACAGACAATTCTGCTTTTAGACGCATTTCTGCGCCTACAGAATCATCAGCTATGGTGAACAAATTCGTCATTGATATGGTCGATTTATTACTTTGTGACAATATCATTGTGCGTGAATGGGTCAAGGAGATCCTAGGTACTGATCTATCTCCTGCTCTTTATCCTATGCTCTTCCGATACATGGAAACTGTCTTGGCGAAATATTTTGGACCTGATGGAGACCCAATTTGCAGTGGACGCAACACATTATTTGTGGAACAAGCAATCAGTGTTCTAAAGCTTGTTTTAGATCGTATGGAAGGCTCACCTGAAAATCTTTTGACAGTCGATTTCAGTAGTTTGATTAATCAATATGCGAAATATTTAAACAAACTTGGAAGTGGGCAATCAGCTTTGAAAATCAAAATCAAATTTTGTCAACTGACAGAAGTTTTGATGATTAAAAAGGATAAAGTCACCCTTCGAATGGACTAGCGATTTTTCTTTGGTAAAGTATTTAAGCATATTTTATTTATGTAGCATTGCAATTTATGTTGTATTTTTTCTTTTCAGAAACCCGATACACCCACACAATATTCGACATTTGAAACAACTCAGAGCGAGAAATTACACCGAGAGTTGGATCTGTCCTGCTTGAATACAATTGTAGGTTTACTTCATCAACTACCTTTGCAATCTTCCGATCCAGTGCATGAAGTTGACTCTACACCAATCAAGAGTCGGATTTTCTTCAAATACTTTACCTTCTTTCTAAAATTGCTCAATCGTTGTAGAGATTCCGAGGTAACAGAAGAAAGATAACTAAAAGCATGTCAATTTAACCTGCTTTCTATAGAACGAAACCGATAATTCAAGCCATCGTCTACGCCAATATACTGATTCTAACGGTTATAGTAATGGAAAGGTAATAAATGAAATGTGGTGATATTTGAGAACATATACTAATTTGACAACGTAGAATAAGGAAAATATGTCTACTTATTTGGCTCCCTTAAAAGAGAGCACAATTCTAGCCATGTCTAACCTTTTAAGTGCTAATGTTGATGCTGGTTTGAAGTACTCACTTTCTATGGGCTATCACGACGATACACAAATGAGAACAGCGTTTATGAAGGTTTTGACAAACATCCTTAATCAGGGAACAGAGTTTGAAACTTTAGCAGAAACTGTTATGACCGATCGTTACGAAAAGATCGTTGATGTAAGCAAATCAATTAAAAAAAAATTGAAGTTTATTCTAATTGACCTTATTTAGATGCTTGTCGGTGTAGATCTACATATCGCCTTATCACTTTGTGATGTATGCCCTGCAGCAGATATTGAAGATGCTGCGAATGCCCTATTAGCATGTTTCTCTGCCAGAGGAAAAGCCTTAGTCTTGATTAAGGCTGTAATTCAGAAAGAGGTCCAAAACACCGATAGTGAAACCGAATTATTGAGAAGAACCAGTATTGCTACTCGACTCTTATCTGTATTTGCTAAACAAAATGGCGCAGATTATGTTCGATCAGTTCTTCAACCCGTCTTTATTAAATTGGCTGAAAAACCACCAGAGGAGAGAACATTTGAATTGGACTCTTCCAAAGTAGGTGTCGGCGAAGATGTATCGGTCAACAAACAAAATGTCGTTAGCGCTACTGAGCTATTCTTAAACGCTATTTGTGCTTCTGCTAACGAAGCCCCGAGAGCCTTCCGTGAAGTATGTCATTGTATTCTTACATCTGTCCGTGAACGTTATCCAGAGGCAAAATATACAGCGGTTGGTGCATTTATCTTTTTACGTTTCTTTTGTCCCGCTATTGTCTCCCCAGAAGCTGAAGGTCTAATCAAGGCAAATATCGTTGTTTCCCGTGATATGAAGCGTGGTCATCTCATCGCTACGAAGGTTATTCAAAACCTTGCCAACAACGTCTTGTTTGGTGCAAAAGAAACATACATGATTGTATTGAACGATTTTTTGACAAGTAATATTTACAAGGTCACTAGCTTCTTGAGAGAAATCTCAAATGTACCCACCTTACCTATCTCTATCGAAAATGTCGCCGGTACACGTGGCAGCAGTTTGGGTATCAATGTGGATAGAATTGATGATCCTAATCCGAACGAATGTAGGATTATGGAAGAAAAAGATTACAGTTGCTTGCATCGGGTATTGTTTGATAATATGGAACGTATCTCCCGTGAACTTGCTACCAGAAGAATGAGACAATATGCTGATCAAGAAACTGCTCAAATCGGAAAGCGTCAATTTGATCGATTCTCCAATTTGCTTGCTCAGCTGGGTAGACCACCAGAGGTTTCGAAACAAGAGTTCAGTGGTTTGAGAAGTTACACATTCGCCGCTGCTAATCAATTGTATGCAGAGTTTATGCGCCGTAATAGTCATCGCAGTGTGGATTCTATTGTCTCGAAGAATATCTTTTACGAAGGTGGTGTTTCTAAAGCGAACAGACCTGTGTTTTACTTCATTGCTCGAAATATCATTGCAGATAGTATTGATTTCGAACTTTTGGTTTATCACATGTTACAGGTAAGATTTCTTTTCATAAAAAAGAGATTAAAATATTCTAAACTTAAATTTCGGTATTAGATCATGGAACGTGCAGGCAATAAGAGTTTAGAGTTAGTGATGGATATGACATTATTTTGTTCAGCAAATGAAATACCTACGCAATACATTAGCCAAATCCTACAATTGTTACCATTTGATGCAACCGATAATATTGCAAGTATACTGGTATACAACCCCAATTCCCATCTACGAAAATATGTCAAGAAATTAGCAAAACCTGCATCCCATAAAATGACGAAACGCACATTTTTTGCTGTTACTCTTGCTGAGTTGTACGAGTTTATTAATCCCAGTGAAGTCCGATTACCCAAATCAACATGTAAGTTACACACACCCATAAACTTTAATTTTCTAACCACCCTTTTTAGCTTCTTTGGATACTGAACAATGCCATGTTTTCCATCCTGTCAATAGGCTATCACAATACAAATTGAATATACCTATCACCATCAAGGTGAGCTCGGAATATGTGCAGATTATGACTGTGCGGAAGCAAGAGTTTATATACGGTGTAACGACCGTCATCAATGATGTTTATCTAGTTACTGAAATTGAAGATATCACTGTCGTTTCAAACCCGCGTAATCAAGAAATTGTGAATGAGTTCCATTTCAAATATAACAAGGGAAAGACACATCACGTGTTTACCTCTTTAAAAAGAGAAGCCATTGTCAATGTAAGTTAACGGTTTATATCTCCATTAATCAGATTTTAACTTCATAATAGACTATCAAACACAACAAACGAAGGCTAGAAATGGCTAAGCCTAACAGTATGTCAGAGCGAACCATTCGTCCCAATGATGTACCAGGTAGACTGTTAAACATGGCTTTGCTCAATATTGGCAGTGATGATCCCAGTTTAAGACTCGCTGCGTACAATTTATTATACGCTCTTAGTATCACTTTCCATTTTGAGGTGGGCAATCAATTGCTAGATGCCAGAGATCTTTGTTTACCAGCAAACAGCACAGCATTTATTGTTAACATCAGTGAGAAAATTGCTCAGAACCAACAGAGCTTAACGCTGGAGTTTCTTAGTGAGTGTTTCATTGGGTTCCAGAAATCGAGTGAACCTTTGCGGTACTTATGCTTGGATTACATGATGCCTTGGTTACCAAACCTTTCACGATTCTGCCAAAACTCAAGTGTTGAAAATGACAAAGATACCATCAAGACCAAGGAAGTGATTCGCAATCTGATTGATTTGACTGTTGCTCGCACAGACGTAAGACCAAATATAAATAGGTATAAAATCCGATGAACTGATTTTTTTTCTGTGTAGATGTACAAGCTTGTGCAAGCTAAAATTTGGAAGACGATTGGACAAATCGATGATATCTTAAACTTGGTCTTAGATTCGTTTATTCAGTTTTCGATCGAACATGGAGTGGGCTCACCCCAAGCAGAAGCGATGGCAGATACCTTTGTTACACTTTCAAACATCGCAGTTCGTGGAAAAGTCGTATCTCGATTGAGAAAGGTGTTACAAAAGACCTCTTTCAAACCCACTCGATCTTTGACCGATCATTGGACATGGAATGAAATCGCTATCTTAATCCGTTTTGTATTAATGCTTTCGTTTAACAACCGTGGTCCTGTTAAAAGCTATGTTCCCGAAATATTACATATTGTTTCGTTAGTCGTCGGTGTTGGCCCAACCATTATACGTGCTTCAGTACATGGCCTTGTAGTTAACATAATCCAGTCTTTGTGTACAACAATGCCTATCCAAGAAGCTAATGTCAAGAAACTTCAGCTTATCTTGAGTGAAATTTCTGACACGAAATACAGACTTTTGTTTGGCTTATTCAAACCTCATGCAAACGCGTTCACAATTACACCGGAAACTCTAACCGATGCTGCAGAACCTATCCCACTTCACGCGCTTGAAACGATTGTAAACAATCTCTTAGAGGTAGTAGTATATAGCGCCCCTTCCGCAGGTAATATTAGTCACATACCAAATTATAATTAAATTTAATTAATCATTTTTTTATTCTAGATATGGCAAATGCATGGAGAGCTAGATGGATGAGTTTAGTGGCTAGTACAGCTTTCCAATTTAATCCAGCTATTCAACCTCAAGCATTTGTCGTATTGGGTTGCCTTGGTAGGGAAGAGGTTGATGATGATTTACTGTACCAAATTCTGGTCGCTCTAAGAGGTGCCTTAGCTATCTTTAATGAGAACGATCCCAATTTGGTTCTCAGTATAATGATGTGTCTCAAAAATATCGTTGAAAGTTTACCATCGGATTCCCGATACCTCTTACCTCTTTTCTGGATTGCCATTGCTCTTGTTGAAATCAATAATGGGCCTACTTTCCCTATGGCCATTGAATTGCTACTTGCTATTTTAAGAGCACTGGATGCTGATGAATACTTTGCTGGGGATCGTGTGGTAGATGTTTTACTAGCGGCTCGTGAACCTATGGCTGATGTTGCACGCAAACTGGATCAATTATGTGGTGTCAACTTCGATTCCCATTTTTCGTTCGCTATTGCAAGCATCTTCTTAAAGGGCGTCCGATACAACAGCGCCAAAGAAATAATCTTCCAGGGTTTGACTACCTTCTTGGATATCGAGTGCAAACATGCTAATAACACTAGTACAGTGGACTCACAAAATCTTGGTTATCTTGCTGGTCTCTTACCCATTGCGGTTAAAAATGAAGCACTCAAGGAGGTGCTCAGATTGGCTGGTCTTTCCGAACCTGATTTCGATATCATTGAGGACGACGACGAGGATGGTACCGGGAATTTCAAGTCAAATTATTACGATGGTGTCTTTGATCGTTTAGATATCACGGATGAAACGACTGCCTTGTTGCTTATATCCATGCTGGCTACACAGTTACAAATGGTAGACAGCACTAATGAAAAACTGTTCCTGTATGGTTTACTTGCTGAAGCTGCAAACTCAATGCCAGAAGTATTTTCTGTAGTGTAAGTGTTTAATATTTTGCTGAAAACAAAGTCGATTTCTAACGAATATGATGATTAGATATGAGACACTTTTGCCAAAGATGAACCAAATTGTACTTAGCAGTACCAGTCAGCCTATTATCGAATCAGTAAAGTCGATTCTTTTGACTGCATGTTCCGATATTGCTTTCAGTGATGCAGCACGAAAGTCATACCCTAGTCAAAAGGTATTATTAGAACGAGTCGGATTTTCTGCTCTGGGCGATCCTACTTTTGGAGCAACATCAATCAATGTTTTACAAAACGCAAAACTTGCAAGTGAAATTATCGAACTTATTATCGCATAGCAAGTCCATCAATATATCATGAAATTCCCTTTACTTTTCTGTTTTTTTACTTTATTCTATCTACCTATTTATTTTACTTACTTATATATATATTAGCTTTAAAAAAAAAGTTGTATTTTTACCTACCATAAAATTCCAATAGCATATATACATCTTGTATATTTTTTTATATGGTTTATTGTTTATTAATTTAACAAACTTGAATGGGTTGGTATCTCAGTGTTTTGCAGGAAAGACCCCTTGATCAATTCATGCATCAAATGATGTACTTGTTTATCATAATTAGTTTCAAACACTTAAAAAAATCTTATTTCAAGCAATATTTTAACACTTTCGACATATAAGGCATTTATAAAAAAAAATTGCTTGTAAATACACATAAAATACGGCTTATTTTAATAAGACTTTCACCTTTTTGAAAAAAAAATTGCTGTTTATCATGACGGAACAATGCCGTAAGGAGTCATGTGGAAAATTAATCAAAAAAAAAAAAAAAAAAAAAAGTTATAAATAACGGATGCTGATGTGAAAAAAAAGTTCTTTGTCTATCTTTTATTAAAATTGGGACGATACAGAGAAGATTAGCATGGCCTCAGCACAAGGATGACACTCTCTTCTTTGTTAGTTCCAATTTCTGTTAAACCTATACACTTCATTTCTACATGTTAAATCGGGCAGTGCTCCAAAGGCCGTAGTAATCCTTAATAAGATTACATAGAGGAGTCTGTTGGTTGTTAAAGTCGTCTTCTTTTAGAATCGCTTCATTCGCGTGTATAGTCTGACTTGGGTCCTTGCCCTAGTTCCAGGAACTCTTACAAAACTAGTTACACATCGTCCGGGGTGGATTCAAAAGCGAGTAAAGAACGGTGGATGGTCGTAGCTGTTTGAAACTAGTCGACACGCTTTTGGTCATTATGCTTGCATGGGAGATAATGACGTAAGTAGTTCAGTACCCGGATGACTCTTGTTAGAGCTTTGCCTACGTTTGTTTACGTCTACGCTAGAGATATTGCATACCACATAGGCAGCCAAAGAGTGTCATCCTTCTAGACAGCTACCTCTCTACACGGAGTGTTAACCTTAAAGCCAATACTCGTCCAGGTGCGGCTGCTACGACTCAGACGCTAGGGTAAAAAGCATCACCCCAACATGATGTAGGGGGTATTTAGTCCTGATGACTCTCATGTTACGTATTGTGGGCAGGTAATATGAGGGTTTATTAAAATTCAGGTTCTCTGTATTTGAAGATGGTTTATCGGAACAACTCTTTGGGCCAGGATGTGCTTCCACCTTCTCGTGGTCTGGCCTGTTAACCGACTATTTATGTTGAGAACTAGGAGAAGCACTTAGTATAGTTAATATTCCTATAATCATAAATAAACAAATGAATGGGGGTTTTTTCCCCTTTAGCTTTATCATAATTAATTCATCATTTATATTCGAAAGAGATACATGCTTATCACGAGATAAATTGCGGGAAAGAAGTAACTACTGGACCAAAGGATAAGACAAATGATCATAATCGTAAATGTCCAGTAATATTGTGTGTAAAAAAAACCTTTGAGATAGGTTGGACAATAAACAAGCTCAATAGCGTGAATATTCATATTGGGTTATGGAAAGCACAGAAAACTACTCTTTTTCCTGCATCACTAATTTTCATGTCACAAGAAAGACCACAAACTACAAGAGAAATTCCAAAAAAAATATCTTAATTGCGAGTGACTTTTGATTTTGGCTTCGCTGCTGTTTCACTTTAATAAAATTAACTTATAAACTAAAATGGGCCTTAGCAAAAGTAAAAAAAGAAAAATAGAAGAAGCTAATATTCGGGAAAAATGGTTATATGACGCTATGGAGGAGAAGGAGCGTAGAGAAGAGGAATTAACAAGATTTCGGCCCCTACGCATTCCTGTCCATAATAGAAGCTCCCTCAATGATATTGCACCCGAGATTACTGCACCCGAGACTACTGCACCCGAGACTACTGCACCCGAGATTACCAGCGATGTCATTGCCACTACCGCTGATGACAATAATAACGATCCCGATTGCCATGTCGATCTCAGTGAGAAGTTTGATCTTCAGGCTGATGGTAATGAGTGTGACGATTACTCTGAGATACCAATTCTTACAGAACCACCATCACCTGCATCAAAATTATTTCCAGACAACTTGATCTTTAACACAAAGAGCAAAAAAGACAAGACATGATGTTATTTGTCATTACAGGAATACCTTTTAAAATAATAATATATGTATTACAGTTGCATCTGGCTTCCAACTGAGCGCATTGACAACATTACAGCTCGTTGTAATAAAGAATCTATCAATGGATAATAGTAGTTTTTCTATCATTTCTTTGTCATATTTAACACCATCAAGGTTTTTTTTGGGATTTGATTATGATCAAAAGTAGATTTTCACAAGCAAGTCACTGTAACGAGCAAACAAATTAGAAGGGTGTTCGAGTGTAGGAGTTCATAATTTGACACTTCTTCTTGGGATTGTGGCTGCACTGAGAGCACAACGACGGCTAATTAAATAAGCGGAGTATATCACTGGTTGAAAAATCCTAAGACTGCTGCACTTTTTTGTATAGACATCTATACTTAATTCTCTTAATATTGAAAAAAAAAATCAAGTCATTATATAAAATATTAACCATAATGTAAATATAATATGCTTCTTTAGACATACTCTCACTCCCTACCTAATTTTTTGGTACCGAATGCAGGCAAATGAAACTCCAGAGCTTGTCACACCGAAAGCAAAAAATAAACTGTTGTGTCCAAATAGTTTTTCCTCTTCAGTAAGATAACCACGTTGTAAGATATAATGCTGGATGCAATACGTACATTTTTGACATTGAACAGCAGTCGAACTTTTTCTTTGGGTGACAAAGCCAAATTTAAACTATATGTGTTTCTTTCTCCCTGAAAACTACAAGACCATAAACATGATTACTGTTTTTTTCTTAACGTAAAAAAAATGCAGCATTAAAAATATCAATCTTTGTTGTTGTCGTAGTTTATCAGATAGGAATTGCCTTTTGATATCAATGGGATCAGTTCTTACAATGCGTGTAAAAGTTACCTTGTTCACATGCCTACATTAACATATATAGAATGTGCATGGAATTCAAAGCGCGAATTACTGAGAGGGAGCTCACTCGTTTTTCACTGTTATTGCCTGCAGCAAATCTGCTTAAATTCTCCAAATAAGGGAAAATAATAAAAGAGGAAATAGGACTGGCATGTTTTTTAATATGATGGGCATCTGATTGCTCAGCTATTTAATTGAGATGCAAGGGAATGATTGGATTACCTTTCCGCGATACCATTGGAAGAAAAGCTGCAAGTATTCGATCGACGAGTGGCATATTGGGTAATATCCGTTAAATCTGAGGTCGTACAAAAACGTTACCATTTATTAATAGGATTTTTCTTTTTTTTTTCACCAGTTAAAAAAGTCGATTACCCCCGAGGCTCAAAGTTACATGTCGCACCGGAAAACCCCATTGCCAAAGAAGAGATGAGTGAACGTTCTAGCCCTACATTACTGCCAAAATAAAAATAATAGAAAATCCTTTTTTTCCTTCTTCTTTCATTTTCTTTTTTCAATTTTTGTATATTTTTTATTTATCTCTTCCCTTTGTTTATAAATGGCCCCGTTGGCTTTGAGCATAAATTCATCGACTGCTATAGTCGATGTTTGCTTCTCGAACGATTGTATAAAAACAGCATCCAGTATACTCCAGTCTATCGACATGAACATTGATCCATGCTCTGACTTTTACCAATACACCTGTATGAGAATGACTAAACGCTAATTTTATAATTTTTCATACTGAACTTTTATTCTCCTCATTCTAGGTGGTAATTGGATCAAAGACGCGGTAATTCCTGAGGAATTAGCAGGTAATAAAATATGATTTGTCAACAATGTCTTTTACTTAATAGAATTCTAGGCTTCGGGATTTTGGAAGTAGAATCAAAAAGACTGAAAGACAAGTTACGAATGATTTTAGATGGCACATATAAAGATTTATTGAGCGCCACACTATCACGATCCAGTTTTCAAGTGGAGCATGCAGATGATATCAAGATTGACAAGAAGAACTTTGGAATTATTCAAGACTATTATAACTCGTGCTTAGATATAGAGATAAACAGTGATAATGTTCTTTCCAGTTTCTTTCAGGATCTCAGTCAATTAAAATACGAAGAAGAATTCAGCCAGCAACAAAATCTCACTTTTCATATCACACCCAATATAATGACTATTTTGACTTACCCGAAATCTTCGGATAGCATCATTATTGAAGTGGGAGGTTTGTTTTCAATGGAAATCTCTCCCGATGCTATCGATAAAAAAATTATGTCCATTGCTTTATACCCTCCAAGCGAATTTAATGACCTGTATGTCGCACCATTCCAGGATGAAGGCTCGACAAAACTATTTGGGCTGGTTTCCTCTGTATTCGGCATGAAAAACTCAACAGCGCGAGACAGAGACAGGCTTAGTTACTTGATGGAGTCAGGTTTAGAAGCATTGTCAGACGACAAATTATATACCTTGGTGGAAGATGCGATAACTGTCCAACAAAGGCTGTTTCAATTAACCAATTCTGAGTAAGACAGTTTTTTATTTTATTTTGTAGATGAAACTCATTAGATTCTCCTCCCTCTCCCCTTTTTTTTCAATAGAGCCGAAGAGCTGACTTATAACTTCACCCTTGATGAAATTGATGAAATATTCCCGTTTGTTGCTTGGCTTGATATCTTTGAAGCCAATATACCCAAGGGCCGCGACATGGCCAACCTTACAATTCAAATAAGCAACATTGAATACTTTAATGAGCTAAATTACTTTTCGAATGTTGACGATCCCACACGCACTTTAAACAAGGACGCAATCCAAAACTATCTTATTGTCCACAAAATTCACCACGAGGCACCTAATTTAGACCCTGAGTTGCGTATGCTAATGCCTGATACGCCTTTTCAAACAAGGTCAAGCTTATGTGTTGACAAGTTGCACGAAAATTTAGGTCTTTTGACGGGCAGATTCTATGCAATGATTGCATCACACGGTGAGTCGGATCGACTTAGGTTAGAGTCAATTGCGAACAACATAAAAGCTTCCCTTGGCAACAGGATACAGCAAGCCGATTGGTTGGATGAACCGACAAGAGAATCCGCTATAAAAAAGGTATTTTCTGATTTATTAAACTAAAGATGAAACTAATTTTTTTTTAAATTAGCTTAATAAAATGAGCCAGTCTATATCTTATAGTGTCAATTCGCCTGATGAACGTTCTCCACGAGATATGCATGCTTACATGCGTGGCTTAAAACAAAATGGCGACAGCTTCTATGAGAATGAAAAGGCAGTGACTACATGGACACTGCAAACATACTGGGATACGTTATGCAGAGAAATGAATCCTAATGAATGGATTGGTATATCAACACCTCAGGTTGTCAACGCCTTTAATTTGCTATCTAAAAATAACGTAAATGACAAACAAACAAATTATAAGGAAAAAACCTAATATCTTGGCGTTCTTTTAGATTGTTGTTAGTGTAGCATTTGCCCAAAAACCTAATTATGATCAAAGTTACCCGGACTACCTCAATTACGGTGGAATCGGACAAACACTTGCTCACGAGTACTCGGTAATACATAAACAAATAATTTCACGCTTGTTTATATTGTTCCTGACAATTTCCTGAAATAGCATGCATTCGATGATTACGGTTCTCAATATGATGAAATTGGAGCAGAGCGAAACTGGTGGTCCGAATCAACAAAAATGAAATATGCCGAAAAGACCCAATGTTTTGTTGACCAATACTCAAAAGCAACAGTTGTTGACGAAAATGGAAAAAAATACTCGATCGATGGCTCTGTAAGTACTTTGTACCATGTATACCATAAAAGAACTTTCATTTACCTTTTGTCATTGTAGTTGACTTTAGGAGAAAACATCGCTGACAATGAAGGTCTATCAGCAACCTATGATGCCTATTTAAAATCAAAATTAAATGGGAAAGGCTATAACCCTATTCTTCCTGGTTTACAACAGTTTTCTTCAGAAGCACTTTTTTTTATTAATGCAGGCCGGTCATTTTGTTCCAAACCATTGAGGGGTACCATTAAAGACTCGGTATATATCCTCTTTTTAAAAAAACCAAATCCCATTGTTACTAACAGAAAAAAAATTAAATAGCTTGCGGATGAACACGCACCTGATTCTATACGAGCAAACAAGGTGTTTCAAAACAATGTGGATTTTGCTAAAATATTCAATTGCCCGGTTGGAAGCAAGATGAATCCCATTACCACCAAGTGTAAAATATGGTAACACAATAGAACTATAATTTTTTGTAAATAAATCATCGCCACATATATTGCATATCACATTCAAAAGTTTTTTATTTTAATATTGGACATAAAGGATTGATGGTTGCACCCGGATATGAATTTATGAATGATCTACGGTTCCGACGAAACTGGGCCTATACCTTATCAGTTTAGCTAGATTTCAATCGTGCAACATTTTCTAACTAAATAAAGCCATTTGATAGCTGGTGGCACTGATGATCAATTAATATTAAAAAAAAAAAAAAAAAAAAAAAAGGAAGAGAGCTTTCATTGAATACCAAATAATCAAAAAATAAATTTTAATCACAGAGGCGTGAAAATATAGGTGGGTAAAACATTTTTTTTAGGGCAATATACACAAGAGAGCAAAATCGTCCCTGTGAGTATACAGCCATACACATTTATGTTTCGTATCAATGAGCTTTTGAACTGCGTGTCTCACTCTACTCAGGGTATCTCTTTGACTGATGCCAGTAAACTCCAGTAGTTTCTTGTATCCATCGTCTTGCCAAAAGTTGTACTCCACCATCTTTCGGACGATTTCCTTTGGTAAATCAAATGCAATTACTTGAATATCTTTCTTAAGCCCTTCCATAATGGGTGAGAGACGATTGATAGCTTTGTCGATTAAAACTGTTTTATGCTTGTGCTTCATCTTCGTACGCTCTTTACCACGGCCTTCTGTAAAGACAATATTGACATCGTAATTGGCCTTTTGTTCCATGCCTTCACTTTTTGACAAGTCATGAGAGAAGGGGTCATTTCGCACTAAAGAAACCTGTCAGTAAAAACATGTGTGAAATAAATAAATAAAAAAAAACTAACCTGAATCTGATGTATCCTTTGACTTTAAGTCATGTTTGCTCTTTACTCTTGCCACAGAATCTACTCTCATCTGTTCACTAATCTCGTTGGATAACCAAATACTGAGATCCGATTTACTCACTTCAGTTTCCGTACGACGCAAGACATCCTTCACTTTAACAGCGGTAGATGAATCACTACTTGATTTGCTCTCTGAACTTTTATGTTTGATGATTACGATCCAATTTATACTCGCCTTCTTACATAAAGAAACCAATTCTTCTGGTGTTAAATAATCGCCATCATTATATTGAAATTCTGCACGAATACCATGATTCCATAACTCTTTAACAATTTCAAGACGTTCTTGGATAAGGACTTTACCAAAGCTAGCAACATAGACATCGGATCGTTTCGGTGCCCAAAGACCAAAACTTCGCATTTTTTCGTTCTTGGCTTTCATAAGATATTTTACTTGCTCTGACTGGTGCATATCCAAATGACGAATAAGCTTTTGCACCGCGATATTGACACCGACGGCGCGTAGTTTACGGTTAGCTGTGGCGTTGGGATGGGCAAAGTGTTGTACGAGCCAGTCGTAACGTCCTCCTACAGCCAGCACGTCTTTTCTTTTTGAGTCAATTGTATCCGCTACTGTTTCAAATACCATCCCATTCTTGTAAAAATGATTGTTGTATCTGTATATAAAGTATTAGACTGACTGTTTTTTTAAAAAGAATGATGACTGATATACTTTACACTAATAAAGGATGAAATATTATCTTGTGGTGAATGCCGATATGCTTACTCACAGAAATTAATGTACGCAAATCATTGATATGTTCCCTAAATTTCGCTTTGTGGGTCGGTGGTAATAAGCCTTCGATCTTTTTCACAATATATTCCAGTTCACCATTTACATTGAACATGGACAATTCATCTAATACGCTTCTTTGCAGGTGATATTTTAACTTGAGGATATTTCGCACCGCTGCAAAAGATGGGGCACGACCTAGACTTGAAAGCGCAACAAGCACACCTTTTCGAATATCGGGCGGGACACGACAACTATCCAAGATGATATCTGTTATTCCTGTGTGGTTGATCATGAAATAAAATCCTCCGTTTTTATAAGGTGGTAATTCTTCCAATACTTCCTCTACCACTTTTAAAACTTCGGCATCAGGGACCATAGGAGCGGTTTCCTTGTGAACGATATCAAAATCTGCTTCCAGGACTGCTTCAGGTTGTCCTCCGCTTTGGTTTTCTCGATAAACTTTGTCAAAGGTAAACCTTTTTAATTCGGGAAATCCCTTTTGACGTGCAATGTATCTTGCAAAGGGTACGGTTTGATCATAGGGCAATTGGTTTAAAGCACCTTGTGAGTCCATGAGATAAACAGGATTCTTCCAGTTCCATTCATAAAGATCGTTTTTGGGTATCAGCAATGGTGCAGATACATCTATGGCTCCATGTCTGCGAAATACTTTAGTCATCTGGTCTCTAATATGATCGAAGAATACATGACTAAAGGGATCAAAGGTGGTCTCTGCATTCGTTTGATAATCATAGGTGAAATCCTTATGTCTATCGGCGGATTGGGAGAACATAGCTGTCATGAGTTTATCGTAATAAGGCGTGTTAGGGTTGGCAATAGTGCGAACACATTCCTTGATATATTCATCTTCTAGTTTGGGGGGTAAAAGATCACTACGTAGCAACTCGAAACTATTGGGTCGATCTTTGGGTTGAGGCGACAAGAGTATAGCGATAATCTTCTTTTGATTGACATAATGTGCTGGGAAGTCTTCAGGAAACTTTCCATTACGGAGCTCATTCAAGACAATCACACGTTGCATTCCGGTAGATAGATCATAGCACATTTCGAAAAAGATGATGCCAAGCGAGTACATATCCACTTTTTGATTATATCGCATCCCCGATGTCGTGCCCGTAGTAGGGTCTACCATAACCTCAGGAGATACATAGAACGTTGTACCAACACCTGTTGTCATACTTTCATCAATACCAACATGGGCACTTGAAACAGAGTAACCTGCATAGCTGGCAGATAAACTATCGGCGGGAGAGGAAGATGGGTTCGCACTAAATCGGTCATTTACACGATGTTGACTTGACAACTTAGAGAGAGCTGCACCATCTACTAAAGTTTGATTAGTGGTGGCCAGACCAAAGTCACCGATTTTAACATCATTGTTTGAATCCAAGAAAATATTTGCAGGCTTCAAATCACGATGAATCATGCCTTGCGAATGGATATGCACCAAGCCTTCCAAAATCTGACGAAATAAACGCCAAGCTTCCTGCTCATCAATTCCTTCATCAATTACATCACGAAGAGTCTTTTTCTCGCAATATTCCATTTGGATGTATAGGACTCGTGTGCGACATTGATACCTCTTTTGACTTTCAGAACTCTTTTCCTTTTTAAGATTTTCTAACGCTGTGCGAACTAGCTTAGGCTTCTTTGTAGATACCGTATCTGTTGTTGCTCCGTCGCTCTCTGTTGTCTCTGCAGCAAAGGAGATAAAATCATTATCGTCATCGTCATCAATTCCTTCATACGGTGTCGAATCTCCATCCTCATCATCATCCTCACTGGAGCTCTCGTCATCGTCGTCAAATTGAATAGCTGAATAACTTTTACTTTTACTTTTAGACTGTTGATCTACAGAAAGAAAATCATGCTGTTGTTGTTTATAAGCACTGACATCTCCATCATCCTCTTCGTCATCATAATCTGACTCAGATTCGGAAAAACTCTCATCATCGCTGTCTTTATAACCAGATCCATCTTCATCCTCAAACCAGGTAGCAAAATATCGCACAACGTATTGATGATGCAAACTGGACAATGAGTGCACTTCTCTTAAAATTTTTCGTAAGTCCTCACTGTCTTTGGGGTCTAAACGGATCTTCTTGATAGCATAAAGGCGGCCGTCTAATCGATTGCGGGCTTTGATGACTTCTCCAAAACCTCCTTTACCTAAAAACTCGATTTCTTCGAAATCCGCTTTATAACGTGAAGTGCTTATGTTGGTTGTAACAGACGTATCCGAAATGAGTTGAACACTACTGTTGTTATTGTTGGCTAAAGCTTGATTATTGGGTGGATATATAGATTTGTTAAAGTCGTGGTTAACGGCCATGGAAGGCTCAAAAAGCTGAGGTGAAGATGGTTTTACTATATTGTTTGAATTGATGTGAGGCGCAACATTGGAGGAAAAGACAGGTGGGGCTGCTTGCTCCGCAATCATGGACTCATTATCTCCAGCAAAAAAAGGATCGTTCATGAGATCAATTGCTGTGGGTCTCTTTTTTGGGTCTGGCTCTAATATACGTCTAGCAAATTCGTTTGCAACAGGAGGTAGTTCGGAAGCAGCAGTACGCATAAATGCTTCAAAGTCGCCAAATTCCTTTGTGACGTCTACTCCCCAAAGCATTTCGATAAATACGACACCAAGACACCAAATATCGTTCTTGCGGCCATAAACTCCTGGACGTTCACGTAACTCAGGTGACGGCCATGTGTGATCTGATACTTTATTTTCTCTGTCCTCCGATTCCACCAGGAAATTGGATTTATTTAAATCTATACAAAACGTTATGTACCCCCTTCTGCATTTGGTTTACTTGAGAAACATACCATGTAATCGTTTGTTGTAACTGATATCAGCTAGTTTCACAGACTGATTATTACTGCAAAAAATACTATTGGATCGGATATCTAGAGAAAAAAAAGTTAGACGATTCATGCAAGTTGCGAAATAAACGGAAAGTTTTACCTTTGCACACAAACCCATTTAAATGAATATGATTTAAAGCCCACAATAATTGCTTAATGTATTTTCGAATGATCGCCAGCCGTAATCCGCCGCCACATTTTTTTAACAAGTCGTATAGACTACCACCCTGTTCATATTCCATCAAGATGTGTAAAATCCATGAGTTTCGATCCATTCTTGTACGATCTAATCTAGCATCGTATATACTGACAATATGAGGGTGTTGAATTGATCTCAAACGATCAAGTTCTCGTTCGATATCTTGTAGTTTGCGTTTGCCTGCTTGTGTGGTATAATAAGAGCCTGTGACATCAACCCTTTTTATCGCCAGTAAGCATGGCAAACTCTCTATGTCTTCTGTACCACCATCTGTCAACTGGTAATTTACAGGTTGAGCCGAAAATGTTTCTCCGACAATGCCTTTACCAACACAAGGACCTATTGCCACAGTATGAAAAGAAATTATCTATAAAACATGTAAATTTCTGATCTTGTATCATATAACTAGATCTTACCTTGGATAAGGCTCCAGATTCCTCCTTAGATATAGGTAAAGTGATTTGGTTTTCAAAATGGATCAGCTTGATTTCCGTTGTATCCATAAAAGAAGAAGGATCTTCATTTAGATGTGAATGATGATAATCATCATCTACAATATCCTCACCACCATCTGTAAAACCCAATTCTTGTCGCTGTTGTCTTGCTGCCCTTGCATGTTCTCTTTTCCTTTCTAAATCCTGTTGAATCTTTTCATTCATCATATCTGATTGTACTCGTAACTCGGCTTCACGCTCTTTTCGTTTTCTATCTCGCTCTTCTAATTCCCGCTCTCGTTCTACCTTCAAGTCCTGTTCGTTTCGAATGACCATTTGTTCGTGAAGGGTGAGTTTGGATATGGCGGAAGGAGGCGCATTGTGGTTTGCCAAAAAAGCACGAACGTGATCGCTCAAATCGTACATCATTTCTTGACCTTGCAATTGCTTTGCTGTTTGTTGTAATGAGGTGGTTAACTGGCGTAGAACACCGGGTGACAGTCCACGAGGGTTAATGAGGTGAAGCTCGGGTGGTTTCATAGGGTAGGATTTGGGAAACCTAACCTTGAGATCTACTGTGGCATGTGCTTCGCTTTCTTCTACACCTAATGGGCACAGGTGAAGAATAAATTCATGATCTGGCTGAGAAACCTACAAATACATATGAAAAGAATGTTTGTCTTTTTTTTTTAAGAAACAAAAAAATTAATGTCGTCCCCATACCTTCCAGGCAGTTTTGTTGACAACTTCTTGATAATCGTCCATAAATATTGCCTGTAAGGCTTCAATTTCATTTTGTTGTATTTCTTTCAGTTCGTTAAGATCCATTGATGAGTAAAGAAAATGAAGAAGTTTACTTTGTTTTAGTGTCGGTTTATAATTTTAAGTTCAAATAGAATGGTTTTTTCAAAATGTAAAAAAAGGAAAGAGAGAAATAAAAATATATTGGTATATAGTTTTTATTTCATTTCAACTATTTTGTTTTGTGGGCTGTGTATATGTGGGAAAGAATTTGAAAGAAGAAAAAAAAAAGATATCGAAATATCAAATGGGACCCTTTTTTCCTAGCTCAATGTCATTGGATTTTCCTTTTTAGGACAGCCACTTTTATCAGAGGACAGCCAAGGTGTACGTAGTCTTAGCATAAGATTGCCACGTGAGGCAATGTCTATCCGTAAGCCATAGATGCTAGCGATTGAACTGTTCGGTCCTGGTACGAGTTCGCTCCAGTTTGATTAGGGCTGTCGATAATTGTAGCGATTGATGTATTCAACGATCATAGTTAACGCGTGAAAATAAACCATCAAATGTTCCAAACCTCTCTCGAATACCATGATACTTTGTGCAGTCCTGTAAAAAATAAAGCTACTGAATCAAAGTAAATGTGCCTCCATGAATATAAATAGTAACAGACGCAAAAAAATTATAGAGTCATAAATGTATGAAAAAGAGGTCAAAATTTCCTGTCGAGCCTGAAGCAAGCATTATTTCTGACAAGAATAATAAAAAAAAATTGGCGAACAGACAATATGCCCTCACATATTTCAACAATTGTAAATTAAAATTCTTTCTGAAAATGATAGATGCAGATACGTCTCTCAGGGATGTAACGAAAATGTCGATTTTATTAAGCAACATAAACATACGTGTCCCGCTCTTGTCTTGCAATAAACTGTTTCTCCAACAATTGTTCGATGCATTTCTTGATCATGATCACAGAAGGAGAAAATCTCGAATTGGCTTGGTCAAATATCTCTTGGATCAATTGAACATGGGGTAACACTTGTCGCGACTTCATGATACGTACAATTGCTGCTTGTAAATACATGCGTCGGTCTTCGTCGACAGATTTACGAGCGGATTGACTTTCTTGCTGACTATCACCTTGTGCTGCTGCTGTCACCTTAATCTTTGTACGTTTACTATATATCTAAAATGAGCATACAAGTACATGCATATTTTCCCTTTTATATATATATATATATATATATACCTGGTAAATGATGTGTTGACTTTGATCTCACTTGTTTGTGATAAAGGTTCGCCATTTACGGTTTCCAAAATATGCATATCGATCAATGGTTTTAAACTTCGGGTGGTATCTGCTTCTGTCAATCCAGACTGAAGTATGATATCATTAACAGCCAGAGACGTGCCTTCATTAAACAGAATTAATATGAGCATTTGGTACAAGCTCACTTGAAGTTCATAGTTCCTATCGAGATGATTGATACGGATTTCTCCTCGAGTTAAGTTCCATTGCCATAATAAACGTCTTCCGTTGTATTGATTTCCGTAAAATGTTTCGAATGATGAAATATTATTTTCAAGCTTTCAAAGGGTTATCTTAATAATAATGTATAAAAAATATACGTATGTATATAAAACCTTACCACGGTGGGTATCTGTATTTTGTTGGTATCTGGTCCTACGTCTTCTTTTTGGTTTAATGGCCATGCACCAGCTGTTAAAACGAGTATATCCATATTAACTAGTAATCCCTATAATTAGTATAGTGTTCAGAAAGCTATGGTTCTCTTTATTTTACCATGGCCCGTCAAATTCTTCTCCTTGACAAAGTTTTTGAACTTTGTATTCAAATCGCTACTAAGTGACATATCTGTAAACATCTTGTTTAATTTACTTGTATATTCCACACCGCAGATCTCTTTAAGACGATTTATCATGTTGATTTCTAGCTCCTCGGAAGAAGATGCGCCATAGATGAGACGCTTGGCCAACATTCTGGAATAAAACTTTTGGAAGACGTCTTTATCCTCAACGTATTTGAAAAGAGTTACCATCTTCATCAATCTTTCTTCTTGATCCCCTTCGTCCATATCCACTGGTTTCTTTAACCCCTTTCTCTTTGCGGTCGCAGGCTCTTTTTTACCTGCGTTCTTTTTCATCATCATATCGCAATAACGAGCTAATGTTTCGGGTCCGTTAGCAGGCAAATTCGTGCCTGCTGTGTCATTAATAATAGTTCTAAATGCTTTATCCACAGCGGCAGTAAACAAAGGGTCGGAGGAAAATACTTGTTGATTCATCTGATAATACTTCTGATGTAATGCTAGTAACTGGTCCACATAGGATTTGGGGTTCTTAGTCACACTGGATCCTAATTGCGTTACAATTTCTTTGCCTAATTTTGCAACGTAATTTTGATAAATGTCCAAAATTGGTTTTAATCCGTCTGGAATACGACTTAATAGGCTGTATGCTAGTGTGCAATCTTTTGAACATAATTGTGGCTTTAGTAAACGTGCAAACTCGTTTAACAGATAAACACTTTTACCTTGAAATCGCTCGTCTTTTAACATGATTTCAAATTCATCGATAATACGATCCTGATAGGCTGTAATATACTGAGCCTCAAATTCTTTAACGATACGTCCGTGCGATGTAGAATGACAGTACTGATTGTTACGCATGATTTCCTGTTGCAATCTATCCGACGCTCTTTGCATGAAACCACTGATACTTCCTGCTGCAATTTCTCTCGCTGCCTCAGCTTCATAATATCTTTTTGTATGGACCAAATAAGGTCTTTCAAATTCTTCAATGTACAATTGAAGTGGCTGCTCTGTGAACGAGTTGACCTGAACCAGTGAAGTAACAACAGACTTAATTGTACTATGAGGTGCATCGTCACCATCTCTGTCTTGTCGAATCAATTCAAACACTTGGTAGAACAGTTTGTTTTGGTATTTATCACGGATAGTAAAGAGAACATTGTTTTTCCATAGCAATAAAGCTAATGCTTCTACATTCTGTTTGCGGTATTTTCCAGAAGTTGCGCTATTAGCAGAGCGACTACCACCTGTATAGTTGGATGTGTTAATACGGTCCAAATAACAGCAACCACGAGACATGTATTCGGCTGCCAAAGCAAACCTTTCAAATGCACGAGCATAAGACGTGACAATGTCATCATTGGTCAGCATCATCTACATTGAAGATGGACATAAATATTTCCTGCAAAACAATTTGAAGAGGACAGAGAATATCGTATTATCCAATTACCTTGCACTCATTGGTGGTATGACCATCTATATATTCTGCAATTCCCGTAAATAATCTATCTGTGAATGGCCTTGGAATGGCAATGCACATGTCATAAACAACTCTACAGGTTCTTTATGTTAACGGAAATTTAAACAATTATTACAAAAGACATACTGATACATGGTCATTCCTTTAATCTGTTGTTGCTTTGAAGAGAAAGAATAGATGCCATTGAGCATATCAATTAGTTGTGAAAAATGTTGATCGAAATCAATGGCTTTTCTTCGCAGAGTCATTTGTTAAAGATAAATAAGAGAATAAAAGGGGGCAGTAAGCCATGCGGAACCGCTTAAAATAAGATGATTATTAGCCAATCATAATACAGCGAGAAATGCACCACATAGTTCTAAGAAAATCATGAACGTACTAAGCATAACGATTTCTTTTTAAGCACTAATATGTGAGAAGGACTATAGTTGAACATAATTTCTTTTTCTCTCATACGAAGAGTGATTTAATTGTTTCATCGTACTTTTATTTTCATAAACATTATCTAAATTAACAATGGAAGGATAAAGGATATTGAACTTAAATAAGATGTAATTTGTCTAGAAACTTCTCGACGGGAGCATTAGCTTTTTTCAATGCTTGTGCAAAGTCCCACTTGATATCATCAATATGTCTACAAAATAAAGCAAGATTAGAAAAAGCCTCACTGCCAAAAACATTAAACTTTACTTACTCAATACCGACAGAAACTCGGATCATGTCTTTTGTGATGCCATTATCCTCCTGTTCTTGATCACTCATTTGTCTGTGTGTAGTTAAAGCAGGCGCTATAACAAGTGTTTTGGCATCACCTACGTTAGCTAAATGGGACGCTAACTTAACAGATTCGATAAACACCTTAAGAGAACCCCTTATTCCAAATGTCAAAACCCCTCCGAATCCGTGCAAGTATTTTTTTGCGAGCTCATGCGAGGGGTGGTTTTTAAGACCTGGATAGGAGACCCAAGTTACATGTTCTCTGGATGAAAGCCATACAGCCAGTTCAAGAGCATTGTCGAGATGACGCTGAACCCGTAGAGATAAAGTTTCTAAACCTGCAGTACATAATTAATAAAATGATTATTTAGGTTGATATTATGCACATACCTTGGAGCAATAGGAATGATCCGAAAGGGTTATGACAGGCACCAATATCACGCAATGACTCGGATCTAAATCTATAGGTGAATGCAAGTTTTCCGAATTGATCCCAAAATTGCAGCCCATGATAACTGGCTGAGGGTTCAGTAAAATCCGGAAACTTTCCATTTCCCCAGTCGAAATTACCTGCATCAACAACTATACTTTATTGTCAACAATTGATTGCTCTTTAATATAGTTAATCTTTTTTGGGAGTATAGCACTTACCGACGCCACCAATAGTCGTGCCATGACTAAAAAAACGATTAAATTCCAAAGTCCAATCATATTACAATTTGCTTACCCTCCTATCCATTTCGTGGCAGAATGTACAACAATATCAGCTCCATACTTAATTGGGTTTACAATATATCCGCCAGCACCAAAAGTACTTGATCAATATTTGTGTTAGTATATACTTCTTAATAAAATCGCAATACTAACTTGTCAACAACAAGAGGTATACCGTTTTCATGAGCCACGTCGGCTAGTGCCCTAAAATCGGGGATTTGGAATTGTGGATTACCGATACTCTCGACGTAAATTAATTTGGTGTTTTCATCGATTGCTTTTCGGTAATCTTCGGGGTCATTACTTTGAATAAACTTAGTTTTAATGCCCAATCTTGGAAAAAGAACATTAAGCTGGTTGTAAGTACCACCATATACACTAGAGCTAGAAATAAGGTTGTCGCCTGTTTTACAAAGCGTAGCTATAGTCATAAATTGAGCAGCTTGACCTGAAAACAGTGTCAGTTGGTCTCCATCTTTAAATTTACGAAACCATACCGGAAGAGGTTGCAGTGGATAGTACACCACCTTCAAGAGCTGCCATGCGTTGCTCAAAAACATCTGTAGTAGGGTTCGAAAGCCTACATTTATGTTAACTTTACCGTAAACACAAATCAGTGCTGTATCTTACGTACCGGGAATAGACAAACCCTTTCTTACGAAATTCCATCAGGTCAGTGGCATGTTTAAAATCATCAAAAACAAAAGAAGTTGAAGCAAAAATTGGAACAGCTCGAGCTCTTGATGTCGCATCAGGGCTATGTCCAGCATGTAGCTGTAAGGTGTCGAAATGAAATCTGTGATCTTTTTCTGTCTCAGTCATTCTTTTTCTTTGATGTGGAATGAAGAAGATAAAAGAGAAAGCTTAAGCTCAACCTTCATGTTAAATATAAATGCTTTCCCACAGTCAAAAAAATAACACGCATATTTCAGGTGAAACGCATTGCTTTGTGCAACAACAAGCATATAAAAGAACAAGATGTACCTTTTTGTGCATTACGCCGAAATAAACTTAAAGCCTATGTAAGAAACAACAAACAAGTTAAATATTGTAATAATAGTTTCATCTATAATTTTTTTGTGGGCTTTGGGAATTGTGGCTCAATTAAAACAATGTTCTATGTAGGTACTAATTCGAAAATAGGTATGTACAAGAGAAAGCATATCCCCTGAAACTTTTTATCGACAAACGATGATTTTGGAAAATAATACTATTGGATTATTATACAGCTTACGTATTCAGTTTACGGGTTACTACCCTTGCAAACATTGATGTTAAAAAACAAGAATGGGTGCCAAGGACGCAAGCATAACATTCAATAATTATAGATAATATCGAACAGATTTGCATAAAAAATCATTTGGTTTACCTAAATCAAACAGCATGTTACTCAATAATAATTTACCATGCGTCTGGATAGCTTACATCACGAATGATAACATTACTTTAAGATGATATCAGCATGTGTCAAAGTGGGCATATAGAACTTTTAAAAAATTACGGAGCGTACTTTCGATCTGGAGCGTTATCTTCTACCCAGATTTTTAAAATGACACAATAGCAAGTGCTGTATCCCACATTTTTTTTTCGGACCGTCACCACTTCAAACAACTAGTTGATTCTCATTGACTTCACTCTATGCGACATCATACCATCCTGGGTGTCATAAGTGAAGGGTTTTATTTAATAGGTATTTTCAACTTAAAATGACCCTCCTCAATTTACGCTATATCAACTGCCATGCCGTCTCCTGTGGATGCCATAATAAAGAATCGATTGTTTCCGACCAAACCAAAATTAGATACACTGGCTACTTCATACTTATTTTCGAAAAAGGGACTCCATTTTAGTTTACTGAGGGAGTTAGCTTTCTGTCAGGGTACATATATTTTATCGTTACCGAGTACCCATTGAAAGCCTTCAGTAAAGAATTGTGTAAACATGGCGGGAGGAGTGATGTCCTGTAAGGAGAAAAAGCTAATATTCAATAAGTTAAAGTTGATTGTGTGGTGGTCCAAGCATAATCTCGAAGAGAAAGACGATACAACAGCGATACAAAGACATCGAATTTAACAGGGATCAAGATATTTGACAACTTTTGCTGGAGATCAGCTATCAGCAAAAATTCGAGTGGCTTTTTTTTTTCTTTACTATCGTATTAAACAATTATGCAGTAAATTAACATAAATTATGGGTGTTGACAGTGCTGTTATTTTTAAAAAAGGAAAATAAAGCCTCTTGGTGTCACCAATATTAGTTTTTATTTTGGCCCGATTGGGCTGAAGGCGGAAATGAAATGAGCCTCAGCCAATTTCAAATTCTAATTTACTTACTTTCTCTCTGCTGCATTCTTTGAATTCATTTCGACTAGCAACAATCGGCTTCGCAACTAGTCTTTTACCAAAATAACCATCTCGACATAACTCCAACAATCTTATTAATAAACAGCAGCTTCCATGTCGTTCCTAGCATCTATATTTGACATGTTTTTGGGATGTTGTATATCCAGTTCTAATCTCAGTATCAATGGAAGAGCATACCGCATTGTAAAGCTACTAGGAGAAGGGTAAACTTTGGTAATTCCCACTGTGGTATATATGGTATATTAAAGATGTTTTTCTTGTTATTTAGAGGGTTTTCATTTGTTTATCTAGCCCAGGATGGGTCAGGTAATTTATATGCTTTAAAGAAGATTCGTTGTACATTAGGTACAGAGGAAGCAGATTTAGCACAAAGAGAAGTGGATATATATCGATTATTTTCTCATAAAAATATCATCAAGTTGTTGGTAAGGTTTCGTGTCATTTTATCGGAATATTTGTTTAACCTTTTTATCTTTTATGTAGGATTCTAGTACAATTACAGAGTCGGATGGTAGTAAGACGATTTATATATTTCTTCCCTATTACAAGGTAAATACACTAACATACATTAGAAAAGGAATTTGTGCTGAGATTTTAAATAGAGAGGTAATTTGCAAGATGCAATCAACAAACATAATTTAAACAAGACGCATTTCCCTGAATCCGATATGATTCGCATGTTTCGAGAAATTTGTGTGGCTGTGAAAGCCCTGCATACATACAAGGCTCAAGGTGGCGCTCGGGTTATGTACGAACCCAGTCAGGTTATTTCCACTGAAGATGAAAATCGACAAGATGAAGCACTATTAAGCCGTAACCCACAAGATGAATCGAGCGGCGGTGAGCAAGTAGCTGTTGGAAAGAGAGGAGAAATGGTTCCCTGGGCACACAGAGATATCAAACCAGGGTAAGTTTTATAACATATATAAACAGATGAATACGACCAGTTACTAAAGAATACTAGAAATGTGTTGATTGCTGACGATGGAGAGACTCCTATATTGATGGATTTTGGCTCTGCGTGTCCTGCCCGGATTCATATTGAAAATAGACAGCAAGCGCTGTCACAACAAGATCTTGCAGCTGAGCAATGTACAATGCCCTATAGGGCACCTGAATTATTTGATGTAAAGACTGGTACAACATTGGATGAAAAAGTGGATATCTGGTCATTAGGTTGCACACTCTTTGCTATGGCGTATGGGCAGTCTCCTTTTGAGGTCAACATGGACCAAGGTGGGTCTGTCGCATTAGCGGTGCTTAATAACCAGTATAAGTTTCCTGCCAAAGACGATCATTATTCACAAGATGTCAAGGATGCTATTAAATGGATGTTAACAGCAAACCCTGCAGATCGACCAAACATTCACCAGGTAACTATGAAACTTGAAAATATGAAGGAAAAAAAACTCATCATTTCTCCTAGGTATTGCAAAGAATGGATGATATATCCAAAGAGACTAGTTCAAACGAATAATAAAAAAGTCGCAAAAATTGTATTTTATAATGAGATAAGACGTGATGATATAAAAAAGAAGGGGGCATTTGTTTATTATTTGTGTTATGGCTCAAATTGTGTAATTTGATAAGAATTTTAGTCATAAGAAAACAGATAGTCTTATCTTTTCAAGCCTAATCAGGTTGATGACGATGAGGATGGTGTTAATTGATACCTTGATAAAAATGAGGTTGATGAAGGTGGCGGTGGTGGAGGTGAAGAAGGTGCTTGTTTTTTTTCTGATTCAGTATTGTAAAGAGAGGGTATAGCTTCAAATAAGGATGGAATACTTTTTTTAAACGCGGAAGGTGATGTGGGTTTATCCGCATTGGCTGCCATGCCGAGCATCATTAGTGAAGTTAATAAATTTTTTTCTTGGCTAGCAGTTTCTGTGGCAGGGGAGGATTGTCTTTGAAGGTTCATTATGGTCATTACGGATTCTACTGTTTTTAATATTTCACTGGTTTGTGATAGTAATTTTGTTACATGTTCAAGTTCTTTTTCAAGGTGTTCTCTACGTGCTTCTAAATTTTTTTGAAAATTTGATGGTTCGAGTATCATATTTGATAATATAGATGATATAGATGATGTATTATTTGCTGCATCATTATTTGTTGTTATACTTATTAATGACTTTAATGTGGATAGTAAGATGTTTTCATTGTTAGCGTTCACATTTTCTTGTTGTTTTAAAATATCATTTGCCATTAGAAGAGATGCTGGTGGTGATGGGGGTGGTATTGAACTTGAATAAGAAGGATGTGAATAACGCTTTCTTTTAACACCGGGTTCGTTTGTATTATCAACCACAATATCTGATGGGGCTGGAGAGATTATTGGTAGACTATCCATGCCTAGTTGTTGTGGTAAACTATTAAATCTTTTGCGTCTTTTGATAACGTTCCTCTTCATTGTGATGGGTCTTTGGACATTGTGAAGTTTGAAATATAATCCACATGCATTGCAGATAGTATTTCCAGTTTCATCTCTTCTCCACAATGGAGTTGTATTTGTTTCACAATTAAAGCACTGAATAACAGGTGGAGTCCACCTTATGCTACTTCGCTGCCAGCAATGACGACAACCTTGACAGTTTTCTCTGGAATGTTGTTGTTGTTGTTGTTGTTCTGAACTTGATTGATCTGGAGGTGACAACATTTTTAGTTTGATAAATGTATAAAAATGTGAAGGGAAAGAAAAAAAGAAGGGAAAGTGAGGCTTGAAGGTCTATTTAAATGAATAAATTGATAACAATTATTATGGGTTTGATTGGTCTGTGATAAAGTCAGCAATTCTTACATTTTTATACTTGACAAACGATAAGATACAAGCTTATATTACAATAAGGGTCAAAAAGGGCGTTATCATTTTATAATTAAATCACTTCCCTATCCGGTACCCCACATACTAATTGACTGATAAAGGATAAAGGCTGTGATACAACAAATAAACTTGTGACTTGATTCAATATACCTTATCTCTCTCACTACCTCATTTGTTATTGTTTTCTCCCCCTTTTTTTAAGAAGAAAGTCTCTTATAAAACAATAACAAAAACAAAGTTTTTCTTTGCCACATCAAATTATGATCATTGCTTTAATATTTATACTTTTGTTTCAATACGTGTATAATGATGATCACCTTCAATTTGGTTTTGGTACTGCAGCTACCGCGTCGTTTAAAAATTATCATATTCGAGTGAAACAACCGATATCGTGCGAAAATAGTGTTCAAGTAAGACCAAAAAAAAAAAAAAAATCCCTTCAGTTTCCCATTAAAATTGTTTGATAGTATTCTGGGTATATTGACAATCTCGTTACAAATGAACATGTCTTTTTTATTTTTTTGGAATCGCGTTTTGCACCAAAGACAGACCCAGTTATACTCTCTCTTAACGGTCAACTGGGTTGTTCCTCTATAACAAATGTATGGTTTGAAACGGGGTAAGTCCTTTTCTCTTTTAATGCATAAATTTCTAAAAAAGGCGATTCTTGTTCGTTTTAGTCTTTGCCTGGTCAAAAAAGCTGGCATTGAAACGAATCCGTTTAGCTTTAATAATATCGCGAATATCCTTTATGTTGATCAGGTAGGAAAATCATACAAACAATAGATAAGATATACTCATCACATGGTTTAGCCAACAGGCGTAGGTTATAGCTATTCATCTGGAAAGAAACCATCCACTTGTGCTCAAGTGACAGAAACCATTTATTGGTTTTTGCAATCCTTTTTTACAGAATTTAAACAATTTGCTCGTAACGATTTTCATATCGCGGGAACTTCTTATGGTACCACTGCCCTATTTTTTTTTTTTTTTTTTTTTTTACCAGTATTAAACTTTTTTTTTTCCAGCTAGTCATTTTGTACCTTCTTTGGCAACTCATATCATTCGTGAAAATAGATACGCTTCTTCCTCAAATAAACTCCCTATCCAATTGGCATCTATCATCCTTGGCAACGGTTATATCAACCCTCGTGCACACAAATTATCATATGCTGAATACTCCTGTGATAATAACAAATGTACGTTTGATTACTTCTAGTTCATGATTTCCTGATATTAATTATTATTATCTTCCGTAGACAAGCCTATCTATGATAAAGTGACTTGTCAAAAAATGAAGACTAACCGTAGACAATGTAACTATTTACTAAATCAATGTGATTCTTGTACTCCCTCTCTTCTTTATTGCAAAAGGACCCTGGTGGATCCATTTTATTCAAAAACTCATCTCAATCCTTATGATATTCGAAAAACCTGTCTACTTAACAATCATATAGACTCTTGTTATTCCGAGATACAGGACATTGTAGAATATGCTAATAGCCAGGAAGTGAAAACCGAATATGGTATTGATTCTGAAGCAGGTGAATTTCAGAATTGTAACAGCCATGTGAAAGCCCGTTTTGATATGACCAAGGATAGGTAAACCCCTCTCCCCATAATCATTAGTCTTGATACACTAACCTTATTAAAACATTAGTTTGGTAAATACGATGGATCAGATTGAAAAAGTATTAGCTACAAATATTCGTGTGTTAGTTTATGCAGGTGACATGAATTGGTATAACAACTGGTACGGACAAACAGATTGGCTTTCCAAACTCGATTGGATTGGTCAAGTGGGTTTCAATGACGCAAAAGATAAAGATTGGTTTAGTTACGTCTCTGGTCAGAAGGCTGGTACTGTTAAGAGTTTTTTAAATCTCTCCTTCGTCAAAGTTTTTAATGCTGGTTACTATGTAAGATTGATTTTATGTATCTTAAATCACTCCCCAGCTAATTATATGAACCAGTCAATTTACGATCAACCAGCTAATATGATTGACTTGTATTCAAGGTGGGTCATGAATGTGTCTCTTGGCTATTAATAACATATAGTTTGTGCACGTCTCCTTTTTTTTTTGTACGTGTGTAGTAGTAATTTATTAAGTAATGATTAAAAAGTAATTATTGATATTTTTACGCAAGCACAAACACAAAACTTGAGATTATAGTGACTAAAATGGTAGCCTTCAGAATGGCCAGTGAATAAGCATTACTAGCACTTTTAGGAAATCTACCGGAAGATATTTGATTGTCAAGTCCACCTGGTGTCTTTGACTCGGGCATGACTACAAAAAACATACAATGATGAGTATTTTGTTTTGTTCTGTAATAAGTGGGGTAAAAATCATACCGGCATTAGCACCAACAATGCGCAAATTTCCAGAATTGCAATGATAAGGAGCTGCTCCAAGCGTCATATAATCTAATGAGAAGAAGAAGAATGAATATGATGGTACGGGAGTAAACTAAAAGGAAAACTTGCATGCGTTAGAAGGGATAAGATTTCTAGGTAGCTCAACAACCATTTTTCCCGGTTCAGTTACTACATCTGATGCAAGTATGATTGGCTTTTGATTTGCACCGTCTGACTGGATTAAATAGACACTGGGAAATGCTTCTACATGTGAATTTGACCTGGGAAGATAACGAAACATTGGATGATTAAAAAAAAAGAATTTTACTGTTTTATCTAATCAATTATTTTTACCACATTATTTTCATTTTTTCTCCGGCTGTAACGATAGTGTTACCGATAGGATTTGTAACTAGATAACACGTTATTACACAAAGAAAGAAAATTATCAGTTATAGACAAAATTACCAATGCAGTCCTCTTGGATATCATTGATAAGCGCATGAGCCACTGTCGCCAAAATTAGTAATAGAAATGCTTTCATAAAAAAATAGTTTTTTGTTTTTGAAAATATAAACAAAAAGATTTAATGACATTTTCCTAAATCATTTATAATCGCTAAATAAATTTGAGACATCAGGAATAAATATGGAATATATAATCGGAATCAATAGCTTGTCAATGGCCACTCTTGATTTGAGGTTACACCTTTCTCGAATATTGATAAACAGGTCTCGGCAATCTTCAGGGTGATCCTTTTCACTTTTTTCTGGGCCAGTCGTCGGTTGTTTAATTTGTTTTTTACCCTTTTGCGAAAGTCTTTACATCAACCAGTATGTATGTGAAGCTCTCCAACATGGATGCCATCATTGGGGTTATTTTCTCTATCAACGTGTGGGAAAAAAAATTCCAGAAACTTTATTTATCATTAATGCCGATTTGGAATGAAAGGAAAACCACTAACTGGCTCTTGATGTGTAGCACCAGTAACACCATACTATGCCTTTTTCTCTCTTGAAAATGCTGAATACCACATATCTATCTACCATAGATAAGCCAGAAAATTAGTATTGTTTTTCTTCTATTTCTGGCAATACCGAAAAAGAGGCTCAAGGCACCTCATGGAGTTAAGGGAAAATGATTTATTTTGACGTTTTGAAGCTCCTCTTTTAAGGAGTGTGGGTAGTTTTTTCGGAAATAGGTATTTCCGGCTTAACAATGATGAAACAAGATGTGTCCTTATTATTGCTTTGATAGCTGACTTTCTGTGCATAGTACAACGATATAAAAAATTGATACACCATATCTTTACCTTTAGGGTTGACTTTATCATCTTGATTTTTTACTTGTTCCACACTAGTTTTGAGTACTTAATTAAATTTAAACAATGAGAAGTAAATGGTCAATTTATCCAAAGTATGGTCTTCAATTGATTTTAGAGAGAGAGATGACATTTGTTACGTTCTATGATATTTTTTTTTTGTTTGATTCTCTCTATTCGCGAACATTAGTAAATTAAATGACCGGTATTAAATAAGAACAAGACATATTTTGAAATTTTATACGTGAACAAACATGATTAAAGCATCTTCTTGATGCTTTAAGTTACAGACTTGTTTTATATTAATATAGAACAAGATTGTCTAAAGGTTTATTACACCTATTTTTGCTATAAATCTTTTACTTCAATACGATATACTAGTTGTGGTCTTGAGGTTTCTCTTTGATCAAAACCTGCACATACATTCGGATTTTCTAACGAGTGAATGAAAGCCAATGTTAAACTAGAAAATTGATAAATTTTAAAGTAAAACTTCGTCTTCTTTAGCGATTTCTCATGTAAAAGCATTATGTTAGATGCGCTGAGTTTTAAATATTTCCATGAAAAAGGGCCACTGCTTTTATTTTTGTTGCTCTTTTTACTGAAGTCATTTTCTCTAAAATAAGCATGTCAAGTAGTTACCTCTCTGATTCTTTTCCTTACGAAAACGAGGATGAAGAAGAAAATTTACACGTAATAAACATTTATTAAAAAAATGCAAAGTCCAAAATCTATGAAAATAAAGTATTGACAGCCCTTTTTAACATAGGAGGAGTCAGCCTATAGCGATGCCATTATGTTTGCCATTGACTGTAGCGAATCCATGTTAACAGTGACAGACGGTGAAATTCCAGTCATTGTGGCATTGAAAAGTGTTCGAAGTACTATCCTAAGCAAGATCGCAAGTAGTCCAAGAGACCAAATTGGCGTCGTACTGTATGCTACGGTATGTTACTTTGTACGCGGTAAACATCCGTAGTCACCAACCTTTTTTTTTGTAGAGGGAAAGTAATAACTCTGCACAAAAAGACCATATTTGTGTTATGTGTCCCTTGGATGTTCCTGATGTACCGCGTATCAAGGAACTCGATGCGCTTATTCAAGGTAAAATTCAAGACTGACATATATCTATATTCTTTTGCTGATACGATAATCCCTTAGATGTATCCATGTTTAAGATAATGTACGGATCAACTAACTTTCTTTTCCCCATTGGGGACGTGTTCTCGGTTCTATCTGATGCCATGTCAAAAGCTCCAAAGACCTCCAAAAAACGTGTCTTCTTGATCACAAATAATGATGATCCAACAGGTGATAATCCTGTTTTTAAGAAGACTTCCATACAGAGAGCAAAGGTTGGATGATTTACTCTTCCGGTTTTAGAGAAATACTAACCTTGTAATTTATCAGGATCTGTGTGCTGATAATACCATTACCTTATTTGGATTGGATACGGCTGAGAAAGTATTTGATACAAACAAGTTTTACAAGGTAATTCAAACAAAACAGGTAGTAACCCTGTAAATCTGACCTGCAGAAAAAACGAATAGGATATCGCATCATTTGGTGAAGAGGACTTTGGAACTGGAACTAAAACCGGACAATTGACGAGTTTGATGGATATGGTAGAAACTAGCAGTAAACAACCACGATCTGCTTTCCGAATTCCGTTCGAAATTGCGCCAGGTTTGACCATTGGTGTTAAAGGCTATAATTTGGTCATTGAAGAAAGAATTCCTCACCCTAAAAAGTTTACTACAAACGCCGAGAAAATCGAAGAGGTTGTGGTAGAAACGAGCTATCGATGTGTGGTAAGAATTTTGCATTAAACATCTCTTTGTAATTCTAAAAGCAAAACAAACAAACAAAAAAATAGGATACAGGAAAAGCCCTTGCGACAACAGATATTAAAATAGGGTATGAGTTTGGAGAAGAAATTATTGAATTTTCAAAAGAAGACATTAGCAAACTTAAAACTGTTCGTGATCCAAGTAAGTAAATTTATTGTGTCAATTAATACGTCTGACTCATGGGTTTATATAAAGGTCTTCTAGTCCTGGTATTCAAAAAGAAGACTGAACTGAAAGATTACCATCAAATTTCACATCCATACTTCATCTATCCTGATGACTCGGTAATACTTGCTTCAGCGTATAAAAACAATACTCATATATCAACCAATCAATAATGTTATTATAGAGCTATATTGGAAGTGCTAAAACCTTTATGGTATTATTAAACACCCTATTGAAAAAAGATCAGATCGGCATTTGCTCCTTGGTGACGAGAAGAAATACTATTCCAAGGATCGTTGCTCTTGTGCCACAGGTAAGCAATATTATGCAAAAGCTTTGAATAAAAAATTAATCAAATGACACTTTATAGATTGAGAAGACAGATCCACAGGGAAATCAAACACAGCCCCCTGGATTCCAATTAGTTAAGCTACCTTATGCTGATGAAATCAGACCTGTCCCACCTGTCGTTACTCCTGTCAAGGGTAAGAGTATAAGTAAAAAACGTACCATTTGCTAATTAGTATATGTTAACTATAGTTAACGACCCTGCACGTGAGGCTGCCAAAGATCTTATTCGCAAATATGAAATTGAGTATGATCCTTCGAAATATCACAATCCAGGTACGTATGATATTGTGGCTTTTTGGGATAAGATGTTCATTCGACTTTTTGTTTTGTATGTATGTAGCTATTCTGAACCATAAGATTGCAGTTCAGAATATTGCACTTGGACGCGGACCTGAAGAAAAGCCAGTCGACACACTTCTTCCAGACTATCAATATATTGAACATGTAAGTGATTAGTTTATTGCTATTTTTTTTTAAATTTCACGGACTAAATCGATATGTTATAGAATCTTACAGCCGTAATTGATAACTTCAAGAACTTGGTTGGATTGGATGGCATTACTATTGCGGATTTGAATGACTATGCTGCACCAAGTGGATCCAAGCGAAAGGTATGTAGCGGCCATGCATGTAATAATTACACCTATTAACACCTCTAGTAGTCGGCTGTTGGTGATGATGATTCTCTTCTTGAAAGAAAGGCAAAGGCTTCTCATTTGAATATTCCTGAAATGTGGAAAGCAGGATTATTAACAAATGTAAGTGAAGGTAAAATGTTTAGGATATTTTACAAATGCTAAAAGAGGAATACTTTTAAGGCTACAAATCAATTATTGAAAGACTTTTTGACAACAAAAAGTATTCAACCAAAGAAACTCAAGAAAGATTTGATCACTCAAATTGACGAACATTTATCAAAAACCGAAGGAAAGTAAGGGAACTGGCCTTCTACTGTTCTAACTGCAGCAATTGTGTGTATAATAATAATAAAAGTCGTCCTTTGAAGCCAGTGAGTGTGGCTAAGCTTCAAATATTTTAAACACGTAACTGGTAATAGATATAGAATATTTTTATTTTACGGCGGGCACTGGTTATATGTTGGTAAATGCACCCGCATACAGACGGTCATAAAATGCAAGAATTTAAATGAAGTAGGGTTAAAAGATTTATACAATATATTAAAAAAAGGGAAGGGGAGGGGGGGATCTGTGATTTTTTTTTTTTTTTTTTTGGTGTAGTTTTTTTAGCTAAAGTTCTTCATCATTTCCATCATTTTACTCATATCAGGCATACCACCGCCACCTGGAGCCCCGCCGCCACGACCAAACATACCGCCCATTTGTCTTGCCATCTTTTGAATGCCCTCCATGCCACCCATTTGCTGTAACATTTGAGGAGGCACAAGGTTGGCCATACTTTGTTGCATTTTACCAATTTGAGCCATTTGGTTAGGGTTCATCTTTCTGGGATCTGTAGGCATGTTTTGCATCAAGCCGTTCTTTCCACCCATTGTCTTAACCATCTCTGCAAATCGTGTATATTGGGTCAAAATTTCTTGAACTTCATGCACGGTGGTACCAGAACCACGAGCAACACGAATGACTCTGTTGATATCATCAAATGGCTTATTATCGCCATCAAGCTCTATATATAAATTATCAGTGTCTCTGTAAAACACATAATTTTATAATATATTACCTGTGTCAGTCATACTATCCATGATACACATCATACGTTTAATACGCTTGGTGCCTTCTTGTTCCGTACCAGCCAACATCTCTGCAGGCATACCTGGTATATTTCCCATCAATTTTGAAAGGGGGCCCATTTTAGAGACTTGTTGAAATTGTTCGTACATGTCGCGAAGTGAATATTGACCTTTTTCGATATTCTTCATCAGTTTTTTGTTGTCGCCTAATTGCATTGTATCTTGCACTTGTTCAATCATGTCACGCATATCATGCATACCAAGCACTTTACGAATAAATGATCTAGGTTCGAAGCGTTCCATGTCTTGAAGATGTTCACCGGTACCGATGAAAATAATAGGACTATGTGTGGCTGCAACGCTAATGACAATGTATATGTCAGTTCCAAACTCTTGTTGAAAAATATATAAATATAAAATAAAAAAAACTTACGCGGAAATAGCTCCACCACCCTTAGCATGACCATCCATCTTGGTCATAATAATAGAACCAAAATCAGCAGCTTCCTTGAAAGCCTTTGCTTGGGATTCGGCAGCTTGACCAATGGTACCATCCATGACAAAGATAGTAGTATCTGGTTTCTGCAAAGGGTGTTAAAAGAAATTATAAGAGAGAGGAATGATGTAGACTTACGACAGCAGCGGAAATTTGCTTCATTTCCTCAAACAATTCAACTTCTTGCTTATGACGACCTGATGTATCGACAATGATAATTTCAAACTTATCAGCCTTGAATTTCTCCACACCTTCTAATGCAATGGCAACGGGATCTGATTCAGTGTAGCTACCATAGTAAGGGATTTTAGCTTTGGTGGCATTTTGCTTCAATTGATCAAAGGCACCAGCACGGAAAGTATCTGCACAGACAAGAGCGACTTTCCAGCCTTTGCGTTGATAGAAGGATGCGATCTTTGTACAGGTGGTTGTTTTACCCGCACCTTGAAGGCCAACCATCATAAAGATATTGGCACGACGCTTCACAGGTTTATAAGGCTCAACTTGAGGATCGACCAAGTTATATAATTCATCCATAACAGCCTATTCTTTTTCGTTTTCCGTTAGAGTTGTAATCTAATTTACGAATTTGCGATGTTCAGTTTACCTTTTCAATCATGCGTTTCTTGTTAGCACCATTGGCCAACTCGTCCAGGTTGACATTCTTTTTGATGTTGGCACGTAACTTTTGAACAAGCATGACATTGACATCAGATGCAAGCAAAGCACCACAAATTTCTCTAACCAAGGAATCAAGAACCTAATAGAAAAAAAAAAGATGTGAGTGTCATCATCTAGACCAAAGAAGCATCTGATGTATTTTACTTTCTCATCAATAACAGGGGCCTTTGTTAATTCGGTGAAGGCCGAATTAATCTTACGTCCTAAATCAGCTAAAACCATTGTTTATTTTTTTCTTATGAAAGTAAAAGAAAGAAAAAGATTTTTAAAGAAGCGATAATGAGAGAGAGAGAGAGGGAAATAAAATTAAAAAAAAAAGCGTGACGCTAATTTCAAATGGTTTGCAAGAAGCTTTCAACATCGAACAGATAATCGTGATAAGGTGCGTGAATATCTCCACTGCTCGTATCCTCGTCATCCGTCATCTCAACTTCCCCATCCGTCGTATCATAAAAGAATCCTACAGGAAAGGTGAATAGCTTAGCCAGATGATGAGAATAATGGATATTTTACCTTTGTGATCAAAGACTTCGTTGCTGAATGGATCAATAGCATCAATATCGTCAATTGAATCAAATTCAAACACGTCTTTGTCTTTATTGGTGTGTCTAAAGAATTGGTACGACAAATGATCCGCATTGCCAGAAAACACAGAATAGTCAATTATGCAGTCATCATCAGGCAAATAAGGCAACTCTATCTTTTCGTATCAGCCAAAAAAAAAAAAAAAACTACAAGTATATATTGTGCTTTACCGAATTCTCTGGGTGGACCGTACTCAACGTCTTTCTCAGTCAAGTCGGTGTTATCTGATTTAACTAAAGATTCATCAAGTTCCGTAAATGTATCCAATGGTGCGAGTGGTTCCATGTTGAATGCTCTTTTCATAATGGGTAATTCATCTTCAAGTGCGTCCTTCAGTTCTGTTGTATCGGCCTCAAATGAATCGAATGACATATCAAATGCAGGTGTCCATTGTTCTTCTATCATCCACAGCATATTTAATGATATTTTCTTTTTTAATTCAAAAGAATAGTTTACCTTGCTCTAGACGGCGAATGGTCTTTTCAACTGGTCCAAGATTTTGCTTCTTTGGTTTTAAATAGTGCTTGAGACCTGCCGTAGTAAATATATTAATATGCTACATTCACTATGTTTGTGTTTTGGTCACAGAAACACGCTACCAACTGCAGATTCTGATCGTTTAAGTGGAATGACAGACGTAGCTTCTACAAAGGATGTTGAGTACCGTGTCTATAGTGTTTATATATGTTTCTTTTTACTTTTTTCTCCGTCGTTTGAGTCGTCACCAATACTGAAATCGTCGTCTTTGAGAGAAGCAAAGGATTGTTTCATATTGAAGTCATTGGTGGTGAAAGACCTGTTCAAGCCGCTCTTACCGAACTGCTTTTGAAACTTGTTCTGAACAGGGCTTTCATGAACGAAGTTTTCATTAGAAAACGAATTGCTCTTCTTTATTAGTTCTCTTGGTTTACTCATTAAAAGAAATAAGGGGGTAAAAACAATTTTTTATTATTTTTTATTTTTTAAATCAGTTAAAGACGCATTAAGACGAGTCACACAACTCCACCAAGAGTTTACCTCTGGTTTGACCACCATGAATAGCATCCAGAGCTTCTCCGAGACGATCAAAAGGGTAAGTCTTGTATACAAAGGTTTTCAAAGCGCCTTGATCTATTAATTGGAAGAGACGATTCCACCACTTGTCAGCATCCTCCTTGTTGGTCATGTAGTGGTAGACACTACTTCCTTGGATACTACTATTTCTGGGAAATAGCTTGCTTATTTCAATCTACATAGAATATGAGTTTCACATCAAAAATACAAAATGAAATAAAAAAGATTACTTACTGGTGGGGGACGACCTGCAGCAAATCCGTAAGAAACAACCAAGCCATTGTATCGAAGAGTCTGGATGGAAGATTCTTCAAAGGAAGCACCACCTACACTATCCAACGAAAGGTGCACTCCTTCACCTTTGGTTATTTCCAACACGCGTTGGAGAATGTTTTCTGATTTGTAATTGATAACGTGATCTGCACCCAACTCCTTGACAAACGCAGCCTTCTCATCCGAGCTTGTGATGCCAATCGCTATGCCACCTTTTTGATGAACCAATTGCACCAAGATGCTTCCTACGCCACCTGCTGCTGCATGGATCAAGACATAATCGCCCTTTTTTACGTTATAAGCACTCTCTACCAATGTAATTGCTGTCAGACCTTGTGTAGCAATGGTAGCAATGGTTTCAAACGAGACATTATCAGGAATTTTGTGTGCTTTCAAGTCGAATTCATGATAAATAGAGTATTCAGCGTAAGATCCGTTTTCAAAAGATATGATACGGTCGCCGACTTTATAGTCTGTAACTCCTTTACCTACTTCCACAACTACGCCAGCACTAAACCGTTATAAATAAATAAAAATTAATACAAACTCACAAGCGTCGATTGTCCGATCATTTACCCTTCTGTTCCAAAAGTTCCGCTTGCAGGCATAGGAAAGATACCACGCGCTTGAAGAGAGTCTACGTAGTTGACACCCAAGACCTTGTTTTTTACAACAATGGTATTCTCTGTAGCAGCAGGGCGGGGAACTTGTACAAAGTTTATTTTATTATCTGTGCTTGTAGCAGCCAACATCTTTTTTATTTTTTGTTTAAAATGTAGATTCAATCAAGTCAAGTAAAAATTTGGGCTTATATAGCCTTGTTTTTGCTTTCGGCTATAATTTTTCCTGGGTCATCAATTGTTTAGGTTCATTTGTAAGCTTGTGTGCCCTTCTTCGAAACTGAGTAACGGGGAAACCCTAATCAGGTAACGGCTTTTTTTTTATGCCTGTGAGTTTATGTTGTAATATAGTATGCAATTGACGCATTACTATACCAGCTATTTTTGATTGACTATGCAATAAATATGCGATGTGAACTATACGGGCAGCATAATGTGTTTTCCATAATTGTCCATTATTTAACATATATTTTAGGCTAATTTATCTCCTGGTAGTAAGGCTGCGCAGTAAAGAATTGCTGACAGGTGGACCGTGCTACAAAGATTTTAGAAGAAAAACTGCTAACCCATTCGATAAAGTTGATTGCGTATGCTAAAAATCCGAAAAAAGACTCAACTAATATAGGAAGACAAATTTTATAATAAAGTAAATTGTATTCATACCAAAGCATATATAAGTAAAAATCACTATATATCTACATATATACTAAATAGTGGTTCCCCTTACTTAGGACTGTGCATATATTTTTGATGAAAGGAAAAAAAAGTATGGTCCAGTTCAGGGGAATAGATTTGCTTTCATGCAAACAATGCATTCCCATAATATCAAGTTGTACTTAAATACTTTGCTTTTTCACTTTTTATACGTTTACCGGCTGCAATTTGCAACTTCACAAAACTTTCCTTTTTCGGTATCTTTTCTTGCAAGAGATAGTCGTAAATGTGGCATTTTAATATTATAATCCCAAAGCATACAAAATGATTGCAGTCTATGGGGGGTTATCTTAGATATTGTTAATATTCAAAAGAATCTATTTATTTTGGCATTGTCCAACTTGTCTCTGTTCGAATTTTAAGACGAATCGTCAAGATGTCTAGGAAAATAGCTTGGGGTAGTAGTTTATTCTATACACAATACGAAATATTTATTTAATGCTCAGCTAAACAAATGATGATTAAACAAGTGATTATTGTAATCTGACGTGTAGTTCAAATTTTTCTGTTTATTACAAATAAAGAAGATCTGTTTTCTCTTCCATCGGTAAGAGGAAAATAAGATCTAGTACCTCATCCACACAAATTTACATTAAAAGAATTGATAAACAAAAATTGAGTGTAATATAAATATTCATTATAAACTATACGAATTACATTTGCAATGACAATGTGTTAGCATACAAAACGTATATTACATTTTGGCAACAGGATATTACTGCTACGGCCAGTGCTTTGTTCCTGACATTAATCGCTCTTCAAAAGCGTTGTTTAAATATCTTGGGCTCCCTTTTTAATGCAAACTGTATTCTTATTGAATACTTGCATTAAACAACAAGACACTCGATAAAAAACCTGGGTTCTAAAAGGGACCTTTCGAACTGATCATTATTGTTTGTTAATAACTAAGGAGCCCACTTTTTGGCATTCTGCCATGTTTTTGGTTTTGGGTTTGAAAATCTTCAAGCTGACTTTTGAGCAAGTAGCACAACGTAAGTAGCCAAAGCTGGATTTTGACACAAGCTCATTATAATAAAAATATCAATCGCAATTTCCATTTCCCATATTCAACACTGTTTCAAATTGATCAAATAAAACATCCATGCGAATCTTAAAAGAAAGGAATACATATCACGATAGAAGTGTAAGAGTGCTATCACTAAAAGAATAAAAGTTCGATCATCGAGAGCTTTATACTTAATTACGGGGTAGCTAATTTATACGGACACCGTTTTTTTTCGGTGTAAAAATATTTTTTTTTTTTTTTTTTTTTTTTTTTTTTTTGCACTGCAAAATATTATCAGGGACACCGTTTTTCTATATTCAAGACAATCTCACATTGACTAAAATGGCAGAAGAAGCTATTAAAGAAAGTGAACTGCTCATTCAAGAGTTTCTTACAGAGTTCACTAATGATGTTGAAATCAACGATGGCTTCGATCAAACGCTGGGAAAGGTCACCGTCGAACAAGAACTTCCCGACAAAAATATTATCTTGGACGAGTTTGACTGGGACTCTGTCGGTAACGCAGAAGATGTAGTAGAGAATGACGTGGAAAGTTACCAAAACGACTTTCCGGTAACATCCTTTGAGGAGACTGTTGGCAGCAGTGAAGCTGTCGTAAGTATGAAGGAAGCTTTTGAGAACGAGTTTCCTTGGAACAAAAGGTTTGCAGATAAAAACTCTGCAAAGGTCGAAATTCAGGATTTTTGCAAATCCAAAAATATTCCTTTTGAGACACTCAGAAGTGATAAGGTTTACCTCAAACTGGTCTGTAAGCATTTTGGAAGATATCGCAACACTAGAGGCGAAGAAAGTATGTATTTAGTGGCTTTATGGTTATTGTAGTTGCGTTAACAAAGATACAATAGATGACGAAAAAGTGGGAGAGGGTGTATTGAAAAGACCCAACCGAAAGAGTGGTAAAATTGGGTGTACAGCGTTCATTCACATCAAGATGGATACCAAGGATGTTGAGAAACACTGGTTTGTGTATAGACGCTGCTTTGATCACTGCCACCCTGTTAGCGACAATCGCGGGTTATACCACGTCAACAGAAAGCTGGAAGCTGACGATCAGGAATTTGCAATCAAGATGATGCAAAGTGGAAGGACTCCTAGTGTAGTATTAGAGGTAAGAACTTTGAAAATAGAAAGTGGGTGTTGAAGGGAGTTAGTATTATTTGTGATATATTTTATTTTAAATAAAGAAATGTTACTTGTATACTGTAAATCTACTTGCAAAAGTCATGATACCATTAATAACATGTAGTTTTTGTTTATTTAATGGTTTTATTCGTAGATGTTGAAAGCAAGAGATGTTTATAATGTTACTGTTACGGATCTCACGAACATCCAACAACGGTTCTGTAGAGATGATAGCATTTTTATTTGGGATTTTATCAAACAGCTCGAAACAACAAATCACCATGTTCGATATTTAACAAACGAGGATAATAGAATACGATCTATTTTTTTTATACATCAACATGGCATTGAAGAGGCACGTAAACTGTCTGAGTGTGTCGTTATTGATGCAACATATAAAACAAACTCTCATAAGATGGTGCTTTTAAAATTTGTTGTTGTTGGTGCTTTGCGTTCCAAAGAGAGACCCGATCAAATGACCACTGTTCCCATTGCCGGCTGTTGGATGGACAAGGAAACGGCAGAGAGATACGAATGGGCTATACAATCTTTTAAAGATATTGTGTGGCCTACAGGTACAGACGAAAAGTTGTTACCCCGGTGTTTTGTCACTGACGACGAAGAGGCTTTGTTAGCAGCTATTAAAACTGTTTTTCCCAACAGTAGTCAGATTCTTTGTTGGATACACATCCAACGAAACTTCCTTCTTCGATTTAAGAAGAGTTTAAATCCAAAATTGAAAGCCAATTGTAAACTACAAAGACAACTTCATTAGTATATATTTCGTGCACTAACTCGAATTATAACCCAATTAGATCCTGAAGTTCGGAACTTCTTGGCGATTGTTCAGAAAATGATTTTCCTCTGTAACACTTTAGACGAATTTAAAACTGCAAAAGTAGAATACGATGCTTTTGTATCCAAACCAGATGTCTGTACCAAAGACGGTGGAAGTTTGATGAGGAAATACTTGGAATTGTAAGTATTGATTTTATTACTGTTGGTTTTTTTGTAAAAACAATTTATAAATGTAAACATTTTAAACCGTGGAAAATTCAATAACCAATTTAATTAGCATGATGAGAAAAGTAAAATTATGGGCTGGGTATCATGTTAGTACCCTTATGCATATGGGTAAACGAACTTCCAACAGGGTAGAAGCAACGCATGCAAATACCAAGTGTTACACCAAAACGTCTTCTGAGAGTCTCGCTATTGTTTCTGAAAAAATTAAATCTTGGGCTCAAAAACGGGTAGGCTGTCATTATTTTAATATTTTATATCAATGGAAAATATTATAATATCATCTAATGATACGATTAATTTTAATGTAGGAGGAATATCGCGACTTGCAGTCAACAAGAGAGGCATTGACCCAGCAGCTAGTTTTACTCGATTCGGATTTGCAGACCAAAGTCAGTCATATCCAAATGAACATCACCAAGTTTGCACTTGAAAGTATCAAGTCTGAACTTGTAGAATTACGATTGGCCAGTGAGGGCCCAAACGATAATATTCATGTGCCTCCTGGAAAGCAAGCTTGCCTCTGTTCTTTGAGAAGAAACTTTAATCTGCCTTGTCGACACTCCTTGTCAAAGTTGCTTTCCGAGAATAATGGTGTTGTTCCTCTTAAGGCGATCTCCAAAAGATGGAGAACTTACTATCTTAAAGGAAGTGGTAAGTTTTTTTTAGGGATGTAGCTATACCATTTATATTTACAAACAAGTTTTACTCGACATTTACAGTTGCTACAATCGCTGAAATTACGAAAGAGCCCAGCAGAACATCTATCCCTTCGGACGAACCAGGCGACAACCAAAGTCGTTTGATGATCCGTTTTGAAAGATTTTCTTTGTTGCTGAAGACAGTAAGCAGTCAAAAGGAGTCAGAAGATATTTTAAAACGTCTTGACGACTTGTATCACGAGCTTGTAAGTAAGCCGTCAATCGAGTCAGCACTTCATCCGGCGACAGTTGTTTCTCAGAAGGAGTGTCCAAAGACTACGGAGAGAGAAACATTGGGGATTGAATACGTAGAAGATAGTGTCAAACAAGAACATAGAAGGCCCAAAGCTGATATAGCAGATAGCTCCCCAAAAGCGAAACGACCAAAACATAATACAAAGTAGCAAGCGAAGGCTAGAAAAACATTTTTATAATTGATCCAATTAAACTGTGAATTTCACTATAAAAGGTACAATGGTAAGGCCCTGGAATCGTTTGATAACAATCCGGCTCTTTTTGACCAACTGCATCCAATAAATGTTTCCCAGACATTAACCATGATAAATTTCCAGGGTAACGGTAATTGTGGATTCAGAGAAATGAGTCTTACATTGTTCGGTCACGAAGAGGGTTGGAGCCAAGTGAAAATATTAATGCTAAGCACTCTCCGCTCCTACCGATACATTTATGACACCATAGAGCTGGATATCTATTATTTTGAGAAAACATTGCATGCCAGAAAACCACCATGTCTTGACAGGAAGAATCATTACATGTGGTTCGATACTATCGGTTGCCCACAACTGGTAGCTGATACACTCAAACGACCAGTAGTGCTTCTAAATTCCTCTACTAGAATCTTTCGAGAAACTGGTTACGAATATGATGATCAGGGAAATGTTGTATAAAGCAAGTGAAGACAAATCTTTGTCCCTCTCTTCGAGTTGGTCACTCAATAGTTGACCAACACATTTATTATTATTTTAGCCAAATCCCATTTCTACATATATATGTGGATTTTTCAATATTTTGTATGTCCTCCATAGACTTTTTTTTTATATCCAGGCACCAATCGGCTACCACCCTTTCGTAGACATTTAAGTCATTTTTTATTTTGTCATGCGTCATGGATTACAACCTCCAACTGCATCAAACTGTTGCAAAAATGTCTTCTCTTACCAACTTGATTTCCTAGAATATACCAGAGGTTTTCGATCGGATTCAAATTGGGACATTGTGAGTAGGTCCGTACTTAAAACCCTCGATACCGACCTTCCTTTTCTAGCACTTTATATATCCGCCAGTATGGCAGAAATTGCCATCTTCTTGGAATATAAGGTCATGGTTATGTTCCTGTAAAAAAAAAAAAAATTGAGCCAAGGAAGGAGGTTTTCGATAAACATTGTACGTATTTTATTCCTATTAATATCGCTATGAATTGTTACCAGAGGTCTTACCCTCCCGCATAAAACATCCCCAAACCATTATCGAACCTTTGCCCAATTTTGATGTTGGTAGTTAGAAATATGATGAAGGTATTAAAGGCAATATGGGTAGGGGCAGGAAAGACCAGAGGTTTATTAACCAAAGACAAGTCTAGGTATCGTATCGCCATAATGAACGCGATTTTTTTTTTAAAAAAAAAAAAATTAGGATTCATCTACTTACACTTTGTCCAACTAGGTGTGAAAATCAAAATTCACAACTGGTCGTGTAGTAAAATATTTAAACTAGCACTACCAAAAATAGCAAGGCTGCATTGATGCTTCTCGATTATTATAAAAAGAGGGCTTGCTCGCATTAAAATAAAAATAAAAATATAAAAAAAAAAGAGCGCTATCTTGCTTTACCTAAATCGAACAACACTGTTACTCAATAATAATAGTTCACCATACGCGTGGGACAGCCTTAATCATGCAGGATACAATGGTTTCAAAATAATACCAGTAAGTGTCAAAGTTGGCAAAGAAGGCTTTTTGACAAAAGACTGAAGACAGTTTCTATCTGGGGTGTTATCTTCTACCGAGGCTTTTAAAAAATGATGATTATGAAAAGGAGCTTAAATTACCTCGTGCTACAGTGGTCTTATTTTGCGGGATCAAGTGAGGCAGAAAGACAGCTTACCAAATTAGGAAGTGTTTCTGTTGCATTGTAATTTAAGACACATTTGGCTGTTTAGAATATCTTTAGTCATGATACCTAGTATATTCCCACAGAACTCACCATTCATTGACTGTATAATAATCAAATAAGAACATGTTTTTAGATTGATATAACTTCTTATTTGAGATTGTTTTTCTTTCTCCAGAGGTAGTTAAACGAAACAATAGTGTCAATGTGTTGAGATACCTTATTTCGCCGATAAATTGATAAATTAGCAGTCCTTTTAAAGCATGGACATTTTTTTCCGTTTTCAATTTTTTTTTTTTTTTTCACTTTTTAACAAATTTTTTCTTTCTTTTCGCATAACAAACACACGCACAACTCTTTACACATCTTATCTAAAAAAAATGTCATTTTTCAACAAAATTATTGATAGAGCAAAGCATGGCAATCACAAAGCCGAGGAAACGGCGAAACAGCCACCATCGGACCAATTGACCAAAGATAGTAATAGGTCATTATTCGGTATTCACACACCTCATTCATCCACGTCTTCATCAAACACTCATAATATGGACCATATTCAGTCACAGCAGCAGCAACAACAACAACAAATGCCAAAAGTTAAGGAAGAAATATCTAACAATCATTATGCAAACGGATATGTGACACCGAGACCATCACAAGATCTACATCAAAATATGGATGTAGATTCTCCAGGTGAATATGCGCACATGATTGATGTGTAGAGATAGTACTAATTACTTTTTGCAACAGAACCAGTTAATATACAACAGCAACAACAGCAACAACAACAGCAACAACAACAACAGCAACAACAACAACAGCAGCAACAACAACAACAACAACAACAACAACAACAACAACATCAGCAACAGCAACAGCAGCAACAGCAACAGCAGATCCAACAGCAGCAACAACAAGAGCAGCAACAGGTGCCCCAGCAAGCTCAAGATGGTAAAAGTTATACGCCTCAAACTAAAAAAAAAAAAAAAAAAAAAAATCTAAATTAATCCCCCGTTTATCATTAGGTAATAGCGGTGCATTAAAATCAAAATATCAACAGTATGATAGCGCAATAATGGATCAAAGAAAAAATCGACCTAAACTTAAATTAGACGATTTCCATCTATTACGTACATTGGGTACTGGCTCATTTGGTCGTGTTCATTTAGCTCAATCTAGACACAACGGCAGATACTATGCTATCAAAGTCTTGAAGAAAACCGAGGTAGTTCGATTAAAGCAAGTTGAGCATACCAACAATGAGAAACATATTTTGGAATCTGTTGCGAACCCTTTTTTGGTCAATTTATGGGGCACCTTTCAAGACGATGCCAATCTTTACATGGTGATGGATTATGTGCCCGGTGGTGAACTCTTTAGTGTCTTGAGAAAGAGCAAGGTAAACACCCACACACAAAAAGAAAAAAAACAAAACAAATACAAATGATAACGATAAGCAAACCTCTTTGATTGACGCGTTTTTTTTTTCTTGAAAAAAATTATAGCGTTTCCCTGATCATGTAGCTAAGTTCTATGCTGCCGAAGTTGCTTTAGCAATTGAATATCTTCACAAAAAAGATGTTGTTTATCGTGATTTAAAGCCTGAAAACTTATTACTGGATACAAACGGACACATAAAAATCACAGATTTCGGGTTTGCTAAACATGTACCCGATATTACTTGGACTCTATGTGGTACACCTGATTATCTTGGTAAGTTGTTATTCCTGGGGGGGGGGACACTACATGATATCATAATATACTCATTCACTTATTTAGCGCCGGAAGTCATTCAGTCAAAGGGCTATGGTAAAGCCGTTGATTGGTGGAGTTTGGGAGTATTAATTTTTGAAATGCTGGCAGGTTACCCGCCCTTCTACGATGATGACCATTTGAAATTATATGAAAAGATTTTGCAGGGCAAGATTCGTTGGCCATCTTACTTTGACCCTAATGCCAAAGATCTATTAAAGCACTTGTTGACCTCCGATCTTTCCCGCCGCTATGGTAACCTTAAAAACGGAGCCAACGATATTAAGAACCACCCTTGGTTCCATGGCGTTGATTTTGAGCGAGTTGCTAATCGCCAGATTAGAGCACCTTATGTTCCTCAGATTAGAGGTGATGGTGACGCTAGTCATTTTGATAGATATCCTGAAACAAACGAACAATACGGCTTGGCTACGGAAGATCCATACCGGGAAAAGTTTCCAGATTTTTAAAATTAATAAAGCGCTCATTATACTTAAAGAGACACGCCTGTCAGTTGAGATGTACAGGGCAAATGATTTATCCCCCAAAAAAAATAAAATGTGATAATCAATTATTTTCAAGCCGAATGACGCCAGCCCAATTGCCGAATCATTTTACAAATGCCGTATAGTAAGTGTCAGCAGGCGTAAGATTTCATTGGCCTAATTAATCATACGTGTTAATAAGCAAAATGTTCGCAACGGTCTTTTATATACACACGCCGGTCAACGAGATGTACATATATTACCAGAAAAGTAAACTTTTATTTTGATTGGATACAATGAAATTTGTATACATTATTTCTCATAATTAAAAAAGAAAAGATAGAATAGAATATAGGGAGTGCATGTATGTACGTGGAATTTAAAGAATTGTTCAATACATGAACTCCCCCCCTTAGGTATTATGAAACCCCATATTTGTTGTTGTTTGGGTAATCATGCAAAAATGGTGACATTTAAGTTGTTATATCGACTGCCAAGTCAAACGGAGAGAATGCCTTTTATGGAAAATATCCCCTTCAAAATTTTACCCCAACAAATAGATTTGCCAATAATATTGGATTCTGTGTAAATTTTCATTTTAAAGAGTATTGATAAGTCGATAAAAAAGAATTGCGGGGTCACATGAATTAGTCCATGCTACTTCACATGCAGTGCGAATATCCCGATCTAAGTTTTTGATATAAATACCACTTCCTTTTTTTACCTTTCCCTCTTATTATTATCAATTCTATATATCAACAATGAACTCTTCTGTCCTCTCTCAAGTCACTCGTCCTGCCATCTCTGCCGTATCCAAGAGATCTTTCTCTGTCACCACCATCAAGAGAGAACAAGAGGTACACCACCAAGTTGCTCCTTTGACTGATGCCACCGTCTACATCCCTCAAGGCCATACTACTACCACAAGCACTACAGACACTACTGTTGTCTTCAGCCCCACTGTCAATCATGTCTTTGACGACTAAATATAACTTTTCTTCTTTCTATGCTGCTGTAAATACATTCCCTATACCTATTTTTAAATAAATTTTTTTTTTTTTTTTTGAAACTTCAAAAAATGCTTGTGAAATCAAACGCTTTTTCGTCGGAACAAAATGACACCTGTAAAAAAATGAGTCACACTGAAAAAAAAAAAAAAAAAAAAAAAAAAAGTTTGATGACAAGGCCATTATGCTGTGATATTTTTTTGATGGTTGTTTATATTATCTCACCATGTCAACCGATAACGCCATTAAGCTCTTCACTGGTAATGCCTCACCAGCACTTGCTAAGCTTGTTGCCAAGAGAATGGGCTTAAACCTTGCCAAAGCAACTGTGATTAAATTTTCCAACCAAGAAACTTCTGTGACAATTGGTGAATCTGTCCGTGATGAGGATGTCTTTATTATTCAATCAGGTTGCGGTGAGATTAATGATAGTTTAATGGAATTACTCATCATGATCAATGCCTGTAAGACTGCCTCTGCTCGTCGCATTACTGCCGTTATCCCTTGTTTCCCTTATGCACGCCAAGATAAAAAGGATAAGAGTCGTGCCCCTATTACTGCACGTTTAACCGCCAATATGTTGACTGTCGCTGGTGCCGACCACGTCATCACAATGGATCTCCATGCCTCTCAAATTCAAGGTTTCTTTAATATTCCTGTCGACAATTTATATTGTGAACCTTCCACCATTCATTATATCAAGACCAAGATTCCAAACTGGAAGAATGCCATTATCGTCTCACCTGATGCCGGTGGAGCCAAGCGTGCCACCTCGATTGCCGATAATTTGGAGTTAGATTTTGCCTTGATTCACAAGGAGCGTAAGAAGGCAAATGAAGTGTCTCGTATGGTCCTCGTAGGTGATGTGACAGGTAAAATTGCTATTTTAGTCGATGATATGGCAGATACTTGCGGCACACTTGGTTTAGCCGCAAAAACATTAATGGAAAATGGCGCTGAAAAGGTCTACGCCATCGTTGCTCACGGTATTCTTTCTGGAAAGGCTATTCAAGTCATCAACGATTCTGTTATTGAAAGAATGGTCATTACCAACACTATCCCTTCAGAAGATAAGATGGCCCTTTGCCCTAAATTAGATATCATTGACATTTCTCCTACCATTGCTGAGGCTATTAGAAGGTACTTTCTTTATTTGTATATTCATATTTGTATATTGTGCTGACCCTTCTCTTTAGAACTCACAACGGTGAATCTGTTTCTTATTTGTTTTCTCATGTTCCCCAATAGACTTTTTTTTTTCTTGTTTCTTTCTTTTTGTCCCTCTTGCTACCTTGTACATAATAAAAACAGCGTGTACTGGTATTCGTACCTTATCTTTCTCAAAAAGTTCAATTCAAGTACACACGGGGAAAAAAAAAAAAGAAAAAAAAAAACGCTGGTAAAGAGTGACCGAGAAAACTATATGTTACGCTTATCACTGTGAAACTCGGTCTCTCTTTGTTTATGTCCATGCAAAAAAAAAAGATATAAATACATCTGCAGTTTAGTACTTTTTTATTTTTGTACTCTTTTAAGACACAATAGAGCTAATATCACGGAATATATTTTGTGTTCCACATGGGTATACTTGCAAGAAGCAGAATAACTGATTACATGGTATTTGAACGTCTATTATAGGTGAGTGTTCCCTTTATTGATTATAATAAATAAAAAAATAAATGAAAATAAAGGTCTGCAGTGGGTCTTGATAAGTACTCACTAGCTTTATATGTAGTGATAGGGTTTTTTTGTCTTCAGTGTTACAGTAGTATTTATATATAGATCTTTCATAAACTATTATAGTGTAAGCCGATTATGTATACATAACTATACATGATACCCCCATTTCCTTGATACCGGAAGTTTTTGTCATAACTTGGTGAGAGACACAATTATATATTACAAAGAAGATCATTGAGGTACAAAGTTTATTTGAAACAGATCTTTCTTACAAATTTATCAGTAATAGTTCTGATTACAATCATCGTCACGAGGAGGATCTTTGTTAAAACAATCAGGATGTCATAAGAACACTAGTCCATTATCTTCTTGCATTCTTTTTTTTTTTTTTTTTTTTTTTTTCCAGTGTAAGCAGGACCTTCCTCTTTATTAAAACGATTATTGACCGCTATAGATATAAGTTGTTTACATAATATGCATTTTCTGAATATAATATTCGTTCCTCCAAGACTGAGTATTTCGCAGGAGGTTCCATAGTCTGAAATTTCAGAAAGTGGTTGCCATCGGCAACTTTCTCAGTTGTTCCTGAAACATGCATTAATTTTTTTTTTTCTTAAAAAAAACTCTTTAACACTTTGAGTGCTTTTGTTTTGTTATTCAAAGTCGCATCCAGTCTTTGTTTTTGAGATTGAATAACATAACCCCCAAACTCTTTAGTGCCGTTTCATTTCCTCTTGTTAGTTCCTGTATATTTGAACCTTCTCAATGTTCATCAAGTCGTGAGGGTGAGAATTACACCAAGTCTCTCGAAAAGAGAGACGACAAGGTGTGTTGACTTCTTTCTGAGCAATTTAAGGATTACACGCAAATGTTTAAACACATCTAAACAAAACGACTGAAAAATGATAATTTCATTTAACTCAAAGATCTTTTGTGATATTTTAAAAGACTGCCAACTTCAATAGAACACGATCATTTTTATTATAATCAGAATAGTGCCATATCACATAGTTGTATCAGATCAAAAGAGAGTTTGACCATAACTGCAGGGATTATTTTGTTTTACTGCAATGCGTATTTCACTGTCGTGTAACTTATGGCGAAAAGAGGAAAACTTTAATGGAACATTGTATAGATATTACGAAATCAAATTCTTTTTTTTTTTTTATGCAAAACATAAATCTCGTGAGAAGATAACACTTTCGCACTTATTTCTTCCAGCGTGTAAACATTTAAATTCAATCAAATGAAGAAAAGATTTCCCCTTTGTTTGTTTGTTCAACAGTAAAGATTAAAACCCAGGACCTGGGACACACTTTTTTAAGATTTATCGACCCCATCCATCACGATAGTGAATGTACGACACGTGCGTATAAGATCTTACTATAAAACGTATTCAATTATTCCTTTTGTTGCTCCGTTACTCTAGGAATAGTTAAAAAAAAAAAGAGAAGGATGAGATGTTACACGTTTTAAGAATAAGAATTTGTAAAAGTAAATATATTAGGAATTTGTACGGGAAGCACAAAAAATGCTCTTCTTTTTTTTTTTCGTGGTGTAGCAATTGAATTTGCTGTAACAATGGTGACACTATCAGCAATCAGAAACTTACTAAGTAAATGGTAACACTACTTTTTGATGGTTTCGCAGAAAAGGTAACAATTCGATCGTCGATGTTTGTAATATCATGGTGCCTAAAAAAAAAAAATGGCCAGACGGGAATACGACGTTTTTTTCTTTTTCTTTTGTGTGTGTGTGCTTGTGACACCAACGTTTTGATCAGTTGAAAGGGTTGAGCAGGAAAAAAGACTGTATAAGTATGCTGAGAATCAGTCAATGTACAACAACAACAACAAAAAGAGGGCGGTGTACGACGTTTATTTCTATTTCATTCTGTTTAGCGGTGGGGGGACATTTTGCCTTTTTGTATACTAAAGCCATAAAAAAAAAAAAAAAAAAATAGAATTCGGGTAGTCCCATATTGTCTTTAGAAAAGTAACCTATGATCTTAATACAATCAACAATAAGCGTCTCTTTTTTCTTTAAAATAAAATATGGATGTACTTTGTGTTGATGCTGGTAACTCCAAGGAACTCGTTCGTACTCAGCCAAGAGAGATAAACGAGGCTTGTACTTGGATGAAAAAAACACGTTATCGGATAGGAATACCTCATTATTGTGTATTGCCAAGAGTAGTCTACAGCATATACAGACGTACATATCAGCTGCTTTCTGTTGTAATGATTATCACGTTGTTTGCTCTCACAGGCCTTCATTTTTTATTTAGGATTAGAAGAAAGAGAGAGAGAAAAAAAAAGGGGGCCAAACTTGAGATGAAAGTCTATATTTACAACAGCTTTTGACTATTATAAGACTAGTAAATAATTAAATCTATATTAGACAAAGCAGAACGTCATTTGTGTTTAATATGTAAACACAATCATGAGTTGTGTGATGAGATTACTCAATATAGGAGTCCTAAATGGGTGTGTAAAGCCACAATTGTCAACAGTGATATAAATTCCAGAATCCTCTACTGCTGAAAAAAAAAAAACGTGCCTATTTAAACCTGTTTATTATGAGTGTACACGGGCCTTGATACTACAATAAATGGTGTGGTTCCATGTCGAAAAAAAAATCGAAACGTTCGAATATGAGGAAAGAACAAAAGGACGATCGTTTTTAATAGATGAAAGAATGCGCCTCAATGAATCTTACTGGTTGATCCTTTTATTTGATGTAACCGCGCCCGTGAAACCATAAATACAGGCCAAGAGAAAAATTTATACTATTGCTGAGCTTTTTTATCTTCTTTCACTAATAAAAAAAAAAAAAAAATGAGTGAACGTGAACATTTACTCCCTCCTCATTATGAGGAAGAACAAGTGACATTCAAGTCGTCTTTTATGCATACTTTGAAGTCTTCTCACATTAACTGGCTTCTCATCTTTGTACCCATTGCTTTGGCTTTTTCCGGTGCCTCTGACAGTGTTGTCTTTAGTTTGAATTTCATTGCCATTATTCCCCTTGCCAAACTTCTCGGTTATGGTAAAGCACTTTAAATATTCGGGAAAGAAAAAAGTTACTGACATTTTTATCTACTTAGCTACCGAGGAAATTGCCTTAAGATGTGGTTCCGTTATTGGTTCTGTAAGTAAATCTTTTATCTTGAACAAAAAAAAAATAGACTTTTTAACATGATGATGTAGCTTTTAAACGCTACTTTTGGTAATGCTGTTGAACTTATTCTCGGTATGATTGCTTTAAAGCAAGGATTAATCCGTGTTGTGCAAGGTAAAATAAGACAGATGTAATATTTATGTATAAACAATTAATCATTTTACTGCTCAGCTTCTATTTTGGGTTCCATCTTGTCCAACATTTTACTCGTACGTCAATATAAATATATCAATGATTATTGTCATTACTAAACCTTAATTTTACTGTGTTTTCATTCTAATATAGGTCCTTGGTTGTTGTTTCTTGTTGGGTGGTATTGGTCGCTCTGAGCAATCTTTCAATGCTACTGGTAAATATATATATATATATACTTTCTTTATATCTGAAATGTAATATGGAGTCTTAACCTTAATTATTAGCTGCACAAACCAACACCTCTCTTTTGGCCTTGACTACTCTTTCTTTGTTGATTCCTGCTGCTTTTAGTGCTACTGCTGCTACTACCAACGAAGTTAACACTGGTATTATTAACCTCTCTCATGGTACTGCCATCATCTTGTTGATCGTTTACGGTTTGTACTTGGTTTTCCAACTCAAGACTCACTCCGCTTTGGTAAAAAAAAAAAAAAACCCTGATTAAAGTGAAACGTGACTAATTTATCTTGCCACAGTTTGAAGATGAGGCTGATGAGGAAGAGAAGCCCCATACCACCATTGTCTTTTCTGTTGTCTGGTAAGGCTTTTTTTTTTTTTTTTTTTTTTTTTTTTGTATTGACACAGATGATGATGATTTTGTAGCTTGTTGGCTATTGCTGGTTTGATTGCTATTCATGCTGAACATCTCGTTGGCGCGTAAGTGTACACTTAAAAAGACGCGTATTCAATGCTAATGTAATATATATAAATAGTATTGAAGGTGTTGTCGAAGTTTGGGGATTAAATGAAACTTTTGTCGGTCTTATTATCCTTCCCCTTGTTGGTAAGTTTTTTTTTTTGCATAAGCGTTATTATGATGGGATAGGAAAAACTCACGCTTTATAAAAAAAAAACCAAACAGGTAATGCTGCTGAACACGTCAGCTCTGTTACATTTGCCATGAAGAACAAGATGAACTTGTGTATTGGTATTGCCATTTCTTCTTCTCTTCAAATCGGTCTTTTGGTTTCTCCCGTCCTTGTGTTGACAGGTTGGTTTATTGATGTTCCCATGACCTTTTTCTTTGAGATTTTCGAAACTGTTGTTTTGTTTGCGTCTGTTATGATTGTCAATTATCTTATTGCAGATGGTAAGTCTAACTGGCTCGAAGGTGCTTTACTCTTGGTAAGTTTATTATTAGTGTGTGTGTGTGTGTGTGTGTGTGTGTGATACAAAATGCTAAATATTCTATGTATATGTAGGCCGTTTATACCATTGTCGCTATGGCATTCTTTTACCATCCTATTGTTTAAATAGAACAATAAAAAAAAAAGTCTCTTTCTTCGATGTAACCCCCCTGGCTGGCGGGGTGCACTATCCTATTTGTTTTTTTTTTCGTGATACATTGCACCGTTTTGTGTTTATTTACCTTTTAAGAGTGTTACAGAAAAAGAAAGAAAGGGTGGGTCATATGGTAAATTCTGGCATGGGTGACCCAATGGCTGAATGCAATGTCATTGATGGACTGTTTCAGCCAAAGTATAAAAATGGACATATCAGTATTTGTCAGCATAGTACAGAAAGATAGGTGGAGTGTCTGTGACAATTGTCAATTAAAACAAGGTTTTTTTGTGTACAAGTCTTACCGTGATCATATAAGAAAAATAGTCGTGTCAGACAGGAAAAAAAAAAAAAACTTGCGACACGGGCAAGGGGTCATTCTATTGTCAATCAATGCTAAAGAGAAAAAAAAATTAAGTTTCTATATTGGTTCACATGATGTCGCACGTCGATAAATTTATTTCAACTCAGAGTACAATTATGAGGGGGGGGGGGGGAAATCGAGGTTTTTTTAGTAATTAGCACCTGATTGCGTAATATCTGTCTCTTTTGATATGTCGGTTATGTCAATTATTACCCACTATAACAGATATGGGATGGGTCATAAATATTAGCAATAAGGTCACCTTGTTTCCCAAAAGAAAAAAAAAATTGGGCCTGGAAATGTACATAGTAACACAAAACGGTTGTGTCACTTTTATTTCAACCGGAATACCATTTTTCGTTGATTTCCCACCCAAAGAACGAGTCATGTACGCACGGACTTTTACACATGAAATAATGCAAATATTACTCCATATGTAGCATGTATTGTGATTTTTATGGTCTAGATGTACAGCAATTTGTGAAACTATCTCTCTTTTTAATCTGAGATGATGTGGGTTGTGAACTTGATTCTCCCTGTTTTTATTTTTCTTTTTGATAATCAATTTTGATAATAGTCACCATGTGATGATATATTTGTTGTTGTTACTTTACACAGTGTCATTGTAACACGGAATGCGATGGGCCCTTTTTATAAGCTTCTTTTTCTTCTTTATTTTTCCCTTTTTTTTTTTTCTTTTTTTTTTTTTTTTTTCTCTTTTTTTTTTTGCCCTTTCTTTTCTCTCTGCTTTTTATTCTTTTTTTCTTTTTTTAATTTTTTCACGAATGTCAACAGTTGGATTTCAACATGCAAGACATGTTAAACATGAACGAGATGACTATAAGCCACTGTACCGTCAACGAATCAATCAGGACGAAGTAGAAGCTGGATCAATTCTAGTTGCACTAGCAAACCATAAGCCTAAAACCATGTCCATCCACAATCTACTCGGTAAAAAAAAAAAAAAAAAAAAAATCAGAAAACAGAACAATGAAAAAAAGAGAGATCGCTCATACTTTTTTTTTTCTTGATACAGAATCAGACAATAAAAGACCACCAACACCATCTTTTTCTCATGTAATATAAACATAAAAAAAACACGCCTTCTCTCTCTTTTATTTATTTATTTGATTCCCCATTATTTTAGCAGCATAATAGATCATCACACGATCAACGATTCTCAGCAGATGAACAACAACATTGTAAGTTAAAATATCCACATGCTGCATACATCTTTGTTTATTTTTTTAATGTATTCAGCAGTACCTTCAACACCACCCAATGACTTAATACCTTTTAATAACAAACAATCCGATGGTAATCCTTTTTTTTTTTTCACAAACATTTAAGCTTGCCCTTAGTTTACTTAATAAGGCTTATTCACATTAGAACGTATGCAAATGTCACCTGAAAATTACTTTGGACAGATGCATCATCATGTACAGCAACAACACCAACAGCAGCATCATCACCAGCAACAGCAGCAACAGCAGCAGCAGCAACAACATCAGAAGCAACAACATCAGCAGCAGCAGCGACAGCCGCAACATCAGCAGCAGCAGCAGCAGCAGAAAAACCACCATCACCACTACCACCAACAGCAGCAGCAGCAGCACCAACAGCATCATCACCACCAACAGCAGCAGCAGTCGCAGCCGCATCAACAACAACAACCTCCACATGCATATGGAAGAAGGTAATTAATATTATGCATAATTTTCTATTATCATTATGCTGATTTCTACATGCGTTTTTTTTTTTTTTTTTTTTTTTTTTTTTTTTGTCTGCCTAGATACCACCCTTATCAACAACAACAGCACAGTAACAAAAAGCCTACTACAATTATCGTAAGTTTTTTTTTTTTTCTATTTTTTTTTTTTTTTAATTTAATAAACATGACTCCATTACTAGTCCAAACAACAACAATTGCCACAACAACATCATGAATTCTCAAGGCAATATATAAAAATGGTATAGAAACACATATCCATACATTTTATTATGCATGAATGTACTAAAAAAAAAAGACTTGCACTTACAATAGAAACGAAATCCTAAAATTCGTCGTAATGCACTTCAAGCATACATTAGTTACATGACTTACACAGATATTGCACGTAAAAGAATGGTAGATATAACAAATATAAGATTTTTATTCAGGAGTTGAAAGAGGCTTATATTGTTTTTGTGTGTGTGTTATTTTTTTTTTTTTTAGAAACAAGGAGTACATCCTGCTCCTACATTATCGCCGCCTCATGCTCCATATCGTCCAAGATATGATGCGGCTGCTCAGCCATCGTCAAGGCCTCCTCCTCCTCCAACAACTCCTCCTTCGCATACTACTTCTCCTCATCCTCCTCCTCCTGCCACTGTGAATAAAGTCATTGTAGATAAACCGCTAACTGCCTTCTTACATGGTCCCCTTCAGCAAAGATTCCCTCCTATTCAACGTGATACGATGCGTTAAAAAAAAAAAAAAAACTTTCCCAAAAAATAAAAATAAAAAATTTGTACATATTTATCAAATAGACAATGAAGAAACTCTTTACAGATTTCTATTACTTTATATTTTTTTTTGATATGTATATATATTTATTTGTAATTTATATATCGAATAGACTTCTAGAGTCAATTTAGATAGGATATTGACAATACTTGTCTTTAACACTCACAATCTATGTACACATATATAAAAAAGAGAGAAAGAAAAAAAAAAGACAGTGTCAGTGAAACCGTTGTCAAAATAATAATAATAATAAAATCACAATTACCTCAATGATACCCTCCACAGACGTGTTGATAAAATAACGATGTTCAGCCACGTTATACACGGTATGTCTTTCAAGGACTTCGCCCTTATAATGACGCTTATTCGCGGTATCCCAGATTAATCGCCTACGACGCCATTCAAAATTAAAGGGAGGTGTACCCACAAGATCAACCACGGCTTGTACCATATCACCTTCATGGATATTTTCAATGATTTCTTTACCACCCGATACAAACGAAGAAGGGACTTCATGAATAATACGTGTCATCTCCTTGGGGAAGGATCGACATTGATTACGTTGATCACCTACTGAAAGAATCGTGATATTACCAGGTTTATCAGCAAATAAGCTTAATTTGGGGGTCTTGGAAGTCATCGTGGTTATTTTATCGTTAAACACGTATTTGACCGTAAAGGGGCCTACACCATGCAATCCAAAGTCAATACTATCGCCTACACAGACATCAGAGCAGAGTTCGGAAGGTGTGATCTTGGGATTATCAAGTGCCTTGATAGTGACAGAGGTTTCATCACTATAAATCACCTTGGTACCACAATTATTCGCATCATTCACACTAAGGATATTGACGGAATAAATACCAGATTTCACCAACTCTTCATGTACAGAAAGTTTGTATTTCTTTGTCATGATATCATGTAATTTAATAATATGACCCGAAGTTTCTGTTTGAAGGCGAATGCCCAATTCCACAGAGAAAGGAGCAACACCCGTGAACTCTAACAGGAGAGGCTTCATGTCCTCCGAATCCAAGGCATCACCCACACATACACTACGCTCCTTACGAGAATCCTTGGTGAATTGAACAGTAGGTGTGGCATGCACTCTTTGTTCGATTTGTAAATCCTTGATTTTGATAGGGGTGGTATAACGTTGATCGGATAATTGATCAATGACATAACGGTATTTACCAGCCTCACGTGTCTTTAAAGGTAAGCGCATACGACCGTTACTCGAGGTAATTTCTTCATGACCCAATAAACGGAAATCACGATGACCGGAAGCACTATGGGATTCCTTGTAGCTGAAAAAGAACGGACCAAGACCTCTTAATTCAATACCTAATCCATCACTGACACCTTGACACACAGCGGGGCGTTCATATACACCGGGAGCTAATTCGATCACTTCTTCTTTATCAACAGAAATGGTAGGTTTATCCAATAATTCCACGAGATATTGAGGTTGAAAGACATCTCCTTTACAAATAGCGTCTTCTACAGAGATCAATTCATAGTGACCTGTGGATCTGACTTGAATGGATGCGTTGGGATCATTGAAACGTTCAGTCTTGATACTTTTATCTCCTGCTTCTACATTACGATAAGTCACACTCCAGGGGCCTTCACCGGTAAGACCGATGGGTAATCGTGTGGTTGAACCTTCTGTCATTTGGACGTTGCGCACTGCTTCACCACCTGTATTGAAAAAGGCAGTAGGACGATCACGACGTACATTGATGGTGAAATCACGCGACTCTAAATCCTTGAGGCAGTCATTACTATCTTGGATCTTGACAAGGGATACGATATGATTGCCAGCTTGTTCAAAGGGGGGTAATTTAATAGTGTACTTGTTACCCTCCACTTGATCTGAATAGACTTCGTTCTTGAAGGTCCAGAATAAAACAAAGGGAGCTGTACCACGTAAATCGACATCCACAGAGATATCCTCACCAAGACAGGTACGTACAGTGCTTCTGCCCATAGAACTGAATTTAGCATCGGGTTGAGGATGTACAAATTGATTGATGGAAGGTACGTGAGTGGGACGTTTCTTATAATGAAGATCATCCAAGGAAGTGAATTCATAAGTGTATTCACCACTGGCATTAGGCATGTAAGAAAAGATATGACGAGAACGATCAATGGTTTCTCTCTTTCTTTCGACAATAGACTTGTGACGACCTTCTTTTTTGGTGATGAGGTATTCAATCACGTAAGGAGGAGTACCTACGAATTCGGCAATGAACTTCATACCAACTTCAGTATCACCAGCACACGTAGAAGGAATAGCTGTAGCGTTGACTTTGACGGAAGGTAATTCGGGTTGAACTACTTGACAAGCAGCAGGGAACAAGACTTTACCTTCACAGAATTGATCACGAACGGATTTCAAGTTGTATTCACCAGGTTGATTGACAGAGATGGATTTCTCACCAGCGTTTAATTTAGCACGACGTAAATGAGATTCATCGGAATTATGGTTGTATTCCAAGTGGAAGGGTCCTGTACCCTGCAAGATCAATGGTAATTGGGTACTTGTCTGGCCAATCAACAGATTGACAGGGTAAGTTGGACTGCAGTGGAATTTGGCAGTAGGACGACCATGAACGACAAACCTTTGAGAACTCTCATCTGACAAATCCAATACATTACCTGCACCATCAATGACACGAGCTAATTTATATTCTCCGTCTGAGGCAGTATCCAGTGTAAGGTTAATGGGGACGTTCATATGATGAACGGCAGCCCAATCATAGTTCTCATCGGCATTGTTTGCATTGAGGAAGGCTGTATCTACAGAGTCAATGTGTTGTAATGGAGAATCAAATCCATCGGGTTGAATACGGTTTAACTTCCAAACAGTTTCTTGACTGCCATGATTGAATCTCTTTTTATATTCGATTTTCAAGGGAGGAACACCCATGACTTGAATATCCAATGTCTTTTGATCGCCTGTACAATAATTGACGGAATCCAAAGGTTTGAAATGAGCGTAAGGACAGGTGAAGACAAAGACTTGACGATTGTACAATCTGACATCGACACCGTCTTGAGAGATGATGTTTTTCAATTTATAGACACCTGTTTTACGAATTCGAATAAGGTAATATTCTAAACCGGGATGTGGGTTTCCAATCTCTGTTACACGTTGAATATCACTACCCGAGTACTTTTCAACACTGGTGGTTTTCGTCTCCAATTCATAATGTGAAAGCGAAATCGTATGTGGAATGGTGTTGTTTAATACAATGGGTATATGAATCTCTTTCTCTCCAAATTCAGCGGATGGTAAACAATAAGTTTCATCATGGGGGTTTAACTTTGCAGTTCTATAAATATAAGTTTAGTTCACATAGACTCTCTCTCTCTCTCTCTCTGCCTCCACTTGTCCAATATAACTTACCCATAAGGAAGCAAACGGACCGTATGCTGACCCATAATATGAGAAGTGTTATAGACCACTGCATCCGCGTTGATAGGTTTGCCTTTGGAGACACTGGTGAGTTTTCCAAGCGAATTATTATAAAGTCCATTCATGAACAATGCTGTCAGGCCAGCCTTTAATAAAAAGAATAGAGTTAGCACGGGGGGTGTGAATAATAATAAAAGAATGACTTACACTGGAGCCAGCAAAGAAGAATGAGTTTAACAAGGGGAATAAGACCATGAAGAAACAAGTTTTCCAGAATGGGAATTGCAACCAAGGAATCTTTGCTACGTGAAGGGCTACAAAGTAGGTAGCGTCAATAAGACACCATTTGAGTAAAGTACCTTGATGTTGTTCGGGATAAGTTGCAGAGTGTACAAGTAAAAGATCAGCCAATTTCCAAGCTTGTAATAATACAAAGATAGAAATGGCGTAAAGACGTTGGTTATGAAATTCCATTTGAGAGGGAGGTATCAGTGCCCTCCTATGTGCTGCGGGAATACCGTTACTTTGTTCCGTCGGCATTGGATTTTTTTTTAAAATGTGTTTATGGACTAAGTATTATTTCTGCCCTCGTGTGTACAAAAAAAAAAAAAAAAAATATAGGTGGAGAGAGCAAGACACGGTTTACACGCGTTAGGTTGATGCGAGCCTTTTTTTTTTTTTTTGGAGCTTAAACTTTGCAAAAAAAGAAAGTCACGTTTTGCTGTTCCGCTAAATTGTATACGCTGCGTGCACTCTTCAAAAAAATGACATGGTTCATTTTTCATTTTACAATTTTTGACAGATTTCAATGCACAGTAATTTGATGACATTTTATTATAGAGAAGGGGTGCTCAATAATATATAAAAAGAGAATTATTTATCTTTCTCCTATCACAATCTTCTCTTTAAATCATTCGTCATCCAAATCATACTTAGTGAAAGAGGGAAGAGGGGTTTTGTAGGAGCATGACCCTTCAAAGAGGAAAGAAAGCGTTTGAAATTATCCTAGACATTTCACTCAAATAATTTACAATGTTGTTGTCCCCCCGCCCCCCCTTTTCATTAGTTAAATGATGAGTGGGTTTAGTCCAACAAGTAGGATTGAAATGAACAATTATGGTATTTTAAACTTTCTTTTTTTTTACGATTTAAATAGGCAAAGGAAAACCAGTTACTGCTAAAATTAAATCATTTACAAACAAAAGCTGTCAATGTACACTCGTACTATTTAAAAATAGGAAAAAAAAAGGGGGGGTTGTAAATCCATATGTTTTAATATTTAGCTGTTCACTGTAAAAAAAAAAAAAGCACATATAGGATTTATGCCAGCGGACTCTTATTGTATATAATACAACGCAACTAGCACCAGCAACTACAAGAAGAAGACATAGTGAAATTCATTTTAATTCACTGATGTATAAATAAACCTCACTATTCATAGAACAGATATATAATAAATAAAATAAAAAGAAAAATAGGAGACGAAAGAGCAAGTGTGTGACAAATATTAGAAATTTCCAGGAGAAAAAAATTGTAAATGCGGGTCAAGTTGGTAAAAATTATAGATGACAAATTTACCCGTGCCTCGTTTTAGACGTCCCGTTAGTGTACGTGTGTGTGTGTATGTGTATGTGTGTGTGTGTGTGTGTGTGTGTGCGTGTAATTTTATTACGTGTAACCGTTATTTTAAAATTACTTGATAGATCTTGTGTAAATAAAAAAAGATTTCTATTGCTAATAATAAAAAGAGTACATAAATTACAATCACGGTCCTTACCAGATGCGGGTTTGGTGGGACTGGGGATGGGGTCACAAGAGCTGCTTTACAATAAAAAAAAGAAAGATAAAAATTATTTGTGTTCAGTCACTATTTTCATCGATCTTGAATCACTCGCTTATGAAGAAATGACCGTTACGTTATAAAATTTAACAAATACTAGTATAATGAAAAAGTTATGTAATAACGCTAATTTACACTACTGAAAAAAAAAAGGGTGGATCACTTGAACGTTATTGTTGGCTTTGTTGATTGTGTTAAATTGATCTGAACAGTGTGCATCAAGCTTGCAAAGATGACCAACGGCGATCTTTGTAACTCTACAAAGTTTCACAACAGAAACTTTTAATCAGCAAAAAAAAAAAAAAAAAAAAACCCCTAACATCGTTAGAGTACTGTCCAAATGGCCTTCATGTTTTAAAACTCATCTAATAACAAATCAAAAATTGCCCTTTCATTATCAGTATGAAAAAAAAAGTGCTCTTGATTCTACTAGTGGTAAACGGGGCACTTTCTTTTTATTTTAACCTTAACCGATTTGCCTCTTTTTTCTTTTTCGGCCGCATGTATGTTACATTCTTTTCTGTTGATCCATAATTTCCTTGTGCAGACAATGGTAATTTATCTCAGATTGAAGGTTTTCTTTGACCAAGAACCGGTCTAATAAAGACGATCAAACCAGTTTATATAAATATGTTCTAGATTTATTAAGGGGGGGCAAAGAAGAAAGAATACCATGCATGACAATTATGTAGACATTCCTCGTGTTATTATTTTCTAATTCTTCTTGTACAAATCAGAAATCCCTTTGTGGTTTATCCCCCCTCCCCTCATCCCAATGTCACACACACACACACACACACAACAAAAAGTTCCCACTGTGACCCTAAAAGGTCTACACATACCTTTAAGTCTCTCTAACAAGGCGCATTCCAATTTTATTCAGGATTTATCGGGTGTGTTACTACAGCTGCGGGTCAGTCTTTGCTATGGGAGACCTTACCTGGTTACAGAACTTCTATCTGGGTCACAGCTTCTCTCTCTCTCTCTCAAGACGGAAAGTATCTTGCCCATGTAATATCACAAGAGCCAGTGGAGATCAGCAAAAGCATATAAAGTCAGTGGTGCTGACCTTCCATCATTAATTTTTTATGCATCCTGCTTTTTCTAGACTAGACTCGCTAGACTATTTTACTGAGCAACAGTTGTGACCAAATGAATGATTAAAAGAAGCTCTGCGACATCGGGAGTCAGTGAAAAAAAAAACCCCTAGTAAACGAGCCATTACGTATGGGTAACAAACTTTCACATGTTCATTAAAGACTAACACTAATCGAGTCATTGATTATATTGATGAAGAGAGATATAATAAACAGTCCAAACAATATAAACCGTGGAAGCTTATCAATGGATTATGCAAGTACAATAGACTTTGCTTACGGGTGAAAGGTCGACTTGGATAGTCATGTAAATATTATAATTTTTCTTTTAGCGTCAATTACTTATTGAATGATGAAGAAACTTTACCATACTACAGTTAAATGTATTCTCCTCACATTTTTAAGTTTTTATATTCAAAGGCGATCCACTATCTCTATTTAATCTGGGGCGAAAACTGTCTTACACACACACAGAGAGAGAGAGAAATGAGCGATTTTATACCGGAGTTTCAAAGATAGTAGCACTGTGTGTATCTCGGTAGTTGTAACCTACCCCCTTTTTGGGAAAACGTCAAGTGATCTTTGTATACGCTCGGTTTCTACTGAAGCAATAATGTAATTTTTTTCTATAAAGACTATTGTACAACAATGAATTGAACCTCGGAAACTAATGATAATAAGCCTGAGCAACGTGTCATATGCAAAAAAAAGTAAAATTCCTTAGCAAAGCGTAATAATAATAAACAAAAGGGAAGGTTTTGAAATCCCAAGTATTCCCGCAAAGAATTCGAAAATCAAAAGAATATTCACATGCGTTTTATTTTTTTATTATTTTTGAAAAGGGAACAATGTAATCTAATAGTAATCTATAAATATGTGGGCCTCTTGTTATTCCGATAGCCTGATTGAGTGAGTAATAGAGATGATTTGATTATGTGTATTGATTATGCACCCTGTATATCAAAACTGTGCTTTTTATTTTTTATAGGATGAGCAAATCAGCGATTTTATGAGTCCAGATGGATTCATAAGACAAGACAGGAGCTGTCAATCAATTTGTTGTAGTTTTGAGTGCACGCGTCCTTTTTTGCTGTCAAACAGTGATTTTCTATAAGAGACATTCCGTTTTAAAAATGAACCCAAATTATGTGCTGCTAATGATACATGATTTTAATGTATCGATAAATGAGATGCTTTTCATATCCTCTTCCTAGCATCTATACATGAACGCCTCTCTTTCTAATACCACACTGCAGATGTGAACTACCCTGCAGGGTAAGAATATTAGAAAGATGAAAAAGCTTTCTATTTCGCGACATGATTCCGCGCTGCATGACCGACCAATCGAAAGAAACTTGTTACCGCGCGTGACAACAAAAAAGTCAAAATGACATGGTCCTTGTGTGTGTGGGGTCAGCTGAGAAGCATGCTATCCAATCAAAACAGCTTCCTACCACTGCAAAAAAAAAGTCTTTTTCTAAATGGTTTCATGATAAATTGACCTTTCTATACATTGCGGGGAAACTATATAGAAAATATGTCCGGTTTTTACTGTTGGTGGGTGGGAGGGTGGGAGGATAAAATAATGCGGGTAAATTCCGATTTTTTTAATAAAAAATTACAAGGTGCGCTTATTTTTATATATGTCAAATAGATTAATTATCATGTCATAATTTGTTATATGAATTATAGAACCCGCTCTCTCTCTCTTTCTCTTTTCTCTTCGATATAAGAGATAAATTCTTGCTATATATAGGAGCTTCCCAAAATAAACCCCCCAAATAACAATTTGGCGCAGGGGGGAATATGCAGTTAGTACCACTTTTCTTTTTGACGCTTTTTGATTAGGACCAATACAGTCATCATTGAGAATCTAAACATTGACAGAGCAGTCAAAAATTGACAATGTTATTAATATCTGGTGATTTTATTTTTAAAATAAAAGGGTAGCTGCTTTACTATACACACAAAAAGAGAGAGGATGGCACGTGAATTTCTACTCCGCCCTTGTTTCACGGGAGGGCCATAAAAAAAAAAAGAGGGAAAAGTAGACTCCGCTAAAGCCGTTTCCCAGCCAACCAGACCAGCCAGGCTACTTAGCCAAAAAAAAAAAAAAAAAAAAAGGGTGCGTCCAGCCAAAAAAAAATCCTAATCTTATCTTGCCCCGGAATCTATGACGGCCGGTGCCGCCGCCCGTTCCCCCCACCGGTCCCCCCAATAAATTACGCCCAATTGAGGATAAATATATAATACCAGCAGCAGCAGCAGCAGTAGGCAGTCAGTCAGTCAGTCAGCAGTCTGCAGTCCGCAGAGTAGTTAGTAGCTGCAGGATAACAAATGATCGGGAGGGAACCCTAATGTATGTAGACAGTTCCCCGCCTTGCCCCGCCCTTGCCCAGATTAATATTGTATATATTATAAAAAAAAAAAAAAAAAACGTGTGTTGATTATTCGACTGATAAAAGAAAAAAAGTAACACACGAAGGAAAAAGGGGGGGGGAAAGACAGTCATCGCGCAATTTTTTTTTTATATGCGTGATACAAACATGTTCTGATCTCGTCCTACCGAGCCGCGCTAAGCAAAAGAGAAGCACGCACGAGAAAAAAAAAATAAACAAATATTATTTTTAACTCGCCACATCACAGCTTACAGAGGAGTGGAGCACAGGCTATATTATATTTTAAGCTTTTAAATGGAGACATTTTCTCTCACATAATTTTTATGATTTAATTAAATGTGATAAGATTGACTAAACCTATTCCAAACATGATCCCAAGAAATGATGTAATTTTATTAGTTTGAAAGAATAACAATCTATCAAAAAAAAAGGGACTGTTTTTTTTACTGCATGAAAAAAAAAAGATAGATGAGCAGTGATTCTATTGTAAGGTGTAGAGAGTGGGGGGGGGGAGAGAGATGGCATCATGAAGCCATGGAAAACGAGATACGGGTTTTCCGTTACACTGAGTTGGCCCAAGCCAACAGAGAGAGAGAGGAAGGGCTTGTTGGTAACCAATAAAAGAGTTTGTTTACGATTTTGAATGGATATATAGTAGTCTGCATATCAATGACGTGTAATGCGTGTCATGATATAAATAGAATGCAACAAGAATGTTTATTAAATGGATCATGACAAAAAAGAAAGAAACGAATAATATGATTAGCAGTAAGTCATAAGCAAGTTTAAGGTAGTAGTAATAGGGTGAATCCCAGCCACCTTTTCCCCTTTCTTTTTTTGTTTTGTTTGACAACAAGCTTTAGATCAGTGGAGATAGAAGAAGTATTGTTCTCTCTGTTTCCTTATTCCCATGAATGACAGGTGCCACGGCATAGGAGAAAGAGAAAGATAACAAGTTTAAAAAAAACCGGTAAAAACATGCAAAAAAGGTCCACAATTACATCCGAGGAAGATACACTGACAATGAACTGTAAAAATAGGAATTACCAAAAAGGGGTTCACGGTGAAAAAGATAAATATGGGGACAAAAACGAGGTTATTCCAAAATTAGTTTCCGCGGAACAAAAAATATAAATAGAAGACAAACTCAAAAGGTTTTTTTTTTTTTTTTTTTTTTTTGGGAATATATATTTTCTTTTTTTTCTTCTCTTCATAAAATATACATAAAAAAAAAAATAAAAAAAAATGAAGAAGGTACAATTTGCTTGTGATGTTGAATTTGTTGCTACATTTGCCAATGAAGACTACGGTAAAATAAAATTTCTTTGTAACCCATCAAAAATAATATACTTATATATGCTATCATTTTTTTAGATCGAACAGCTCAAGAAGTAGCGAAATTAACATACAAAGATATGCTTGAATTACTCACCATGAAATCACAATGGAGAAGAGACATGGAACGTATGATGGCCGAAAGAGAAACCACAGAAGAAAAAGTCGTCAATGTGGAACCTAATAATTCAGCATCGAGACTGTTCAATGTACAAGAAATTTGCATATAAAAAAAAAAAAAAAAAAAACCGACAACAAAAAATTACACTCCACCCACATTTTATACCTCAATAATTAGCCTCTTTCTCTTATATCCTCTGCATCACCCCCCTCTTCTTGTAAAAGAACCTCCCTCCCCTTTTTTATTTCCTCCCCTCCTCCCCATCCAAGCCAACTCACCCCGCGTGCGGCTCCCCCCCCTTGTTTCTCTTATCATTTGCATCTGTAAAATATTCCACTCGCTATTATTAAATAAAGACATTATTTAATATTACACATTATAAATTATGATTTCTAATTTTGGATTAGCCAATTTTTGGCATTCCAATTGAAATTTTATTATTATATAAAAAAAAAAAGAAAAAGAAAAAGGGAAAAAAGAAAAAAAAGAATAAAAAAAAAGAAGAGTGTGTGTGAGAGAGATTAAAGATTTGGCATGCCAAAATTGAGAGGGGTATTATAAAACATAGGGTTTGCTGAAGAAAAAGATTACTTTTTTTTTGGGGGGGGGGGAGGAATAGAAAGAGAAAAGAAAAAAGTTCATGCTGGTGGGGGGAGGAGGAGGGGGAATTATAAAATGCAGTAAAAAAAGTGGTTGTGTGTAATAATAAAAAAAAAAAGAAAATGTCATGATAAGATATAAATTGGGTGTCATAAAAAAAAAAAAGTTGATAAAATATATAATGCTGCTGCTGCTTAAAAAAGAAAGAATTTTGTTGTTGTTGTTGTTGTTGTTGTTGAAATGCTGTTTTAGAATTATTCCTTTAACCAAGGATGATTCAAGACTTGATGAATGTTGAGTCTATCATCGGGATTTTTTTGAAGTAAACAACTAATTAAATGTTGACAGTGAGAAGACACACGAATCTTTGGCTTCAAGATATGACCTTCAATAGCAGATTTCGAATCAGGGAAAGGAATCTCGCCAAATAATAATGTGAATAATAAGACTCCCAACGACCAGATTTCGGCTGGTTCGGCTCGATAGGGGTTAGACAATAAAATTTCGGGTGAAGCAAATGATAATGTCCCATAGAACCTCGTGAACTTTTTGGGTGATGATGAAGAATGACGATGCAACAGCACTGAAGATCCAAAATCAATGAGTTTGACCTAAAGGGTAAAAAGGGTTAGGATTAGGATAACTCAACCATCACTCTCTCTCTCTCTCTCACATACCTTGTAGTCTTGGTCGATAACAATGTTCTCGTCCTTAATGTCACGGTGACAGACACCAATGGACTCGAGATAGGCAACACAACTAGCGATCTGCTTGAATATTTTCTTGGCTAAGGCTTCTTCAAAGTGCTTGTGTTGTTCAATACACTCAAAGAGATCACAGGATGTTCTGCGTACAAACTGACGTTGAGAGACTGGTTCAACCAGTTCATCTTCATCGATGGTAGATTGTGAGTTTTGTGATAAGGCTGGAGAGTGAATGGAATTAAATGTGGGAGGAGGAACCCATTGAGTGCCATGTAACTCCATAACGAGATAAAAGTAAGTGTCATCTTGATATGAGTCGCAATAATGAATGATATTTTGATGATGAACGTGCTTTAAAGTGTAAATTTCCATTGGAATCATGCCCATGTTTGGATCACATACCCAAGCGTTTGAAGGGACTTTTTTCCGGATGATGAATTTCACGGCTCTTTCGATACCGGTTGCTCTTTCATGTGCTGATACGACAAAGCCGAAACCACCACTTCCAAGTTCTTGACCGAGGACGTACTTTGCAGTAAAGTCCTTATTTAGATTGTGATTCATTAATAGTTTGGCAGACACCGTTAATTCAACGTTCTTTGTGGTGGTAGGAAGAGAAGGAATGAATCCGCTATTGGTTGCCAATGGATGAATAGAAATATGTTGAGTCATGTTGTTATGTAGTGTAGACATAGAATAAAAAGAAAAAAGATGGGACGAATAAAATTCATGTGGTATTTAAAATAAAAATCTTAAGGAGAGATGTTTATTTTCGATCGTCAGGAGCATTATTTATTAAAAAGGGTCGAAGTTTCGGATTTTACAATAGGAATGTCTCTTCGTGTGTCTACACCTGTCATACTCTATTGGGGAATGAGGAGACTTAATTTATTTACTCACGGCTTCATTGTCGGCTCCCTTTTTTTTTTTTTTTTTATATATCACCTAGGCAATCCCCTATTTTTTTCATTTAGTGTTGTTTCTTTTTTATTTTCTTCACCATCAAGCTTGTTGTCTTGTTGTTGTTGTCCCTTCTCTCCTTCTTTCTTCCCAGAGGACCTAGACCCAACTCTTTTGTAAGGTCTCGTGCCTCACTTTTATATATTACTCTCCCCTTGTGATATTCACTGGTGTTACTCTATCTGTCTACCCAAACATTGACCAAAAAAATTATTCCCCGAATTCAAGGAGTGTCATATATTTATATAGGGAGCATCCTCTGTAGCACAAAGGAGCACTCTACACATATACACACATAGGGGAATAATGTGTATATATGTCTGTATATGTGTGCCACTCTCTTTTATATTTAGCAGCAAAAAAAAAAGGGGATCTCATTTTTCCCCTGTTCGACAGATAAACCCATTTGTCAGACACGAGAGTTTTTTTTTTTTTTTTTTTTTTTTCTAATAAGCTGTACAAAACAAGAATGCATTTATTATACCATAATAAAAAAAGGGGGAAAAAGTGGTGGTGGTGATGATGAAAAAGTGTGTGTGTGTGTAGTGTAGTGTAGTGTGTGTGTGCGCGTGTGTAGTGTGTGTAGTGTAGTGTGTGTGTGTGTAGTGTATCTAAGGGGTGGTGACTTTTTATTAGTTCATGGTCTCAATCAACTTGTTGATATCATCCTCTGCACTCTCTTCTTCATTCAATCTCTCGGTAACCTCCTTCAACTTCTTTTGACGCCAGCCTTGAACAGGATCATTCAATTGGAAGGGACTCAAGAACTTGGAGACAACATCAAAGTTCTCACCAACACTGACAATCTCATGAATGATATCTTCAACACAGATCACACCCTTCTCACCAAGAAGCTCTTCAACAAGAGCGTTATCTGTAAGAGGAGTACGCACTCCCTTGATGGTAGTAGCTCCACGCTTCATCACTAACTCACGTACGGTTTTTAAACTGGGAACACCATAAGATACAAAGGGTTCAATACGTTGAAGTTCCTTGATGGTTGAATCGTCACAGACAGCAAACACACCACTGTTCATCTTTAATAAACGAAGTTTGGCAAGTGTGCGTTGGAGTCGAGGATGAATCGCATTCTCTGTCTTGATACGTGCAATAAAGACTAATTTACCGTCTCCCTTCTTGTTGGATCCCTTTAATGTGCCTCTGGTTAACGCACGGATACGCTTGCCTTGCTTTTCAACTGTACGGTAATCACGAATAAACTCATCAGCACGCTTGAACTGAGCCTTTTTCAAACTCTTCTTTGTCTATTTCGTCCATGTTAGTTTCTCTCTCTCTCTCATAAGCTTCTTTATTTTTATTTTTACCTTCTTGAGTTCTAATCTTTGTCTGGCTTTAATGGCAGCTCCCTTCTCGTTGGCCTTTCTCTTCTTTAAAAGTGTCTCGGCGACATAAATAGGTGCGGGAATAGCTCTGTTACTGTTCAATCATTGTCAGTTACAAGGTCCAAAAATATATATGTATACATTGTGTTCCTCTCAATTACCTGTCAGACATGTTTTTCTAGGTGTTATGATCAACAAAATAAAAAAAGAATAGCGATCTAGTTAATTTTTTTTTTTTTTTTTTTTAACCTTTTTTTTTTCTTTTTCTTTTTCTTTTTTTTTTTCGGGTGGCTTGAGTTTTAACTAACAGTCCGGTGCATGTCCGGTAGTTGATTGCGTAATGCGTCTCATTGGCTGCTGTGTATAAGTAATGGTTTGACTGGTGGTGGGGCGCTGCGCGGGGTGGGTTTTTTTTTGATTATTATTTATTTTAGTTTTTTCCAAGCTTTCTTGTTTTTTCTTCTTCATCTGATAAATATAATAAAAGAAATGGGCTTGAGTTTTTCAAAGTTATTTAACGACCTTTTTGGTAAAAAGGAGATGCGTATTCTTATGGTCGGTCTTGATGCCGCTGGTAAGACTACCATCTTGTACAAGCTCAAGTTGGGAGAGATTGTAACCACTATTCCCACTATCGGTAAGTTTTTTTTTTATCCCCCCCATTACGCGTCCTCTTCCTTTCATCTTTTTTTTTTGACATGTTATTATGAATTTAGGCTTTAATGTTGAGACCGTTGAATACAAGAACATCTCTTTTACCGTTTGGGATGTTGGAGGACAAGACAAAATTCGTCCTCTCTGGAGACACTGTAAGCAGCAAAGAGAGAGAGAGAGATACATAAAGAGCGAGAGGCGATAGAAAGAAAGACAGAGAGAGAACAGGCGAGGTTTACTTACAGAAAAATCTATTATTAGACTTCCAAAATACCCAAGGTATCATTTTCGTTGTTGATTCCAATGATCGTGATCGTATTTCAGAAGCCCGTGACGAACTTCAACGTATGTTGAACGAAGATGAACTCCGTGACGCGCTCTTGCTTGTATTTGCTAACAAGCAGGATCTTCCCAATGCCATGAATGCTGCTGAAATCACTGATAAGCTTGGTCTTCATTCTCTTCGTAACAGACGCTGGTACATCCAAACCACTTGTGCTACATCCGGTAAGTTTTAATTTATATATACCTCCCCCAAATAAAAATAAAGAAAGAAAGAAAGAGAGAGAGAGAGAGAGAGAAAGGGCAGTGATATTTATCTTTTTTCTTTTTCTGTTACTTAGGTGATGGTCTCTATGAAGGTTTGGAATGGTTGTCCAACAACTTGAAGAAGGCATAAATGCAACACACAGACACACACAGACACACACATTCCCGACTCTCCTTATACACACACACACACACACCTTTTTTTTTATTATTATTATTTATTTTAATTAAATAAAGAAAGAGAAGAAAAAAAAAATACAGAACGCAGATGAGAAAAAAAAAAAAAAAAAAAAAAAGGCCTGTTTAGGTTGAAATACATTGACAAAACTTTTTTTTTTTTTTTTTGTTGCACGTGTGAGATAAATAGATATATTATAAATCTTTTTTTTTTCTTTCTTGTGTATAATTCATTCTTTCTTTTTTTTCTTTATACTTATGGATAAAATTAATCAATTGTCTGCAGAGATTGATTTAGCTCGTTGTCGAGCACAATGGTCAACATGTCTCGAATTAACTAAAAAATTAAAGAAACTCAGACCCGAGGATTCAGGTACCAAATAAAAATCTGCTTATAAAAAAAAAAAAAAAAAAAAAAAAAAAAAAAAAACTTACACACATAAATAAATCTAGTCATGGAAATCACCATTCAAACAGAAATTGACTTGATTCAACTCTCAAAACCAGAAAGAAAATGCAGTGATATGTTACATGGTGAGGATACCATCCATTCGAATTTACCAGCACCTCCTTTTCACCCAACAAAAGTAGCTTATTTAATCCAAAGACTGGATTTTATTCAGCAAGACAATAACAATGACCTGACAAATACAGATCATTGGCAAATTCAGGTTTAGAGAAAAAAAAAACAACTAATTTGTCACACCGTGTGTTTTTTTTATTAAACTTTTGTTCTCTTTTTTACAGTTTTCAAAAATCCTGCTGGCAAGGATTTATTATGAATCAGGTCAGTACACACTGGCCTTGGAGCAATTACAAAATCTGGCGTTAAAAATGGAGGACGTACAACAGGGTTATGGTTTAGTATTATTAGTAGAGGCAAGAACCATCAAGGGAATGTGTTTTGAATGGTTAGACGATCTTCCATCTGCTTTGGCTTCCTATCATGCTGCTTGGCTCGCAGTTGAATCTCAGCCGCAGGAAAGAAGCATCATGCTCTCCTTTTGGATCGAACAATGTCTCTACCGTGCCTGTCTCTTGAAACTTCGCTCAAAGTAACCCCCTAAATATTCTAATATGACTTTTCTTTTTTTTTTGAACTTAACCCGTCTCATTTGATAATAGTTGTGCGGTGAGTGACACATTGGAAAGTATGCGTGCGTATGTCCAGCTAGCTTCGTCGCATTGGAGCCCTCATTGGCGTATGATTAAACGATGGGTGATTTTCAAACACTATGCCAATTACTTGGTACAGACGCACAAAAACAATTCATTTGTACCATCCACGAGCGCTGCTACTGTCTATGAGGAACTTTCGATTCTCATGAACCTGTATCGACATTTATTTACTACGCTATCTCCCTTTTTAAAACCCGTGGCGCAAGGTGAATACGGTCTCGCTTTAGCAAAAATGATCATGGAAGGGCATGATATTACTGGTTGGGGAGAGACCAACCATATCCGTCGCGTACTTCAAGTAAGTTATATATATATATATATATATATATACTCTTTCAATGCATGGAATGTAAACTCATTGTAAATGATGATTAGTTTCTGTATGGTGTAAAGAATGCTACGTTCAATCATGCCACCGTTAACCGTTACATCTTTTTCACACTGTTAAGACTGGGTAGTTTGGAAGAAGCAAAACATGCTTTACGTGCTTACCTGGATCTTATGGGTGTACCCGACTTTGATACGGATTTTGTACTGGATGATGCGATGGATGAGACATTAAATCCGCACCCAAAGGATCATGTCACCGATCAAACCCCCCATATCACCACGGTTTCTAAAGCAACCCATATCCTTCAACGCCTCTCTTCTCATGAACCTCTTCATGCTGTGATTCATGTATTGTTAGCAGGTATTCAATTATACGGTGATGAAGAGCAGAACGGAGTACTGGCGGCATATTTATCTGATTTGGCGCTTGATCTTTTACTGATGACATCGGAAAGTAGTAGTGATACAAGATTAGATGAAGTGTATCGTGCACGAGGGTCTTCGTATGGATTAATTGCAGCACAATCTGTCGACCCAGAGAGTCGAGCCAGACATCATGAAAAGGCGCTGGAATCCTTTTCAAAAGCGGTCCAGATGGGACCCCTGTGTTGGAAAAATCATTATTGTCGTGGGTTACAACAGGCTGTGGTACGTGATACGCATGCAGCCATTCAGTCTTTAACGAGGTCTATTGAACTTTACCCACGCCATGTTGATGGATGGCATGTATTAGCGCTTTTATATTCGTGCCGAAGAACCAATGATTTAAATAAGGCACGTAAGACGTTGGAGGCAGGTGTTTTACAATCGACTTTGATCTCGATGTCGGCGCAAGGTATACCGGTGTATTCCTGGACAGGTGAAGTCAATGCAAACGGGTTGTATGAACAAGCTGCTTCGTATTTATCGATTCGGATGAGTTTATTGGCGTTGGGAGAAGCAACGCATGGTCCGGAACATGTCCTAGATGCTTATGAAGGCTTGTTTGGAAATTATACACAATTGACACAACAGTTGGGTATTTCCTTTAAAGAGGAGGAAGAGGAGGAGGGGGAAAGCGTAATAGTAGAGAAACAAAAGAGATCTTCTCCATTGATTCGTCGTACTTCTTCAAGTACACAAAGTACAGCAAGTACAATACAAAATCGACGTCGATCTTCTTCCGTTGAAAGTCGAGTGAAAAAGGATTCAGATAGTTTATCAAGACGTCCATCACAACAGCAGGGTCCTGTTTTAATGCATCGGTCCAGTAGTACTTTGGATTCCAGTGAAATTAAGAAACGACAGATACAATTGATAGATTTGGGTTTAGCAAAACGGATCGGTTCATCCACGACAGCATCACCTCTTTCAAGAAAAGGTAAAAATTACACATGTGTTATTTTTAGGTCCTCCCCCCCCCCTTTTTATAAAAGTTATTCATGTTATGTATGTAGGCAGTGAACGGTCTTTGGTGACAAATGCATCGGCAGTATCCTTGGCCTCTCTTTTAAAACCTTCGTATTCAATGGGTAGTTTAAGAAGCAGTAGTATCAGTAGTTCATTTAGTCATAGTAGCAAAGGAGGAAAGAATGCCACGAAAAAGGGTCCCTTATTTTCACATTTGCATCATCATCAAGCGTTTGAAAATCGACAAAAGACAAAATGGCAAAGTCAGTTAGTGAACCTATGGATCATGTCTACCGAGACCTTTATGAAGGCGGGATTATTTGAAGAAGCGTACAAGGCGTTAAGTGAAGCGGAAGAATTGGGATTAGGTGATCCTGGGGTATGGTATCAATTGGGTCGACTTTCTTTAAAAGCCAAAACGCTTTTAAAAGAAGGTAAAGCGACAGAAGAATTAAACAGGGTGGCCAAAGACGCGTTTGAAAAGGCGCTTGTGTTGGATCAACATCATGTGCCTAGTCAAATTGCCAAGGCAAAGATGTACATGGTGGAAGGAGAGTATGGATTGGCGGATGGACTGTTTCAAGAGATTACACGTGGGTTTGGATGGGATGATGCTGAGGCTTGGTTTGAATATGGACAGTTGATGAAAATGAAGGGTCAGTTACTTGATGCCAAGTCGTGTTTCTTGTTTGCTTTGGAATTACATGATACTCAAGCTGTTCGAAATTTGAAATCTTTTAAAACGTTTGTTTATTAGTGTCTTTTATCAATAAACAATCTTAGTTTTGTATCTGCATTTAAGTGAAATAAATCTTTTCTCAAATCAAACCTATCTAATGTAAAATTTACCAAAAAAAAAGGGGGGGGGGGGCGATGGCTTGATATGAATCATTCACTCACGGAGCATGGGATTAATTATTATGTTATGTGTCAAGTAGCAAACATAATAATTTAGGTTTGGATATGGATAAGGCATCAGTCAAGTGAGTTTTTAGTAAAAGTTATGCGACAACCATACCATCAGCTTCTTTATGATACTATCAACTACAAAATTAATAAAAAAATTAAGTAACTTTTAAGGAGATATGAAGAAAAAGCTCAATGAATGAGGAAACCTTTATTGAAATAGTGTATTCGTCCTGTTGATGTTCATTGTTTTAACAAATAAATTTTCTGACATCAAAAGAGCCCCTTTGTAAAGAAAAAACCATCTATATATGATACACCGTGTTACTAATATATCTATCATGATTCATTTATATAACTTGCATTTTCTTTTTCTTAATCTTTCTCTTTTTTTTTTCCAAAAAAAAAAAAAAAAAAAATAATAATGGAAGGAATAAAATTAAAATTCATTGCGCCTATGCAAGAAAAAGCAAAGCAGCTTTCAGACTTAATAAAGGAAACCAATGGTTTGTGGGACGAAGTGTATGAAGAGTACAATAAAAACGCAGTAGAATTAGTGAAGGAAGGATATGCAGCCAGGATAAGTTTTTACCATTTCATGAGGGAGATATCTCATGATTGTGAAGAACACGTCAATTTTTTTGATGGTGTTATTGAATATTTTAATGTAGCAAAGGCCAACAAGAAGTTTGATATCGTTCATACGACAGAGTTGAAAAGGCGTATTACCAAAGTGTCAGAAACACAAAAAAAAATTCAACTTTCCGGTGAGGAAACTGCTGGTAAAATTCGTGAATCCAAGAGGAACATTGATGATGAAAAATTCAAAATGCAATTCGATCTTCATAACAGAACTAGTAGGTATCCACAAATCGGTTATGCTCTTGGTGTAGGGGCAAATACAGGAGGTACTTTTGCTACTATGTTAGCAACCGGAGCAACGATGACTTTAGCAGGTTCTATTGCAGTCGCTGCTGTATGCGGTGCTGTTGGTTTTGGTATCATATACGTGGGTGTTACGGAATTTCTCGATTACTGTAAGAAAAAAAAATTGAAAAAGCTCGCTAGATTAAGCCAACTTTTAGAAAAATTGTTGGACAAGATGCGTGAACTGGAAAGAGAGACAGTAGAATTCCAAAATACGAACAATGCGATGGCTCTGGAAATCAACAAGTACATGATAGCAATTGAAAAGTGTATAAAGTACTCTTCCGGGAATACAAACTTGAACGCCGAAAGAGTCGTTGTTATGGCTGATGATATGCTTGCAGCTACCGATGAATTGAAAAAACGTTTTAAAGACTTTGGAGATGAAGCTAAAAGTAAAGAAATTAGCTTACAAAAGCTTATTCAAAATGACATGGACGAAACGCTTCATAATACACCAAAGTAATAAAATTTTGCCTACAGAATAAAAAAAAGTCGACATCTGTAAACTGAAATCACTACTCAGGAACTGAAATAGTTTATCTCAATGCTACTTTTGTAATGTCCCCTATACAGTATTGAATCTTTTCAGATTGACATAATGTGTTTGATTCTTTCTTCTCATTTTTTGATAGATTCACGGGTGGTTTTATCATCATCAGAATATTGATATCATTTTATCATACATTATAGCGTTGTATTATACGACACATGAGTGGCATATTGATATTATGCCTGATAAAACTAAAAAGCACTGATCAGATTTATTGTGAGTATAGGAGCATGTGGAGTTTATGCATCAAAACCACAAAAGATGAAACGATTTAGTAATTGTTTTTCTTTCGCTATGCTGACCCTTAAAAGCTAAAATATTAATAAATTCCCAAAATTTGGATAAAATCAGCCTCGATGACCCCATTAAAGAAAGAGGTGCTTCATTTCGGAGTTTGATACATAGGGGAAACCCTAATTTGAACTTTACGTGTAAAGGTACGGGACTTTGTAAGGAACAAGACCCCAGATATTTAGAAAGCAACGTAAAAGAAATACAAACAGGAAAAAAAAAGTAAAGTAAATGTTTCCACAGAGATGTTTTATTTTTTTATTTATAAGGATGTGGTGTTACATTAAATATGTATTACAAAAATTTGCCCAATAAGCTAGCCATTCCGCTAGGCTTCTCAGCAGGAGGGGCACTAGCACCTTGCAAGCTACTTAAGATACCCATGACTTGACCGAGACCACCACTGCTATTAGAAGAGCCACCGCTTTGTTGAGTCATAAAGAGCTTCATGGCCATTGTTGCGGCACTTTGAAGCATCTCACCTTGGTTAGCCTTACCACCTTGAGCTTGGAAAAGTTTCATGGCCTCACCCATAGCTAAACCGATTAACTGACTGGATCCACCACTGCTGTTACCTCCACCACCGGAGAACATTTTAAAAGCTTGCATGGCAGCTGCAGAACCCATATCGCGTGATGAAGTTTCCTCGGCAGGTTGGCCGTTATTTTGGTTATAGATTTGGTCGTGAGCATTAGCAGCCTCTTGAGCTTCATGTTCATTGACTTGCTTCTTGTGGGGGGCCTCATCATCATCATCGTCATCACGATCGATTACCTTTGAAAGAATTGACGAGAAAATGCTGTCATCTACATACACGTGATGAATAAAACTAGTTCGCGTATACATCACTATTACCATTTACCATCATCATTATCGGGTGCGTTTTGTTTAGCATATTGAGCAGCTTGTTGGACATCAGGCTTCTGATAACCATGGTATTGTTGAGATTGTTGACCTTGTCCGGATTCTTGAGGTCTACCATAACCATGGTAAGGATCTTGTTGTTGCTCTTGTTGTTCACCACCGCCACCTACAAAAAAGTAGACGCACAGATGAATACATGTTTGTCCCGAAATACCAAATAAACATACCTTGGTAGGAGTTGGACTCTCCGCCTTGATAAGAATTAGATTCGCCTTGTTGATAGTATGACATTTTTGTATATAAGTTTTTTTAAAAAAAGAAAACAAAAAAGAGAAATAACACCAAATTTTATTTTATACCCGGACATTAGTTTTGCATTGCGTGTGGGCGCAAATAAAATACATCATAAGGTTGCACAACACTATTTATTTTTACCAAAAGAGGAGTCACAGACCAATTCCTTTACTAGAGTTTGGGCCGAAAGCGTCCTAGCATCACACTTGACGGAGTTTACCTAAACCTTTTTTTTTTCTTTTTTTTTTTTTTTAAAAAAAAAAAGTCGCGACAAATCTTGGCAGTAATACTATCGCGCCCAGATGGTATCTCCTAATGAATCTGATCTACTAGTTTAGAATTATCTCTATTTTTTTTTTTCTGTCCCTTATTTTTTTTATTTATTTTCTCGATCAAGACTGCTTTTTGCATAAAAGCAGTCCTATGCTTACCAAATGCAAAAGAAAGTTTTTTTTTTTTAACGCCCTCGAGATCTTTTTGAATCGATTCAACAACATAACATGAAATTCACACCCATTGTCGATAAGCATGCTGTGCTTCACGACGCTTCAAAGAAGATGCATGTCAACTTCGATGAGCCCATGGACATTGTAGAGACCAAAGAAAAGAAGAAGAGAACTCATCCTGCTCATGACGATATTGACACGACACCATCAAAGAAGTCCAAGAAGGAGAAGAAGGATAAGAAAGAGAAAAAGGATAAGAAGGATAAAAAAGAGAAGAAAGACAAAAAAGAAAAGAAGGAAAGTAAAACAGTCGAACCTAAGCCTGTTTCTATGGAAGCACCTGTCATTATTAAAAAGGAACCTGTTGTCGAAAGTAAACCTGTTGTTGAGAAGAAGCCTGTTGCAGAGAAGAAGCCTGTTGTGGAAAAGAAGCCTGCTACAGAAAAGAAGGCTATCGTACCAAAGAAATCCGCTCCTGTCAAGAAATCAGATACAGCTATACCAATTATTGCAGACGCATCACCGGTACGTGGACCTAAATTTACCCCCAAGAAAGTGAAAAAGGTGCCTTATATTGCACCCAAGAAGCTTACCCCAGAAGAAGTATTGGCTAAAGTAGCTGCTGTCCGTAAGAAGAAAGCCCTCAAGAGACAAGCCAAGAGTAGAGCTAATGGAGAAGTTAAACCCCTTTTCAATTTTCAACTGGATGGTTTGAAGAGCAACCCCATCCCCACAACGCAATTGGGTGAATTTGTATTGTATGCATTATCCGAGACTACTAACTTACCTTGGTGCAGTATCATCAACAAGGCCAAGATTGAGAAATTGGTCATGGTCTTTGCTCAAGGATTAAATTCCACTTACTTCGGCTTCCAGCCAGAAACACCCACCCCACTTGTAGATTTGGACCAATTAAAGGACGAGGAATGGGTCGGTAAAGCAGCTATGCCTTTCTTGACAAAGCAAAGTAAATACATGATTGTCAATGAAATCTCTGGTAAAAACGGCCGTTTCAACTCCCCAGTTGCCGACATTTTGCAATGTAACATGTCAAACACCAAGAAGGAACGTTTGGCTAAGGAGCAAGAAAAACGACTTAATATTTTTAAGGGCAACATGCGCGAATACTACATACTTTCTCAGGAAGACATGAGAAGGGCTGATTACCCTATACCTCCTTTCCTTGACCAATCGGTTGTTTTACCTGATGATTGGAAGGAAACCCATCCTGCTTTGGAAGAAAGAAAGGAAGGCCAACCCATGAGAATTATTGCTGTTGATTGTGAGATGGTCTTGACCGAAGCTGGTAGTTCATTAGCCCGTATTACCCTCATTGATGAAGGTAAAAATAACGCCAAAACGTTAAATTTAAGCTTGAAGCTAACGTTTTTACTCCCTCTTTTTTTAATTAGATGGCACTCAGTTATTGGATGAGTTGGTCAAGCCTGACTTACCCATTATCGATTACTTGACAAAGTTTTCTGGTATCACACCTGAAGCTATGGGCGATGCCACCTGTTCTCTCCGACGTGCACAGAAACATGTCCGTAAATTGGTTGATCACAATACAATTTTAGTTGGCCATGGTTTGGAGAACGATTTAAAAGCCATGAAAATTGCTCATCCTTACTGTGTTGATACAGCTTTGCTCTACGATCATTTCCGTGGTCCTCCTTACAAGCCTTCGCTTCGTTTCTTGGCTCGTACTTATTTGAAACGTAACATTCAGGAACGTAATACAGCACATATTGGTCACGATTCTGCAGAAGATGCTCGTGCTACTCTTGATTTGTTTAAGCTCAAGTTATCAACAAAACCCAATTTTGGTAAATACAAACGCACAGAGTTGATTATGGATCGTTTGTCAGCCAATCGACCTCCCAGAACCAGTGCTATTCTTGAAAGTTCAGTAGATGGTTATCGCGTGTTTGGTTCTAATCAAGGTGGTGATTATTTCCGTGTTGATACAGATGAGGAATTGGTAGATTTGACTTTGGAAAAGATCAAGAATACCGACTTTTTATTTACTCGTTTCCAAACTGCCGATGGAGGTAAATCCAATCGCCCCATCGATAAGGGAGAGGATGCTGTTCCCAGTATCGTACCTAGTGCTGCAATCGAAAAAGCTAATAGCGCCAAGAGACTTCATAAGTTGGATGATTATATCAGAAAAATTTACAATGGTCTCCCCGAAAACTCATTTATAGTCGTTTCAGGTGGTGTTGGTGATGTTCCCATGTACAAAAAGTAAGCATACTCAACGTTTTTTCTTTGTTGGTTGTGATTGATGCTAATTCTTTATTATGAAATTAGATTATTCGACAAGCATCAAAGTTATCTGGAGAAATATGGTAATAAGAAGGTTGCATCTGTTGAGATTCCAGAAGAGGAACGATGGACAGAGGCAGATAGACTCAATTTACTTAAATGTGCTAAGCAAGCAAGAATGAGTTCATCTTTCTTCATGTTTAAGCGATAGTTTAAATATAAATTCATAATTTTACCATCACTTATGCCGACTGTGCCCTCATAATCTTAAATATCATTAATAAAAATAAAAAAAAAAAAGGTAAAAATCAAAAAAAAATTCAAAAAAAGGTTTTGTTACTCTTTTTCTTTGCTTAAGAACAAAATAACATAAAAAATCTCACGATGACCCGGTTTTGGACCCGCTTAGCTCAACCATTTCGTAAAGAGAAAAAGAACAAAAAAAAGTTACCAATCATCGTGTTTGATGAATATTCCAAATCACCCAGCTCTTTGAAAGAGTCCAATTTGTACAGTCGTCACCTAGTTCGCATCGATCTACTTGAAAAAGCTTATACCCATTTGTTGATTAATCAACAAAACAAATCCTACTGGAAACTGATGGATCCATTTATCCAAATTTGGTATACTGAATTGGACCGAGTATGCCAACAAAGCCAAATTGCCTTGGCAGATCTAAAGCGTCAGTTGGACGATCTTTCGACTATTCTATGTGCTGTTGTAAGTTTCTTTTTATTTTCCTTTTCTTGATTCCTCCAAAAACAAAAAACAAAAAAAAAACTAAATTCATGCAAACTCCTCACAATAGTCATCACCATTGAAAAATAGAGACCGTGAATCCCTAAGAAAAGCACAGCAATTTATCAACACCTGCTTGAACGAATGGGATCTACATCCAAGTCGTACTACTTCAACGATAAATAACTATACCTCGAAATCAATGATTGTAGGCTCTTGTTTTTCGGATAATACCTTGTTTTCAGAAACAACTCTACTTCATGAAAACAATTCTGAAATACGAGACTCTCGGTTTAAAATATACTGTCAAGGCCTTGATAGTCGCTTTCAAAAAGAGATCGAGGTAAGTCTTAAAATCATGCAGTCCATGCAATGTTTTTTAATATTTTTTGTTTACCTACTTATTAGTCCAATAAAAGCAATCCAAGGCTGAGACAATGCATACGCCAAGTATATAGTTTGGAGCAAGATCTTTATTTATACCACCATTATATCACCAGTCAGTTTAGTATACTTTTGGATCTCGGCAGTATATCGTTAGGTTCGCTACCTGAAGTAGAGGAGCCAAGTCTCTACCAGGTGATGAAGATGAGATGGGATCAGCGTTACAATATGCAGTTACAGCCTTACCAATTACTTGAAACAAAGTTTAAATCGATTTTAAAGTCAAGCACACCAGATATAGAAGATTTCACTTGCGCAGTGTGTCTTTCTATTTTGCATGAACCAACAACGCTAGAGACGTGTCATCATACGTTTTGCAGATCTTGTGTTCAACATCTTTATTGTGGTCATTGTCATCGTCACAGAGCAAAGACAATGAACCGTATTTCAGAAAATTTGTTATTATTACTTAAGCCTACACCAGCTGTATATTGTACGTGCCAGACAATTGATTCAATTACAGGCGAATTGAGCCTAAAAAACCAGCATGAAAGTGCTTGTCCATTGTGCAGAACCGCGTTCAAACCAGGGCAATGCAATATTGACGTGGAGCTAGAGAAATTCATCTCGCTTTACTTTCCCAAACGAAAACACGACAACGACGACCAGTTATATGATGAAGAAGAAAAGAAGAAGAAAAAAGACAGAAGGAAAAAAAAATCTGCAGAAAGGGGCGCAAGTACAAGTGATGACATTAACAGGAGAAGAAGTCAAATAAGTGCAGGGAAGTTTTACACGAAAATGCAAAGATGGTCCAATAGATGGGCTCAGAATGATGCAATAAGCTCGTCTGATGCTGAAGAAGACGAGATACCCCCTGTGCCCTTGCCTCCTTCTGTGCCTTTGGAAAATGATATGTTTTTGCTTGCTAGACGGTCATGGATGTTTTAAACGATATTTAAATTTAAATGTCAATAGTAATTAAATAAAAGTACATAATTTAAGCAGTGATCTATACTTCGTGGCACGACTTTGTGGATTTAATTTAAGCATCTCTGTTGGGGACATCCAATGTCAAATTAATCATAAAAACAAACTTCCAGCTTCCCAGCAGACAAAACGAGGAATCCCTATATTCAGGAGAGCTTCAAATTTGGGGATTTCTCTAAGCGCCGACCATTTTATTTGTTTGTCTTTCATAATCATTGGAAAATAAACAACTAATAAACAATCCGAAGTACGACCTGATCCACCATCATCTAAAGATTAAGTGGCCCTAGATATCATAAATGCAAAAAAGTATCATTACACCATGTCGACTGTTGAAGCAATTGCTTCTCATTATTAGTTAGGGGGTCAAAGTTGCTGTTCAATTAGGGTCTTCACTGGATATACTTTTAATCGTGCATAAAAAAGTAAACTAAAAGGTATTCTCTTGATTTTTACTGCACCCAATCGTACATCCTTGGCAGACAAGGATTTCTTGCTTTTATTCGGAGTTGTGATAACAGCAATTATAGGACACCAAGCACTATTGTATATCACTTAAGCGGTGTCATTATGAAAAAAACATTCAAAATGTAGTATACTCTGGTTCTTCCAAGTATTATATGGGTATAATAGTAAGATTTTGCATCTTTCGGCATGTTTTCCAATCATATTTTAATCGTTAAGAATAAGAAACCAAGACATTCGTTTTATCTTTTTTCCGCGGTCTTTCATACTCCTCAGTATAAGATACTATATAAACAGGTAAGAAAAGAAAGTCCGGGTTTATCGTTACATCTATGAAGTTTTCGGCATGTAATTAAGAGCCATAAACAGCAACTATAACATGTATTAATACTCATTTATAAATAGTAAAACAATTTTTTGTATCGGGTCTAATAACCGTGGTGGCTGCCGGGCCCACCAAAAATATCACTTTCAACGTTATTTCTCTAGTTCCTAACAACCAGACACTTGGTGTTATTATCAATGAAAAGGTGTATCCTCTCACTAAAGTAAATGAAGCCTCTAATTTACTTCACTACGGAGAAGCTCCATCTCCTTCTTCCGGCTACAAATATGCTATTCTTCAAAAAGATACCAACCAAGTTATTGAAAACGAAGACTTTACTCGTAAAAATAGCCCAAGCAAAAGCACATTAAATGAGTTTTATGGCAGACCCTGGAACACTTTTACCAACTTGACAAAGCTTCCCTCAATTTTTGAACCTATTTCTATCAACAACCGTATTGAGTCCAATCTTCACATTGACAACGAAATTCCTACTGTTCATTTTTATGGCGATCAAGCACAAATTGATAATCTTCATAGTAATCAAATGGAAGATATCGACATTAGTTTAAGCATGGCTTATCTTAGATATGCAACTTTTTATAAAGCCGTATTCGTTACTAATTTAATAAGTTTTTGTTCAGTCCTGGAGATGTCAAATTATATGAGAATGTCACTGTTTCCATTGCTGGCATATCTACACGTCATATGAATGAACTTTCATACAAGTTTAAGCTCCCCAAGAAACAAGATCTTTTTGGCTATCGCAGAATCAAGTTAAGAGCTATGTCGATCGATATGTCTTATATGAGAGACAGTTTAGGTTATGCTATCGCTGATTCTTTTGGTATACCTACTACAAAGCATAGTTATGCTCGTGTCTATATTAATGATAAAGCTGCTGGTCTTTATGGCCTCGTTGAACATGTCAAAGATGAATGGGTGCAAAACGAATTTGGTAATGGCTCTAAAAAGTTCAAGCACGATGCTTTATACGTAGCTGATATCAATGCTGGTTTGGCCAATACAAGTACAACCACAAACATAAAAAAACGCGATGGTGTTATGGACAGATTTCTCGCAGGAGAAAATGAGATTAGTAATCCTGCAGTCAGCTGCTCTTTATTATATCTCGGAAACAACATTACCGCTTATACCTCCGGGCCTTACTCTGTGAAATCTGGCCCTTCGGTTGGAACTGCCAACTACACTCGTATTATGGACCTGACTAAATTTATATCCGAACAGCCTATTGTTTCTGTCACCGACTCTTCAGCTACTATTTGGGAGGAAAAAATGGATGTTCATAGTTTTCTTCGGGGCTTAGCTTTTGAAATTGTGATCTCTAATATGGATAGATATTTTGGTACGTCTAATAACTACATATTGTACGATGATATCAAAAATGAGCGATTGGTTCTTAGTGAGCAAGATCTTGATTTAACTATGGGTATTAGCAAGTACAATGCTACCATTATGCATGGTGGAAACTATACCCTATTCCCTGGCTTCACTGCTCGCCCTTTGATGCCTCGTATGATGCAAGCTCCCAAATTTAAACAGCAGTTTGAAAATGATCTTGTCAAGATGACCAAAGAGCTCGTAAATCCTGTTATTTTGGGTCCACGTATTGATCAACTTTTTGGTATGCTTTCTGAAGAGGTTGCCTGGGATATGACGCTACCTCGCTTAGGTACAAGCCTGATACTTGATTTTATATGCGAACTGTTTTCAAGTAACACCACTGAAAGTTAGTTCCACCTGCGTGTTTATGGACCTGCTTTGTTCAACATCCCGGTAGCTCTTACTGATTGGTTATTGTTGCGCAGCTCAAACTTGTTGACCTTTTTCAATGAAACTGTCTCACAGTAACTTAAACCTTCATTGTTATGCCTAAATAAAAATCCCGATAGTTAACTACCATCGATCTCCTTATTGTAACCTAGATTTTTGCTTTATTATAAATCAATCCCCTCTCCATTGTCTTGTAGAATATATCTCAAGAATTATTAGTAGTATGGACTAGGTAGTTATTAGATATATAATGCCAAACATGACATATAAAGAACCAGTCAGTAGTAAAGGCTAAATGACGATGTTAGGAAAAAATGGTACAAAACGACAGTATCGGTTTTGCTAAATGAAATTTCGTTTTTCTTCATTCAAATTAGCCAACTCTCGATTTTTTTCTTTTTTTTTATTTTTAATTAAAGGCTCCTAAACATTGAACTTTACTTCCCAGATATTTAAGAGTGACAAATAAAGTAATTTTCCCCTGGTTTTATTGTTCAAGAAATCGTTTCGAGACTTCAATTTTTTATTGGACAAATTCATTTTTATTTTCAGACCTTTTTCCTTACTTAATTTAGACCATTTCAATTTGTGAGCTTAGCGGTACAGAAAGGAAAATAATAGGTAGAAATAAAGAAAAGATTGAGAGAGAGTTCTTAGTAAATACTGAAATGGTATATTTAAATAGAATAGAAGATCATATTGTCAACCTCCATCTGGTACTCAATAACTCCATTTTAATTTTCATCTGTCAACATCTCATTTCCATCGTCATAGCGAAAGAATGATATTTCGAAATACTTGTATTTCATATTAAAAAGCAAAGCAAACGAAATTTAACTTTAGCTGAAATTTTTATTCGTCATTGAAACAATGTTTTACATTACACATACATTTGAATAAAGCAATCGGTATAAGTTACGAATTAATGGTAATATGAGTAAAAACAATTCACCCGAGTTCTGTCTACTGATCGCTCGGTAATCGCTTTTATGACTCGAGGCTCTAATGAAACACCAAAGTCACAATTTTCACTTACATTTGATTCATTATAACAACAATTAAAAATTGCTTCCATAACATTGTATAAGCGATCAAGATAAGGAACAAATTGAGGCAGTTCATCTAGTGATAATGGAAGGCGAATAGTATCCAATTCAACCATAGCAAGCACATTACCAACTGGCTCACTTAAGTAAAATTTTACGTTTGTGCCTAAAAAAATATGGTCAGGGTTAAGTATGTCAAGTGACTGTATGTATGCTCTTCTGGTTTCATTTATAACGAACTTACCAATCGCCATTACTGCAAATGTGTGCTTCAACTTGTATTGGGTTGTTCCCTCTTTAGAAAAGATACCTAAACGATGCAAATCAACGTTGATTTCTCTGTGATTCTTTGCCTTGTCAATTGGTTTTACTTCGATAAACCCGATTGATTTTTGAAAATTTTTTATGCATCCATCTGGTCGACTTTTTATTAAGTTATCGTTCAATCCAATAGTATTAGTCCATTTGAAGATAATCTTATCATCACCACTGTCAAAAAGTGGTTGAAAAAGTGGTTGGAGATATCTGGTGCATAACTCAAACTCTTGGATTTCTTCTGTTTGGTTCTCAAATGGGAGTGCTTCAATCATCGATTTGACACATGAGAGCAATTTTGTGACGATGGGATCAGTGTTGTCGCTTGTTAATGTTAGAATTTTAGTCACCGTATCTATCTTCGATGTTCCACAATTCAGGCAGTTAACAATTGATATGAGCGCCATCATAATATTCGTGGGGAATTTATGGTCCGTACCCTTAAATTTAAGAGAATTGTATATACGTTTCCTGATACAATCTGTTGTGGAAGTGAAGTGACGCTCCAAATCTGTATGGTGACTCTTTTTTCCAATAAGAAGGACATTGGAGAGAGCAAGAAGATGCTGTAAGTGACTTTCAAATGTTAAAAGTGATGTTGACAACGACTCCAATACAGTCCGCTTAAATCGGGTCAATGAAATCGAAATATCTTGATAGTTATCGTCTGTGTTGCCATCGTTAATTTGAAGACCCTTGGAAATAATTTTTTTGGCTTCGTCCAAGGTTATTGATTCCACAGTCTCCGTTGTTTCCAATGTATCGGAGCTTGTTAAACTGGGGTTTGGAGTTGCAGCGACATCATCATCATTTGCTTCACCGTTGTTCGCCTGATCTCTTTGTTTCCAGTAATTTGCTGCTTCCTTGGTTTTGCGCCATTTGTTGTAGCTGTTAAGTATTTTTGCTTGTTTTTCTTGATCTTCTACATATTTAATGACATCTAAGAATCGAATTTGTGCTCGTCTTTTGGTGTAAGTCTTGAAAAAATCAAAGAAACTAAAGTGAGAGATCTCGCTTTTACTATTTCTTAACCAGTTTATCTCACTGGGAAGTTTTTTATTTCGCGTTTTATTTGGCGTAGGCATAGAGTTTATAACTTGGGGATACGGTTTTTTAAAATCAAAATAAAAAAATCAGAGCATCCCAATGGACGCGTGGCTCTTATACAAGTATTTTTTGGGATATTATGCAAAAAAAAAAAAAGGACTTGTAAAAAAAGACAAGAATATTAAAGCGTCCGTCGCCAGTATACGGCTTCATGTGACTTCGAAGTTTTTACATATAAAATGTGGTGAGAAAGCAACCTCACCACTACACTCAAAACGAGCTAAAAAGATTCAAACAATTCATTATTTTATAATATAACAATATTTTCTACACATCCAGCTAAAAATCCCTTTACATTAAGGCAAGATGTTCAGTTTCATTCCAACCATTATGAACCCATAGCATCCCATATATAGTAATTTTTAGCGTTACTTTTTTTTTTTCCCCATTTACTAAGGCTTATCCATACTCCGTATAAAACGCCAAAAAGGCAAAAAAAGGTAAATATAACAACATTTTAATTAAAACCATCTTTATTTTAAGTAAAAAAATAATTATATACAGGTGTATACGACAACTATAAGAGCTTTGCTGTATCTATAAATGAAAAAAAAAGAGTCAGTAAACCGTCTATTTCTAGAGTCAATAGCCGCCAAGTTTGTACTAAAGTAGGCAAAGCACAATGACTTTGCGTGTCTTTCGAAACTCAACGAAAATATGGTGAAGTTCAGCTACAAGACTTAGGCTGACACAAAGGCCAGCGTGTTCGTTCGCCTACTAAACGTGGGCATATTCGGTGGTATGGTGAAGTTCAGCTACAAGACTTGGGCTGACACAGAGGCCAGCGTGTTCGTTCACCTACTAAACGTGGGCATACCTTTTCTATTGACCGTTTTACTGAGTAAGCTATAAAAACTTACCATTGTCCTACGCCAACTATTCAATTAGTAGAAGAAAGAAAGATGAAAGAAGAAATAAGAAAGAAGAAAGAAGGGAAGAATTTTTTTAGTAAATTATGACTGTCAAAGCCACATTTCACCTCCGCCAATAAAATAAGGCAATTTCACGTAACTAGGCCGAAAGAGGTTCAATCATACAACTTAAAATAGACAAGCATTTCTTGTCTATTTTTATTCGGAGTCTTTCATAGCTTAAGGTACAATCTGGATATCTAATACACAATGCCATTACAGAGGGAATATTCAAAGTTGAGCCAAAATTCATTCTTCTAAATCAACATATGATTGCAATATAAAAAGTTTGGTACAGTTCAGCAAGATGCCTGTTATATTTTGGCTCTTATAAATTAAGAAACCAAAACTATTTTTACCGCGGCCTTTCATACTCCACAATATCTATAAAAAGCAAAAGACTATATAAGCAGGTAAGAAAAAAAAAGAAAAAGAAACCTTTATTGTTATTCCAATGAAGTTTTTGACATGTAATAGAATTGAAAAATACCTCTTTTATAATATAAATTAATATTTCTGGTCCATAGTAAAGCAACTTTTTATATCAGGCTTAATAACCGTGGTGGCTGCCGGGCCTACCAAAAATATCACTTTCAACGTTATTTCTCTAGTTCCTAACAACCAGGCACTTGGTGTTATTATCGATGAAAAGGTGTATCCTCTCACTAAAGTAAACGAAGCCTCTACTTTACTTCACTACGGCGACGCTCCGTCTCCTTCTTCCGGCTACAAATATGCCATTCTCCAAAAAGATACCAACCAAGTTATCGAAAGCGAAAACTTTACTCGTGAAAACAGCCCAAGCGAAAGTACGTTGAATGAGTATTATGGAAGATCTTGGAACAGCTATAACAATTTGACAAAGCTCCCTTTAATTATGGAACCTCTTCCCATCATCAATCGTATCGAATCCGATCTTCACATTGACAACGAAATTCCTACTGTTCATTTTTACGGTGATCAAGCACAAATCGATAACCTCCATAACAACCAAATGGAAGATATTGACGTTAATTTAAACATGGCTTACATTAGGTAAGTACCTTTTTTTTTTTGTCCTGAAGCCGTAACCTGATTTAGTGTATTAATATTTAATTCAGTCCCAAGGATGTCAAGTTGTATGAGAACGTTACTATATCCGTATCTGGTATGTCTACACGTCGAATGAGTAAACTTTCGTATAAGTTCAAGCTTCCCAAGAAACAAGATCTTTTTGGCTATCGCAGAATCAAATTAAGAGCAATGGCAAGCGACTACACTTATATGAGAGACAGTTTGGGTTATGCTATTGCCGAATCTGTTGGTTTACCTACTACAAAACACAGTTATGTTCGTGTCTATATTAATGATAAAGCTGTTGGTCTTTTTGGTCTTGTCGAGCATATAAAAGATGAATGGGTGCAAAACGAATTTGGAAACGGTTCTAAGAAGTTCAAGCATGGTGCTTTATTTGTAGCCGATATTAATGTTAAGCAACCCAATACAACTTCAGCCACAAATATGACAAAACGCGATGGTGCTATGGACAGCATTCTTGCAGGAAGAAATGAAATCGATAACCCCAAAGCCGTTTCTTCTTTGTTATATCTCGGAAACAACATTAGCGATTACAGTCTCGGACAATATGCTGTGAAATCTGACCCCTCTGTTGGTACTGCAAATTATACTCGTATTATGGATTTTGCCAAATTTATATCCGAACAACCTACAGATCATGTTGATGACTCTGCTGCTGCTATCTGGGAGGAGAAAATAGATGTCGATAGTTTCCTTCGAGGCTTGGCTTTAGAGATTGTGATTTCTGATATGGATGGTTACTTTGGTATGTCTAATAATTACATGTTATACGACGACATCGAGAACGAGCGACTGGTTCTCAGCGAACAAGATCTTGATTTGACTATGGGTGTAAGCACGTTCAATACTAGCATAATGCATGGTGGAAACTACACACAATTCCCAGGTTTCACTGCCCGTCCTTTGACTTCTCGTTTGTTCCAAGTACCCAAATTTAAAAAGCAATTTGAAAAGTATCTTATCAAGATGACCAAAGAGCTTGTGAATCCTGTTGTTCTGGGTCCACGTATTGATCAACTTTTCGACATGCTATATGAAGACGTTTCCTGGGATTTGGCGTTACCTCGCTTAGGCAAAAGCTTGATGCCTGATTTTTTGAGCATAGTATTTGGTAATGGAAGTGATTACACATCCGTTACTAACAACCCGTTCCACTTTGCTGTGTATGGACCTACCATGTTAAACATCTCGATGGCTCTTACAGATTGGTTACCATTGCGCAGCTCAAATCTTTTGTCCTTTTTCAACGAAACTATCTCCCAATAATATACCAAATGTTCATTATTATAGATATCTGATTGTGCATCAATACTTTTTATTGTGTTTATTTAATAAATTTTAACTTTGCCGTCACGAACAGCACATGCAATTCTTTGATAGCCAGACTCATGACCACTGGACATGACCTTCATGTCATAAACAGGCTCTAATTCACTTCCGGTGTATTCTGCTTCCACATAAACGGCACTATTAGAACGCAAAAGACTATTTAAAGATCCAGTTTGATATACACTTCCGTCGGCTGAGAAAAAAAAATAACAGGGTGTATTTGTAAGAAATTTTTTTTTCTATTTTCTTCAGTGAGTGAAAAACTTACCAGCACTAATACAGAGTACAGTTTCACCGTTACTGCTCAACTTGGTAACGAGAGAAGTAATGGCATGACCATTTCTACTCCAAGCTACATGGGGTTCTTGCAGGCTTTTTTGGATGGAAAATACTTGGACGAGACCATTGGCATTTCCTGTGAAAATTGTACCTGTTTCTCCCTCATAAGCAACAGCTGTTAATGCCACATCGGTAGCAGGTGTTGCAAAAATCTTGGGAAAACGCATAATTAGTATTTCTCTAAGAATAAAGTTCACAGGATAGACATTTTTTTTTTACCTCCTTCTTCGTGCCTAAATGGATTCCACGAACACTACCGTCGCCTAAAGCAACAATGACCAGTTTATCTGCTGTATCTACTTCTAATGGATCTATTATATATATCATTAGTCTATGTTTTTTTACTGTATTTATTGTTTGTTATTACCAAGGCTTTCGGTGGTAGCAGGTTCATACTGTGATGGGAGTTTGGCAAGGATCATCTTGTTTACGGGGAATTGATAGTGACCCATTGTAGCAATGGTGGATGATGTGCCACAGTTCCATAATTTGACAGTACCATCACGAGAAGAAGCTGCCAAGTTCAATATCAGCAAATGAGACCTATCCATTTATATTACTCAGTATACTTACATAAAACATTTCTTCCTTGTGCGATAATCGCAGTACTTGTGATTGCAGATGTATGACCTTGCAATGTAACAGGATTACTACCGTTTAAGACTGACCAGATTTTTACTTGAAAATCAGCTCCGCCTGTTAGCACTACCAAATTACTAGGGAAAAACTGGACTGTAGTAACATCACTGAGGTGGCCTTTAAGTATAGTCTGTATTACGTAATCAGTCAGCACAATACCCCTAATGCAAATATTTGGTTTTATGTACCTGTGATTTTCCTTCGGTGACTGATCCTAAAGTTACTTCATCACCATTTCCTGCTGCAAATAAATTGCCGTTGGGAGATATATCAATACATGAAACCTATAAAAAGAAAGAGTGTGTTCAATAAACTGGGTAAAAAACTCACTGTGTTCAACCTACTGCTTTTCCTTTGACGGGGTAAAAATCTGTTTTAGGTCCATAGACGGTAATGTTCTTAATGCCGAGTGCAGGACATTCTACCTGAAATGTACGCTACGATAGGGAGAAATAAGAGAATGGAGTTAGTCCTTCTTGCTAATGTCGATTTCTATAGTATAGTAATTACAGAATTAAGACTGGTGACAGTAATACCATCGTTTCCTTCAAGTTTGATTTCGTGTTCCTTTGTACGTTTTACATTTACTGATCCTTGAACACTTTGCTTTCCTGGTTTTTAAAGGGGAAGGGTGATATATTAGGCTTTGTTGTAAATCCATACACATATAAAAAAAAAGTTACACCCACAAACCTGTCAAATAACAAGCGATCCAAAACGAGCCTTCGGCAATGGTATTAGAGGCTACCTCTCTCACCACATCATCCCAGTCTGCTTGAACAGAAACAAAAGGTAAAGTTTGGACAGCCATAGAAATAACAAAGAATAAGGGAAAGTGATTTTCTGATGTGAACGCGCACCATCCAGATCTTCATTCAATTCACCGCTACTAGACGCACCCCATCATCTCTCTCACTTTGAAATTTATTTCCTAGTTGGTATGACCTTGGGATCACATTAAGAAGTGTGAGAACAGGTAGACACGCGAATGTACTAGTTTAAATTTTTTGGGCGATCACCTGTCTCTTTTCTTTTTACTACGTATATTTATTGGAGCACGGTAAGCGTAATTGTATGAATATATGATCTAGTAGTTGTTATTCTAAATGAACAGTATCTCCTAGATAACAACAGTGAAAGAAGATTATAGTATAGAGACTGTGTTGAGGTAATGGGTCTTGTAACAGCGGTTCTGTATTATCTGATAATGCGTGTTTCATGTAAATAAAGGGCAGTGTGACACGAGCACAGACGAAGCATGTACATATTAAAGGTATTATATTGTGTGCCATAAGATAGGATATAAATGCTCCATGAATGGTTTACTGTTTATGGTAAGGCTCAAAAAAAAGTTTATTATATGTGCCTGAGAAGAAGAGGATGACCATTGTGTATGTGTGGGGTAATATACCCGTGCGGGGGAGTTTTTATTTATATAATTAACGAAACATACGAAGATAAGCCAAAAATAAGGCACCAGCACCAGTCATTGTACCTACCATGTATTGCAGTATTTGAAACTTTATCGCCTCCATTTGAGTTCTTAGGTTTGCAATATCGCTTTCTATTCTGGTATCAGTTTCTCTCATTTTAAGTTCCTGTTCACTTGCCTCGTCTCTCACACGACCCTTTTCCAGATTGAGATCGAGACGCACATTGGCTTGTGAGCGAGTAATTTCCTCTCTTAATCGTTGACGTAATTTATCTACTTGGGTTTGCAGACGTTCGTTTTCGTTCTTCATGACTGTAAAGTCATTTTTTTCAATGAGTTGAATCTCTGATTTGAGCTGAGCAAAGTCGACCTTGTACATATAAATGGCCTAAATAATAGATAGATAGGGGGATTTTGTTAGGGTGTGAGTGAGTGGGGAGAGTAAAGATAGTGGCAAGATAGAAAATACTTTGTCCTTTTCAGCCCTGGAGACCATGGGTTTTGTGAGGTCAGTCATGCTTTGACTAATGACTTTAGTGAGAGTGGTCATGATGGCTTCACTCTGCTGTCTAGTAAACTGTTCCCTTTCCAGCCTCTCAACAAACTTGAAGGTATCAAAATGGTTTAAATGATTACATGTCACACGAGACGTTGAGAAAAAGCGTCTAGTTGCCAGGGAAATAGACATGATGGAAAAAAACGGAGAAAACCGAATGATTACAGTCCCTGGGATCACAAACAAAATTTTCTTTATTTTTTGGCACGTGAAAAATGAACTATTTCCCCCCAAAAAACTCAATTTCGGTTCTTTTTTTTTCTTTTTTCTTTTTCAACTCAACAAAAAAAAATATATATATAATTACAATGACACAAGCAATGTCAATTACTCAACTATGTAATGTTGAGGAAGAGAAAGACGAAATACAACAAGAAGGTGAGTGGTAGCACAAAAAGGGGAAAATAAACACATGTATTAATTATTTTATTCATAGAACATTTTATTCGTCGTTTACCGCTTGTTCATAGCGCATTAAAGGCCTATGAGAATTCTAGCTCTGTTGTTAAATATGGTGCAGAAATGATTGAATCATACGCCGGACCCATTTACGATAAATTGGGCTATGATCGCAAATTAAAAGAGGTATTTAGAGTATATGTGTATTATATGCCTTCATATCTAATCACCCCTCATGATTTACAATAGTCGTCACCTGAAGATGAAGATACAGTGGCTGCCACTTCAGCTCTTGCACGTGCATCACTCCATGACACTGAACCTATCGTCCGCCGAAATGTCAGATCTAAACCTGCTTCAAGAAGTACTTCACCTCATCGTCCATACACTCTCTCGAGACCCATTCAAAAGAGTCGTTGGCAACAAATCGTACTTCATGCAGGATCAGCCGCAGGTACCACTGCTGCTGTCATTAGTGAAGAAAGTATGAAATGTTTACGTTATTGTATTAGTTGGTTACAATACGCTATGCAACACATTGATGGTCAAATGAATTTATTAAGAAGTTTTCTCGTTTCTTTGGCGACTGGTTCGTCCAAATCAAATGCTCTTGTCAACAATGAAAGTACATTGGCATCCATCAAGAAGGAAATCGTTGATACTCTACGTAAAGTAGTTGAAGTCGTTAGCAAATATGCAGGTTCTGGTTTGCCTGAACAGGCCAAAGCATCTGTCCGTGCCTTTATTTTGCAATTACCAAGTACCTGGGCTCAACTTCACAACAAAACTCAGGCTGAACAAGATGCTCAACCTCTTCATGAAACATCCATTAAATTATTGGACTTTGGCGGTGAATCACTCGTCATGCTTAAATCTGTCTCTATCGTATTTTCTGATACCATCGAAAGAGCTGAACTCTGGCTAAAGCGATTGAAGGTCGTTGGCGTTAACCCCACTACCGCTTCCATGGAGACAAATTAAGATATCCCTATCCACACTCCTATTTTTTTTTTTATTATTTATATACATTTTTATACATACATATTCATTCGCCCCCATCTAGATTTCCTTTTTTTTAAACGTGTGTAACTCTTATAACTCTTGGCGCACGCTGCCCAAAAACAAAATAAAAAAAAGTGATGTCAATTCATTGTGTAACGCACCACACAATCATTCTTCTTTATACGCCGCTGACGATGGCATTTATGCATTGAGGGAATATACACTAGTGCTTCTCCTTTAAATCCTTGGAAATTGGGGGGGGGGATTCCTAAGTTTGAAATAATAAAGAGTTTTCTTTTGTCTGCTGTCGATCACCTACTGAGCCTGCAAGATTTTTGTTTGTTATTATTGTGATTATTTCACGCTCAGACATTATTTTTTATTCAGAATCATGTCAAATTACAAATACATCAAAGTTTTATAAAGAAAACCATTCATATGAATCCGTAAATATTGTTGGCTTACTTCAAAATTAGAGGCCGAATCTATATGCCTTTTTTGTGGCTAATTCTATCTGCTCGAGAAAAAAAATATTCAGAATCTTGCCATATTTTGTGATGAAATAACGCTCTTTCGTTCATCCCTACTCTTATATGGAATATGTGGGTGAGAAGAAATCTGAGGATTGTCATTGATCAAAGGGATCTAGAAATCAGAAGCTTGAGGTTTCCAGTCTTTAAACATTGTCAAAAGTCGATTTGCGTAGAAGTCTGAATCAATGATAACTACTGCGCAATGTAAAAGCTTGGTATAAGATTTTTTTTCCTGCGCTGTTCTCCATGTTCCATTTTGTCTTTTCTTGCGTAATATCGGTGCCCAAAAAATCTGCCAAGTTGGTCTTTGCCACAAGTGCCACGAAGTTCAAGGTATGACAACTAAGCCAAATGCACTAGACTATTAATACTCACCATAACAAATTTTTGTTTTTATCGATCTAACATAAAGTGCAAATCAAATATTAATCGTTCCAAATTTCCCTATTTCTTTTCTTTTTTCTCGCGTTATGAATATTCTTAGTTTACCTACAGAAATTTGGTATCAAGTGCTGGAATTTTCACATAATCGGTATCAATGCGCCTTTGTCTGTAAGGCTTGGACAGAAGTCTCGCTTCAACAATTATACAAAGACCTGAGGCTGGATGGCCGCAACATATGCCGTATGAAACGACTTTTGGAGTTGGATGCGGATGAGCGAATCCCTTACTTTAAATACTTTGATTCAACTACAAGACTGACAATTAAGAGAGATAAGGATAGAGAGGAGTTAAGGAGTTTAGGCTATATGGAATACGATGATGGCAAACTGGAGGAAGACCAATTCATATTCTTTTTGAATAATTTACCGAAACTCCGAGACCTACATCTTGTAAACAGCTGCTACGAAGGTTATTATATTGCATATTTACGCCAAACAGATTCACTCAAGTGTTTGAATGAAATACAGACACTTCCCTCATACTCCTGTTATGACATTTTCAGTCTATTATGCAGGTATCACTCAACAATAACTGCTATCTGTATGGATGCCTATGAAGGGAACTATTCTCAAACTATAACATGGACTATATGTGAATCGTTAAGCCAATTTAAGCATTTGACACATCTAACTTTGACAAACGAACGTAATGTTCATTTGACACCACTAGAAGTACAATTAGCTTGCCCTCGTTTGGTGACCTTTAAATACAGCAGTGGACCTACAATCTCTGATCATACTATAGAAAATATGTTGCGCGGTGTCAACAAGAACGGTATAAATAGCCATTTAAAAGTGTTTCAACTCCATGTTCCCAATCTACCAGCCAGCTATTTTCGATATATCTCCACGTATCTAGTTCCTCATCTGGACAGCCTAGATTTAGAAGTTAGAAGATACCAGCTTTTGAACTGGATCCGTGAGGTTGGAATAGAAGATGCGATGGTCTTTGCAAAGAATATAAGTCGTTTAAAGGAGCGTAGTCTTGAATTTAGATATCCGTATAAAAATGTGACCATGGAAGACAAAACTGCAGAAATAACTAATTTCAACAAGTTACTTAATGCATTTAAAGGACTGAGATACCGTCTGTGTCAAGGAACATTCAAGTTTACTGGAAGTTCACATTATTCGATGCATCGCAGTAAAGAAGACGTATTGGAATTTGAATCTACATTGGACGCAAAGTGCTATCTTTCACCTAGCGACTCAAATATTGCACACGCCTATGAAGTAGCCTTGAGTAAATGTCTATCGGATAAGGCTTCCTCTTGCATTGAGCCAGAAATGATTGATTGCTTGAATATCCACATAGATCATGGTAACCCGAAGCTGGTCTCAGTAGTTTTACAGTATGTACTGGTTCATTTTACAAATATTCAAGCTTTTATATTTTTTATGGACGTCACCTCTACCAAGACAATCTATATTGGTGATGATGTAAAGGAGTTACAACCACGGAAAGACCGTTTTATAACATCAAGATGTGGTAGAGCCGGTCTGAAGGTGTTTAAATCTTTACAATTTATTCCTTCTAAGCCTTTGCTAGATTTAATTTCTACGCATTTGTTGAATATCCAAGTGTTGGTGTACAATGCAAAGATCATGTATGGAAGATGGACACAAAAAGTAACCGAAATTGATTTGACGGCTTTAAAAAAATTGCAGCTGTTTCAGTTTGACGATTACAATATTTATGGGTATGATACAGATTTAATATTTATTCAATTACAAATCAACCATGGAGACATAGCTTATTATTGCCGAAATATTGAAATATCTGCCGTGTATGAAGCGACTACTCTCCAACTATTCCAAGAATGCCAAGATGATGCTACACTGAATATTCGACTTTTGAATGTAAAGTATAATAGTGGTGTGAAATTCGTTGTTTCAACTGGAAGTCATACAATGGCTGCAGAATTTCATAATGGTCTTCTTCTTGATTACATCAACATTGATACTAAGTTTTTATAAATCAATGTATTTTCAATAAATCAATTACGCTGTATATATGCCTTTTCTGTAAATATTGGGGATATGGTAGCCAGGTATTACCAACATCGGTAGGGAGCTTCCAATTAGAGTCAAAAAATCTTATTCTGACTGATTAAAAACACTTTATGGTTATAACAGTTGAGTAAACTTTAACTGCAAGGCACTGAGGTCTAAATAAATGGTTTTATAAACGCAAAGTGCAATTATGTGCAAAAAAAAATATGGTGATTTTTTAATTTTTTTATGCTAAAACATCAAAAGGGAATTTTCAAATGTATAAGCTCTATAATAAAGCTCCCTCTAAACAACTTTATATTTTACATTGGTATAAGCTGAGAATGACTTTTTATTATATGTGGATTTTCAATATTTTGTATGTCCTCCACTGACTTTTTTTTCATCCCGGCACCAATCGGGTACAAGCCTTTCGAAGACATTTAAGTCAATTTTTTGTCATGCTTCATGGATTACAACCTCCAACTGCATCAAACAGTTGCACAAATGTCTTGAATATACCAGGATTCAGATTAGGAAAGTAGGTCAGTACTGAAAACCCTCTATACCGACCTTCCTTTTCTACCACTTTATATATCCGCCAGTATGACACAAAGTGCCATCTTTTTTAAGGTCATGGTTATGTTCCTGTAAAAAAAAAATCGAGCCAAGGAAGGAAGTTTTCGAAAAACATTGTACGTATTTTAGCCCAATTAATATCACTATGGATTCTTACTAAAGGTCCAATCCTCCCGCATAAAAAGATTCCCAAACCAGTGTCGAGCTTTCGCCAAATTCTTCGTTCACTAAAAGAAAGTCTCTTAGATCTATCCCTCACAGGACGATGATCTGATTTGGCATCTTAAGAGACCCGAATCTCCTAACACCAATGGAGCCAACCATTTTCAACCCCAAAAACGAAGATTTGCACCCACGATTTGAGCCCCCACTGTAAGAAAATGGCAAACAACAGCTAGATCCGAACTAAAACAGTGACTAGCATTGAGTTTGTATAGCGCAGATGAAGCAAACCATACCCAAATAATCCTAAAAACATGTGTGCGAAAAGTATAACAGGACCTACAAAAGTGTTACGGACGCAAACAGTGACTATCCGACACACGAGTTGTTTCTTCTGCAAAGTCAGCTGCTTATAAATATTTCGATTGGTTATTTTTGCGTAGTCAATCAGATACAGTAAAAAACGGTAAAATTTTGTTACTTTGAATGTCTGTAACCAGAAAAAACTTCGATCCAAGTGGTACACAAGACTTGAGCTGCTACATAGCTAGTTGGTGATTAGAATCGATTTATTCAAAATCCCATTTAACAAGTTGCACGATGTCACACTTCATTTTAATTAATAAGGTTGAAGGGACAAATCAAGAACGAATGGAAAGGGACATAGTCTTACAATACCTAAATATTGTATTGCAGGACTACATACGTGTATCTCAAGCACAACAAATTATTAAAAAAACTGTACAAAGAGCAAGGTTTATTTCACTAAGCGGAACTATTAAGAAATGCTATCCATATTGATATAATAACCGTTTTTTTTTTTACTCGTCTTCTTCAAGAATGAACCTCGTGTTCACAATGCATGAATGGCCATCAACAGTACCTACACAAAAGTCAAAAAAGACATTTGCTGTATCGGCCGCTAAATGTACTATCCTCTTTAGCTTATCGAACTGAGCTTCTGATCTATGTGCCCTAGATAAAAGAGGAATCAATAAAAACCATGCAAAATCATTTTTGTAACTTATTTTCTTTACTCGTGTGCGGGAACCTGTCTCAGTAGGCGATCTTTACAATAAACTTCAAGTTCTTCATTTTCCTCGTCTTTTAATGTGAGCTTCACATCGTACGAGATACTGGTAGGGTTGTCACATTTTGGACAAAAGCTATCAACAGGAGTTCTGATATACGGCCGTTAAACAGCAAGTATTGGCCATTAAAAGATGCATGTACTTACCGCACGTTACACTTAAAGCAGTATCCTTGAATCCAATCTCTAACATCTTGAGGGCTGTACTTACAAATACTGGCCTTTACCTCACAAATCCCATTTTCCTACACAAACAAACAAAAGTTAGATCAGAGCTAAAAATTTACAATGCATGCACTTCATTACAGGTCGAGATTTGATATACTTGAGACTTTTGAGGCCTCCACGCTTCTTGGTAATGAATTCTTTTTCATATTTTTAAGAACAACGATCATATAATTTTGTATAATACTTTCCTTACCTGTTCGAAGTGGGTATGCCTCCAATTGGTCTCTTGTACGTTTCTTCGAGCTAGCCTTCATTGATTTTCGTCTTGCAAGAACGTTCTTCAAAAGATCATCGTCTGGTGAGATATAAACAACCTGCGGCTTGCTTTGATCATTGCTTCCATGGATGTTGAATTCCAACGTGTCCGTGAGTTTTTTGACACAATTACGGAGGAAGACAAAATCTTTGACATCCAATTTAGCACAAACACTGCGATGGTAGTCCCATACAGAGCAATAAATCAGATACTTGGGATCTAGGACCTTTTGATCGACAGGTAAGGTGGGTGGGTAAGGATTCTCAGTAAAATCTGTTAATACCAACAGAGTAAACGCATCGAAGTTTTTAATATTCACAATTTGACCAACAAAGTCAAAGTACTTTGCTGGATTATCATACAGCTGAGAGGTCTCTAACAATGGTCTCTTAGTGGGAACCTGTACCATTGCTTCTGAACCCGAAGCCTCAGCGTTCCAAGTATCTAAAGCTTTGATGATGATTTTATCGTTTGGTACCGCAGGAAGATTCATATTGGCGAGTTGGATTTGCTTGATTTTTTTAGCAGTGAAAAGAGCATATTTGGAATAGGAATTGAGAGTGATTTGAGGATTATTGTTAAATTCCTTTACAAAAAAATTTTTCATTTGCACAATTCGATTCTCTTCGAATGCCTCGAGTGTCTTCAAGCTTTTACTGAATATGTTTAGACAGCAAGTGCCTGAATCCAAAGACGGGTCACTAACATAACAGGTCAACATGTGGTCTGTCATATTATAGTTAGTGGAAAGACGCTTTCTTAAAGGGTTCCATGCCCACCTTTCTCGGGAATGTTGCTAATTCGAATGTCCTTTTTAGACAAGATTACTGCGTATCCTACGCTATCGCGTGGAGCGTATTTTTTTTCAGCAAATTGTCTTAGATTAGTTATATTATTCTCCTATTCTTTTGCTTTTAGTCGCTCAGTAATTTTCTCAGGTGCTATTGTACCTTCAAAAGGTCGAGGTATTGTTGTCCAGACATCGTTGGTTTTAATAGCAAACAAGAACACTTGCAGGAGAATGTCTACACCTACGTCTTTTTTTTTTTTTCTACGTACTTTTTTAAAACACGTGATTTCTTAAAACACGCGATCTACGTACTTTTACGTTTAAAAAAAATACGTTTGAAAAAATACGTTTGAAAAAAATACGGATTCTAGACATTTCCCATAGTAAGGTCTCCACGGTTGGTGTTGCCGTTAAAACCGTTGACAAAGTTCTCGTCCACCACACTTGAATTTGGGTTTAACAGCAAACAATCATGATGAAATGATATTGTTTCACATGCAATAAAGAGCCCCAAATGATTTTGGCTAGAACAAAGAAGGGTATAGTTTCATTTTTAACCAGTGAAGACGATTATTGTCAAAGTTTGGCCGGTTAGTGTGGTAGTCTTCTTGTAGTAGTGCGACCCGAATAGATGAGGATTATATGTCAGAAGATAAATATGATTGGGTAAGAAAAATATATATCTTATATAATCACATTAAAAGATATAATAGAAATAGATAAAGTTTTATTTATAGAAATATGATAGTTTATATTAACAATAATTTAAGTTAATGACTAAGTAATATAAGAATGATATGTTGAGAATTGTTGATGAGGCGCTTTGAAGAGGCACCTTCAAAGTGGCACCTTTTTGCATCTTGTCTTTCGGTCCTTAAACCTTAAGTATTACACTTCTACAAAGTCTTTGTGACCTGGAAGATTTCAGTATTCTTTGCGCGGCCTTTGAGAGGGCTTTTCGGTGTGACATGGTATTTATTTTATCTGCAGTTGAAGACATCGGCCGTAAATGAAAGAATGTCTTTAACTTCTGTGATAATGTAGCATAATATTTACAAATTCTTATTGAAGCACAAGTTGGTCTACGCCACATTATTACCGCCAAAATCTAGGTATCACAACTAAGCCCGGGGGGCATTAAAAAGCGAGATCCAAAATTCGCTCTTTACTTTTTTTTTTATTTATTTATTAATTTTCTGCAACATGAATCATAATCTCCCCATAGAAATCTGGCACCATGTGCTACAATTTTCACAAAATCGATATCAATGTGCCCTAGTCTGTAAAGCTTGGAAAGAGGTCGCACTCCAACAGTTGTATAAAGACCTGAGATTGGACGGCTACAACGTGTATTGCATGAAGAAGCTTTTTAAATTGGATGCCGATGAGCAAGCCCACTACTTCAGATATTTCTTTTTGACTACAAAACTGACGATTGACAGAGACCATGAAAGAATGACATTTGATACAACCGATTATTTGAATTACCAATATTCCCTATTGGAAGAAGACGATTTTATACTCTTTTTGGAGATGTTACCAAAACTGCAAGTAGTAAATCTTAATAACAGCTTCTATGAACATTATTACTTCGGGTATATACGAGACACAAATTCACGCAAGTGCTTAAATGAAGTGCAAACATTTTGTTCGGCTACTTTTCATGATTTTAAAACAAGCTACAGGTATCGGGCAACATTGACTACTCTCAATCATACCCTCCGTATTGAATACTATTTACCAACCCCTACAATGAATATATGCCAGTCATTAAGCCAGTTTAAAAACCTGACAAGTCTAACTTTTGTTAATGCTTATGTTAATAATCTGACACCATTAGAATTACAACTAGCCTGTCCTTGTTTGGTAACCCTAAAATACAGCTGTAGAAATAGAATTTCTGATCAAACTATACAAAATCTCTTAAGAGACAATGACATGAGTAAAACAAACAGCCGTTTAAAGATACTCCAACTACATATTCCCAATTTGCCAGTCAGCTATTTCCAATACGTCTCCGGATACCTCGTTCCTCACCTGGACAGCCTGGATTTACAAATCAATCGAAGTCGAATGTATGACTGGATCAGCGATGTGGGGATAGAAAATGCGTTGACGTTTGCCAAGAATATAGGTAGTTTGAAGCAAAGTGGATTCGGTTTCCAATGTCCGTACGAAGATGTAATTGTGGAAGACAAAAACGCTGAAATGACAGTTTTCTACAAGTTGCTAAATGCATTCAAAGGATCAAAACATCGCATATGCGAAGCAACCTTCAAGTTTGTTGGGAACCCCTCTTATTCAATGCAACGCAGTAAAAACAACTTGATACAATTTGAATACCCATTAGATGTGAAATGTTATTCTCCTCCTATTGACTCAAAAGTCGTACATGCCTATGACCTAGCATTAAATGAATATCTACCGGATAAGGCTGTCTCTATCAGTGGACCTGAAATTATTGATTGCCTTAATATTTACGCAGGTTGTGGTAATCCAGAGTTAGCCTTTGTTTTTATACAGTATGCATTGATTTACTGTCCAAATCTGCTAGCTTGCAGAATTGTAATGGATGCGATTTCCAATAAGAACATCTATATTGGTACTCATGTAAAGGAGCTCCAACTACGCAAAGATCGTTTTATAACATCAAAGTATGGTAGAGAGGATATAAAGGTGTTTAAATCTTTCCATCTTATCCCATCTCAAGCAACGTTGGATTTACTTTGTATCAATTTACCGAATATTCAAGCTTTGATATGCGGTGCTAATTTTATGTACGGAAGATGGACACAAAAGGTGGCCGAGATTGACCTGAAATTGTTTAAAAACTTGGAGTTGTTTCAGTTCGATGATTACAATATTTGTGGAAATGATACCGATTACATATTTATTCGATTGCAGGTAGATAATGGAGACATGGCTTATTATAGCCGAAGAAATGGAAAAACTGTTGTGTATGAAGCAGCTACTTTGCAGTTATTTCAAGAATACCAAGATGATGCTACACTGAATAATTGCCTCCTGACTGTAAAGTGTAATAGTGGTGTAAAATTTATTGTTTCGTCAGGAAATCACACAATGGCCGCAGAATTTGATAATGGTCTCCTTCTTGATTGTATTGGAATTAATGCTAACTTTTTATAAGTCATTGTATTCTCAATAAACCAATTACTCTGTATATATGCGTTATTTTTTGTAGACATTGGGATAAGGTAGCTGTTTATTACCAACCTCACTAAAAAATGGGGTCTACAAGACAGCATTTATTAGCATGTGTACAAGACATGGTCAGTTACAAGCAAATTTGACATGTAATGTATGGTAGATTATTCCATCCCTCAATATAAAAGCTTTTTAAAAACCCAGTTTCGTACAATAGGCATTTATACAAAACCGCTGTTTAATTACGAAGCATTGTAATAAATCAAAAGCTTATGCAACATTTGGTTCGATAAACAGGTAGATATAATATTTAAATTCCGTCATGGATCTCAGGCCGTCTGAGTAACCCGGTCGTGGATTTCTCTTTGTGGCCCAACCTAATTTCTTTAGCCGTTCTTACTGATCCCAAAGTCTGACTCACGGGAATTTAGACTGTCCCTTTACATCAAAATGTGACTTTCAAAATGACTCTTTGTGCAGATCAAATAGATGTCAGAGCAAAAGAAAAGTCTTTGCTGGGACATCTCATTTTAGTAATAAACTTGAAACACCTTCTTTTAATCATAGATATTTAGTTTCTTAATTCCTTTTTTTTTTTCTTTAAACTTTCTTGTTTCTTCGACCCTTTTTTTTTTTTGGAAAAATATGTGCGGAATTTCTGCTTTAATTCTCGCAGATCATGGGGCTTCTGCTTGTCCTGACTTGTTTGAAAGTTTAGGTCTTCTTCAACACCGAGGCCAAGTGAGTTTTTATATCTCCTCTCGTATCATGCAAAAAACAAAAAAAAATTAATTTTATGCCATTCAATAGGATGCTGCTGGTATTGTTACTTCAGGTCCTAAAGGTCGTCTCTATCAATGCAAAGGCAATGGTATGGTAAGAGACGTCTTTTCAGAATCACAACTTGCTGGTCTTGTCGGTAGTCTTGGTATCGGTCATGGTAATTAGATAAAACCGACTTTCTCTTTTTCTTAAATAAAAACTAAACTTTTTTTTTTTGATAGTCAGATATCCCACGGCCGGTTCTTCATCTACATCTGAAGCGCAACCCTTCTATGTAAATTCTCCTTATGGTATCACCTTTGCTCATGTAAATACAGCACTTTTGTTTATATATCATAAAAACTCCTAACTTATTCATCACGGCAGAACGGAAATTTGACGAATGCTGATGAATTAAGAGTTTATCTGGACAAGATTGCTCATCGTCACATCAATACAGATTCTGACTCGGAGCTCCTCTTGAATATTTTAGCCAACAATCTCCAAAAGACCGGAAAATTCAGGTAACTAAAAAGATGTGATTTTTTTATATTAAGTAAGCATCTAAAAAAAAAAATTATCTGTCCAGAATCAATGAAGAAGATATTTTCACTGCAATTAAAGATTTACATTGTCAGGTAAGAGGTGGGTATGCATGTGTGGCCATGGTTGCTGGTTATGGTATTATTGGTATCCGTGACCCTCATGGTATCCGTCCTCTCATCATGGGTCGCCGTCAAAACCCTGCTGGTTATGACTACATGTTTTCATCTGAAAGTATTGTTTTAGAATCCCTCGGATTTACCGACTACGAAGATGTCAAGCCTGGTTAGTAAAAAAACTAAAAAAAAAAAAAAAATATTGATAAACAATCATCTCATCGACATTAAATTAATAGGTGAGGCTGTGATTATCACACAAGGAGGTCATGTCTCGCGTCGTCAACTTGTTGTCGCTGAAAAAATAGCTCCCTGTATTTTCGAGTATGTATATTTTGCTCGTCAGGACAGTGTCATTGATGGTATTTCTGTGTATGATGCTCGTTTGAGTATGGGTGAAGCCTTGGCTGACCAAGTTACACGCTCTTTTGGTAAAGATTTAGACATCGATGTTGTCATTCCCGTAAGTTTTTTTTTCCTGTTTTGTCTCTTGTTGGTTGTGATTTTAATAAAATGTGTTAGGTACCTGATACCAGTCGTGTGGCTGCACTTGAGCTTTCTCGTAAATTAAACATTATTTATCGAGAAGGTTTCAATAAAAACAGATATGTAGGTCGTACCTTTATCATGCCTGGACAACAAACCAGACGTAAAAACGTACGTCGTAAGTTGAACGCCATGACTTTAGAATTCCACGACAAGAATGTCTTATTAGTTGACGGTAAGAATATGAATAATTAAAAGGAGGGGGGAAGGGGTGGTAGCTACTCATCATCTAAAAAAAATCTGCCTTGTTTATATAGATTCTATTGTTCGAGGAACCACTTCAAAGGAAATTATCCAGATGGCACGAGACGCAGGAGCTAAAAAAGTGTATTTCGCTTCATGTGCACCTCCTATTCGATACCCCAATGTGTATGGTATTGACATGCCTACACGTCAAGAACTAGTTGCTCATGAGCGTAATATTGAGCAAGTGGCAGAAGAAATTGGCGCTGATAAAGTAATTTATCAAGAACTGGATGACTTGGTACAATCTGTACGTCGTTTTAATACTTCCATCCAAACATTTGATACGTCCGTCTTTGATAAGCATTATGTGACGGGAGACATTGATGATCGCTATTTAGCACAATTAGAAGGTGTGCGTAGTGAAGGTACAAAGTCTCGCTTAAGTATCGACAGTGATTGTGTTGGTCTCTACAACAGCTTTCAAACCAAACCATAGAACCCTTAATTGAACAACCGCAATATACGTCACAAAGAAAAAAAAAATGTCGCGGAAAACTGATATAAATAAAAAAATAAATCACGAAAAAAAACTTTCCCTTTGTATTATTGAATTCAACTTATCATTATGAACAATACCATCGTTGGCAGCGTTAATCCGTCCTTTAAAGAATACGGTGACTCTCTTGTTACATTAATTAAAAGTAACCAAGAAAGCATTGATTTGGCTGATCATTTGAGAGGTACGGGTTTATTCTCAGGAGAAAGAGTTTACTTATCAATAACGACCCTATTTTTTTTTTTTTTTTCACTGCAATAGATTCGGATTCAGAGGTATATGCCAAAGACAATCAACATGTATTCTCTAAAATAGCCACAACACAATTTCCGGAATCTCTTCAAGTAGAAGGTGAGACGATTACGACAACAACGACGACGAAAAAAAAATATCATTGCGTATTGGACATGAACTAATCTTTAGAAAATACATAGGACTCGACCCACAATATAAAATGGGATTTTTGCCCTCAATTAAGCAAGTGTGGCTTGCTACCAGTACTTCATTATATATCTGGAACTATGTGGATAACACTGAAGTCTTCAAATACGAAAATACTGAAGCTATTGAAAATGCAGAGATGCTTACGTTTCGACACCACCAGGAACTCGTTGTTTCAACTGCTCATCATATCTTTGTACATAGCATCCAACAAGACGATAACAACAAGTTGAAAATTGTTTCCAATGCCTGTGTCAAAACCGATAGTGTCATCATGTCCGAATTCGTAGTGACAGATAAACAAAGAGTATTTATGCGAGGCAGCGATGGACATCTCTACGAATTAAATTATAAAACGGGTGTCAACCATTACATTTCTTCGGGAACCCTCATCTGCCATACAGAAAATCCTATCGTTAAGTACTTTTCTTTCCTTCGATATGTACCCAAAGGTAAAAAAAAAAAAAAAAAAAAAAAAAAAAAAAAAAAAAATTACTGCGAGAAAAAAACAAAAAAAATTAAAACTCGATATTATTAGCTTCTGTCAAATCATTGGTCGTGGATAATGATCAAGAGTTTCTTTATTACTTGTTGAACGATTCAAGTATTCATTCGGTAGATATTGGAGGCAGTGTGTATTTACCCAATCAACGTTTCAATGGTGCTCAGTTAGAGTCACTTCATCTTATTCCCAAATCTGAATCCACTAAAGTCAATTTGATGGCTATTTCCAATAAGGGTGAACGATTGTATTTTTCGTGCAAGGATAAAAAAATTGATCTCATTTATACGCGTACATCTCCACCTTTACCCGGCTCGCTTTTATTCAACGATTTAACCAAGGAGACTTGCGATTTATCCTTTTACAATCATGGTGTCTTTGCAGCAGTGCTTGGAAAATCAAAAAGATCCTACTTGGTCATGACAAATGCCAACTCCATCCCAGATGAGAATGGCTTACCTGTAAGTAAACCATATTAAAAAAACGACATAACATGACACTAAAAAAAAGGTACACATTGTATGAATATAGCTTATGGTAGAAGATGTATATAACGAAAGTGTGGATAAAAAAATTTGGTCCATCATCGAGAGCAACCCCAAAGACACCTCTACACATCACTACTTTAAGGAAACAACAGAATCACCCGAAAGTCCAGCACGTCGATTTTCTACACTGACAGATGCTGGTATCACCCACTATATCAAACAACGCCCTGTGGATTATTTATCAGAAGCCGTGGCTTCCGATGCACCCATTAAGCGTATTGCTTTCTTAAATCGCTACGGTCCCATTGAGACATCTGCCATGACCCTCTTATTAGCTTGTTCATCCCACCAATCACCTAGAGTCTTCCAATTTTTGCAAACCTTACACAATATGAATGAGGGACTCTTATTATACTTTTCTAGAATTGTTGGAAATATTTGGACAACAGATATATTAAAAGAGACGTAAGCGTGTGTGTGTGTGAAAGGAGAAAATTAGGATGATCTTAACTAATTTTCTATCTGGGGTGGGGGACATAGTATTAGGCAAGACCAGTTTATATCAGCACGCGAAAATCTAGGTAAATTAATCGCATGCATCGAGGAAACGAATATGGACGTAAAGGTGAATTTAAAGATAGAAAGAAAAAACAAGCATTTTAAAAAAGAGACAACTAAACGTCAAAATTTATAGGACGATATCGTGAACTTGATCAAGAGAACAATGGAAGCAATTAAATTTGTCTGCTTCATGCACAACTCTGGATGGGAGAAAATTCGTCAAAGGTATCAGGAAAAAACATTTATTTAAACTTGGATAAATACTAAACTTTGGGACTTAGTTTACCAACTACTTGTAAGCTTTTTGGAGATATGGTAACAACAGAGGAGGGAGCTTTATTAGCTAAAGAGATGGTATTTGCAGCCATCAAAACCACTGAATTATCAAACAATTTGAACGACTACAATCACGTTAGCAACTTTTTAAAGGTCAACTGTAACAACTTTCTCGGCAATATTAATACCGTTTACTATCAGGTAAAGATTTTTTTTTTTTTGTGTATGGACCAATGTTAAATAGTTCGTGTAGGGTATGGAATGTCTTCAAGCTGCTTGTAATGACACAAACAATGGCGCTAGTTTGAGATTCTCGCTTGATCATTTCAAGAAAATCATCAACTTTATCGAACTGGATACGCTTCAAACCCTCTGTCAAGAATATGGTAGACTTGGATATCATATTGGCGCAATTGAATTAGCTCATTCAAAGTACGAAAACGAGTATTCGCCCAGCCAAGAAATTTTTGA